CCATCCGCTAGCTATCCATTTTCCTATCATGGACCAGCAGGAGTCCCATTCCCCTTTGCCTTTGCTTTTCCATCGCCGATGGCATAGAAGGACAAGAAAGGGATATTGGAAGCCACTGGTCGGAAAGAGACAGTAGCAAAAGCGGAGAGCAACAAGAAAAAGGAAATAGAAGCAAGTCGGTTGTGCAATATTGGAGGGAGAGAGGGGAGGGGTTTAAGTTGATTTAGGCAATGTATGAGATTTCATCGCCGTCCATGCGCTCAATATAGTCCTTCTCCATGAGGGCTTCAATGTTCTTCTTGATGTCGGGGATTTTAGGCGGGAAGCGGGACTTGACCTGCTGAATAACCTCCTGGACAAGCTGGACGTGCTTCATCTTCTTGCGTGACTTCATGATTCGAACAATGGCGGACTACAACAAGGTTAGGACAAATGGACTTGGTATGGGTTGGTGATTAGCTAGGAGACGTACCTGGAGCAGAAGCTTCCTGTCCTCTTCTATCGTTTTGTGCGTGTCGTCGGCCTCGACCTTTTGCTCAGACTTGATCTGAATGTTGAGGTTGACTTTGACCTTCTTATTTTTGAAGTTGTAGTTCAATGTGAAAGAGGTAGAGGGCTCAGGCTTAGCGCCCTCGGGGCTGGCGACAAGGACCTTTGCCTTGAGCAGGATGCTAAGGTTGGGATCGAGGATTTCGGTAGCCAGGGTAGTGGCCTTTTCGATCTCCTCGTAGGTCAAGGTGTCAGCTTCGTTGAAAAGGAGAAGAATGCCCATCTGGTAGGTCGACACCTGGAAGGTGTAGGGCACTTTGGCGTTTTTGATATAGTTAGCCTTGATTTCGCCCTTGCAAAGTTGCCACAGCCATGTCAACTTGCGGCCGCTGTGCTTATCAAAGTAAAATTTCTGGAACAGCTCGGCGGTCCTGACGATCTCCGGTGGCGCAAGGAATGGTGTGGTCGGAGCGTTGAGGGGCCAGAAGCCAGTTCCCAGTATTTGGAAGTGGGCATCGGTCATTCTCTTTCGGTCATCATCATCCAGCACTTTGTCCTGCCAGACCTTATAGTTGTTGTTAAGATCCTTGGAGATTTGCATGTCCTGGAACATCCGTTGCAGCTTGTTGGTGTATTCGAAACCACACGCCTCCTTCAGCTTGCTGATCATACTTGTTTCAGCATCATCAGAAACAGAGCTCACATGAACCAGACGTTTGGCCAGGTTCTTGGAATAGAACTTCTGGAAGACGTCTTTGTCTTCGATGTACTTGAAGACTGTCATAATTTGCACCAGCATCTCTTCAAGCTCCGACTCTTCAGCCGACTTGGATCCTTTCTTGAGTAGTGAGTCCGTGTATTTTGCCAGCAGTTCAGGAGACTTAGAAGAGCTCGTCTTGCAGATGCGGTTTCGATTGACAAACTCTCGGCAGGCGTTATCAAGAGAACGCACGAACTCGGCCTCGCCATTGAAGGCCTCATCGACCAGGCTTTGGTATCGGGTGTGAACTTGCAGTAGAGCGTCGACGTACAACTTGGGTTCGAGTGTTTCGCCCTCCGAAGCAACCTTTTCGACAGCAGCCAGACCGGCCCGTCTCACGTGGTTTTCAAAGGTCGTGCGCAGAGGATCCAAGCCGTCCTTGATCCGTGACAAGAGGCGATACATACGAGCAAGATCCTCCTGGCGTTCGTTATCCAGCAATACTTGGAACTCGTCGCGAAGCAAAGTCGAGTGGGCGGTGACGAGAACAGACAGACAGGTATCGGTCAAGCTCTTGGTGACATCCGGGTGCAAATACAAACCGACTCGGAGCTTCTCCTCCTCCAGACGAGCTTCTGCCTTCTTCATATACTCCACCACGCTATTTTCGGCCACGAACTGCCGTGACTCATTTTCGTAATAGGTTTTGGTGGCACGAATGAACGGCAGCTGGAAGTACTGCCGATAGACATCCAGTGTTGACTTGGAGCTATCGTTTTCATCCAGGCCCAGTGACACGAAGGAGTCCACAATAGATTTGATTTGTGACTGTTCGATGGTTTCGCCATTCCGTTGCTTCTCGATCAGGTTCAGAACAGCGTCCATGACCTTCTCATGGACTTTTTCGAAAAAGTCCCCTTTCCATTTGACCAAGTGCAGGGTGTAAACATCGTAGACATTTTTCTTACCCTCGTCGATCTCGCGCTTAACCCAGTGACGATTGAGGTAGCGGAAAAGGTGGTTCACGTACTTGGCGGCGGTCGTGTAGCGGTACCATTCGCGGATGTAGAAGCCAAGCAAGCCTTCCTCGGTGTGGCTCTGTGATTGTTTGAAAACCTTACTCAGATGGCAGGAGAGGTATTCGCCGAGTAATTTGTAAAGCTCCTCGCCGAGCAAATGGGCTTGGGTCCAGGTCAGCTCGAATCGAGAAGCCGAGGGTGCGGCATGAAGGGAAGAAAACCAACCCCCGCGTTGTCCTTGTAGGCCTTGACCGCTAGAGACGGCTTTTTGGGATGTGCAAAAATTGTGAACAGCCCTAGTATCGAAATGTGAGCGCGGTTCTCGTCAGAAAGGTAGGGTCGAATCTTGAACACACGTGTAGAGACCCATGTACTAGACAAAAACAGCGAGTCAGCTTCTATTTCCAAACACGATCACTGGAAGGTGGTGACTTGTTCGATGTTTCACTCACAGTCTTCATATCGATACCGGAGTCAAGGTTGAGCATGACGCTCTCGATTCCTGCTTCTAAGAACGACCAACTAACCCACAGTTAGCTCACGCCATACCGCCGTGTGAAAGCTTATTCTAAATCATTGTCTGCTCACGTTGAATCAAGGTCGTCCTTGTGAGGAACCGGCGGCATCGCGAGAGACATCGCGGTTGCAGGGGAGTCGAGTGGGATGCGGAAGAAAGTGAGTGGTCGAGGCCGAGGGTCCTGCTCCATTAGTCAGTAACGCACTTTTAACTCTCAATAGTAACCGGCAAGTTACACATCATGGGTCTTACCTCAAGACGGTTGTAGCGCCACAAGGCACGCCTCAAAGATCTTCGGGTGATCAAGTGAGGGTAGGCGCTTAGGAGGGGTAGGGCGGCGTTGCAAAAGCGGGGTTTGGGCAGTCGAAGAAAACAAGCAAGAAGATACCCTCCTCGGGAACTTCAAAGGCAGAAATTGGAAAAGATATTAGGCAGAAGGGGAGCAGAGAAGTGATGAGGCTGAGAAGGACCAGAGCGTGGGGATGGCATTGTTGCCGCAGGCGGTGAGGTGGCGGAGCTTTCCCGCCAAATCTACATCATCGCCTTTGTTGCAACACTTTCAAATGTTTTGAAGCGAATCCGGACAGGTTAGATCCATTATTATTTCTTTAACAAACAGTAATTTAGGGTACAATTATATACTTTTGCTTCTTTACAATAAACCTGTTTCTATCCTTTGCGGTATCACAACATCTGTCTTTAGTGGCACTTCATAGATGTATATAGATGTATATTTCTGACTCCTAATATCACGGACTTTGCATATCAAACCCTCCTAGACATAAAGCAAGACTTGAATGTAAAACAAGTACTGTTCGGAACCTTAGGGACAAATAGGAAATATTAGGCTAAAACCTTGAGATCTTCAAATTTCCTAATTAGGTCTAGTCTTCTGTTTTATACATATGAGTGTAGATATATGACGACATATACATATTTTGAGATCGATGCCTACTAGTAGTAAATTGCGTTTACCAGTAGGCGCATTGATTATACGTCTTAACCATAACTCATGGAAAGAAGTAAAAGCCAGGTGAATGGATTTAGGACAGATATGAAAACTGTATTAAGGTACCATATTGCCATATTGTAGGTACCTCTATCAAGTGTATTTTCTATCTGACTGCGTCACTTTTATGAGGATACTCTTTTGAATAGGGCCCCTTTCTTTGTTTTTCCCGTTTCCTTTCCTTTCCAGTGTTCTCATGGAAGTCACAGATCTTGGGCACCCCAGATCCAAGTTGCCGCATCTATAAGCTCCTGCTTTTGAAGTTGAATATCGGTCTCTTTAGAATAGTAAGGGGTTCGACAAAATCTGGTCAAAAGGGGATCATCACAGGGTGTTAGAAGATACGAAATTATCGCCAGTCTCCTCCATCACATAGGATTGAGTGACATAGGGGCGTTGGATATTGGAATCCCATCCCTAGTTATCGATTGGGCCAGGGGCTTCTTACGGTTGACCTTGACGGTGATAGCCATACTCACTTCGCCTCTAGCGAGATCCACCCACATTCCTGCGTCATTGCGCAATCTCATTTCAGGTCTGAAACTCCCACCTGAGTTCAATGTGTATGGATTTTGTTTTCAGGTTTTCTGTGGGTTACTTACATAGTGATGGCCATATTGGCTTTGCCTCTGGACAAAGAGTAGTCGACCATGCAGTATGCTTGACCACGCAGGACGTTGAATAGTCTGATGTATCTAGCTCAAAATGACGTAGGGGGGCATTACGTGTAAGTATCGTCTAATGCTCTCTTTGGGTGTCTTTTTGGATGTCTCAAGGTCTCTTCATATGTATTTCTTTTTTTTTAATGATGTCTATCCTCTTGGTGTTGTAACCTTCTAAGAGGATAACTAATCAGAGCACGGAGTACATTAAGACCATATCTACAACCGAGGGTTATCTTTCTCTGGTAAGAACAGTGTATTTTGTGGTGAACTTCTCCAATAGCAAAGGGCCCCAAGTCCCGCAAACTTGGTCAACTATAGGAAGCCATTTCGTGCTTGAAGGAGGACATCGTCGCCTGAATAGGTAGGAAACCCGAGATCCGAACCCGAAGATCCGAAAACCTAAAACCTAAAAGTTTGAAAGCCGAAAGCCTAAGTCCTGATACCCGAGAAGCGCCAATCAGAATGCAACGTCCGTCAGTAGCTGGAGGTAAACGTCACTAAGTCGTTGAGATGCTAACGACCTAAGAAGCATTTAAGGGCCGACTTGGAGCCTGAACTGATTTGCTTGACACCAAATTAACTTAGCCAGGGACCTTTCGCAATGGCTACCTCGACAAAGATCTGGCTGACACCAGAAAATGCCGGCGTCTTCAGCTCTCCCAGTTTGAGCTCGGCCTCCGCACGCAAAGTGAGCGAGGTTCTCCAGCATGATATGGAAAACCACCATATCTACCTCAATGAAATCCAATTCCAGTGTGATTCATGTGTTATACTCATATTGAATAGCAGGTGCTAATGCGTAGTATATCGTATGCTGCATTTTATGCTCACTATTTGGGCTCTTAGGGCAACCCCCGAAACCATTCAGTTACAATATGAGCGAGAAGACAAGCGCCAACGTCCTGCTTATCTGCGGGATGAGAAAGTGATTACCTCTTTTTGCGGCAAAGACGAGTTCATGAAGCATATGTTCCAAGAGGAACACTACTCAAATTACCTGGCGTTCTTCTAGCGCGAGATTGATGCGAAAGGTATTTCGGCCGTTCTGAGGGAGTATTTGTTCAGTGGTGATAAACTTGTAGAATCATTGCTTTCTCGGATGTGTGCAGGTCCGGTTCACCCCATCATTCACCTTGGATTTGGCATCGAGTTTCAACAACCTGCCATCGTTGCGCAAGCCCTTGCGCAAGCGTCAGTTCATCAAGACTACCTAGCCGACCGTTTCTTTAACCCCCGCTGCAAAGGCGGCAGCCGCTCACTCAGGGCCGTCAAAATCTATCAAGCAAATCATGAAAGAAATGCGCGCAGACCAAACTGTCAAGAGCACACCGACGTTTTCGAAGATGGAATCCAGCGTGCCAGCGATGAAGTCATTCAACACTGCAGCAAATGGACTGTGTTGTACTTTTAGGGCGTTGTGCTTTCAATACTTTAACCCCGCTCACCGCATTTCCTGGACATCAAGAATCAACATGGCATCGATTAACCTGCCTCAGCCGCACCTCAATGAATCGATACGGGAAGTCGATAAAACATCCTGGCTAATCTCAAACACTCTCCTTCTTAATCGCACTTCGTCGCCACCCCCGGATAATATTCCAACCGACCAAGCATGCTGGAGCGACAGCAATGGGGGGGCATTTTTTCCTCTCCACTGCACCTGACCCTCTTCCGGATTCCAAGCCCCTTATAGAAGGCTCATCTTCTATCACGAGAGTCCACGCAGTGGACAACCAGGCGGCGGTTTGGAGGGCAGGCGAAGCTTTCATTAAAGCGCATCGCATGGACTATCCTGATGTAACCAGAGAGCATGTTACTCTGCAATTCCTTAAAGACCAACAGCCCCATGGCTTTGAATTTCCGAATGTACTCTATCATTTTGAGACCGACTCGCGATACTTCCTCGTCGTCTCGAGGGTTCCCGGCCAGCTCCTTCATGAGGCTTGGCCCAATATGGACGAGACTCTTCGCCGGTATTACGTCGGCAAGGTAGCAAATGTTTGCAATTACTTAGCAGCATGGAAGGGCGACATCATTAGTGGTGTAGACGGAGACCAGCTATTCGAGCGTTATTTCATCAAAGGCAACAGCAAGATGGCGGATGCCCTTGCTCCACAACAACTTCTGAAGAATTGTACCGAGATGTGTATGGATGACTCTACACTTGTCTTCTATCATTGCGATCTTGGCCCTACGAACCTCCTTGTCAACGTCTCCACAGGCTCGCTAGGCATCATTGATTGGGAGCTCGCTGGCTATGCCCCTATCGAATGGGTCAGAACAAAATTTCGACTCTCTGCAGGAATGGATTTCAATTATGGAGATGAGGAGTCTAAGAAGGATTGGCGCCGTAAGGTTGCCCAGCATCTGGAAAAGATGGGCTACAGCGATGTTGTGGATGCATGGTGGAAGTTTCAGGATAGCTCGTAGACCATAATGTCGAAGATATCAAAGCTCCCAAGCTTTGATATTGTCCCTTCATGAGCTCCTGGGAGTAGCTGTGGCTACTTCCTAGGAGCCCCAAGGGTCCTGCATACTGCCATTTCTTTCTTATATACGCCTGTCTAGGCAGCATGAATAAACTTCAGTGTTTATGGCATATCTCAGTATTTCTCGTTTCGGCATAGACCACATGTATTTCAATGAGATCTTTGTACAGAATATCGTATGATCGATAAATTTGTAAGGCTAAGCATAATATGTTTTATGTTTTGTAGTAGTTACTATAGATGGTTATGAGACTTCTAATTTCCAACCGAATAAAAAAAGAATTAAATAAAAAGCGAAATATTCAAACATGAGTAATTGGCATTGGCTTGAAGTCAACAAATTCTTCCCTCCATTCTATGGGCCTTACTTCCTCCACAAAACCTCTCCAGTATGGTACTGCCGCCGACTATAGGGTAACCAGTCCTACTATATTTCCCAACATGCCTATACTCCGCCTTCTTTACATTCCGCCACAAATTTGGCCATAGCATCAACTTAAGCTTCTTAGCCATATCGGATTCTGTGTGGGTGACCTATATCTTTATGGGGGACCAAGCTAAAGTGTCTCGTTGCGGTAGTTTTGATAATTAATCCCTCGGGCCAGTTCACGAACGCCTTTCAGGTTCGAGACTTGGACGGCGACGAGCACGAATAGTCCCATGACAACGTCCGCCTAGTTAGAAGCCCTGGAGTACCTGGCAGATCAGTTAATTTAGCACATAATAATCCGAGCTATGCCTATATAGGAAGGTAACGGTGTGGAATAATATACACGTGATATAGTCACGTGGAGCAAAATATAGACAATGTCCACTATATCATATGCAGATTTTCCACCTACACCTCGCAATAGACGACCTCGAGTGGAGCGTACAGCCACAGTACTCCTCAGCACCCAATCCCCTATGGCTCAAAGCCTGGGGTCGTCGTCCGAAGGCGTGCTGCCAGCGGAGCCACCACAGCCAGCGATCCCGACACCTCCATTACCACATCGCTGCGAACCATCTGGAGCGGCACATGTGGAAGACATAATGGACAGGCCAATGCCATCTGTTGAGGTGTCTTCTCCTACAATCGTAGTCGGTAGTGATAATGTTATCGCTCGGGCTAAAGTGGTCATTGAAGATCTTGCTGAAGAAGCAAAACGCCGGCTCACTGATTTTTTATGGACCCTCGACCCTAAGAGCTGCGTAATATGGCGTCGATAATTGAGGAAAACCGCCATCAGGCAGGAGTCACTATGCGGACTCCAACGACTCAAGATCACGCTCAGTATCTATCACAGCGCAGCGAGATTTTGCAGCCGATATTTGTATACGGTGTTTCCGGCAATGGGCAAAAGCAATTCGCAACGACGAAGATATTGTCGACTGCGTTACAGATAAACTGAGGCGGAAGAAGTGTGAATCATGTTCCGCGCGACGGATTGCATGCGAATATGTATGTATACCCTTTTACGGTACAGATACGATATAGATATAGCTAACAACATAATATAGATCCCGTATGATGGGGTGAAGGACCTCCGAATCCTTAAGACACGAATGGATCATGCACATGCCGCCGACCTTCCGAAAGCACGCCAACAATTCGTGGAACAATACTGGGTACTCGATGGCTATATATTCAACCACCCTATTGCTGCGGAAATCAACCGGAAACCGAAAGCGACGGCCAATAAAAGGGCTCAACGCCAAGCACGTCGGAGTATTGAGAGACCAGACCATGAACTGCGGAGCCAGACAGAGGTAAAGATTGAGGACTCCTCTTGAAAGACTGGGCGAAGACATATCGAGTATAACTTATAATAAGCGAGGACAATTAGTACAATAACGTCGCGTAATGGTAAGTGTCTGATATAATATATTAGTATAAAGGGTACTCTAATAGTACATGTAGTATATACAAGAACCAACCCTATACATACCAAAACCCCAAAAACCCGGGATAAGTTAGCTTTTTATTCTTCACTGGTTTTTTTCTATCTCAATACATTGATTCATCTTTGCTGAATTCACGTATTCATTTTTCTCATGCTTACAGTTTTCATTTACCTTCCTACCTTCCATCCCCTATACCCTCCAAGAAGCGTTATATATTGGTGCATCCACCTATTCAAATCATTCCTCCTTCCGTAGAATCTTTCCGTAAGTTGCCTATCACCTCTAGCCAAGCGAAGTCTTTTAATAGAGAACAGCCGCATACATAAGCCCCCCGGTCGCCTCCAGGGCTGAACGGCACCATGCATATTTGTATCCATGGACCTGATTGGACAGTCTGACAAGGAGCGGTGAATAGAGATAATCAAATACCAATGAACACCCATATCTCTTCGGCAACCCCCGTGACTCTGTCACCCCCATCTCTATCCCCATCATGGCCGAGGATTCACCCAGTGGCTGCGTTGCATGTGGATGGACGCCCGAGCAGCAAGACCAATGCTTTTATTCGAGCCATGTCAAACTCTTTTATGGTGCAAGCAGACGGGGGGTATGGTCGATTGGGACTGATGTGATTATGAAAGAACGCCCCGACGAAGGCCCAAAGACCGAAGTGGATACACTAAATCACCTTGCAAACTACCCTGATATCCCAGCTCCAAAGGTTTTGCGTGACTGGGTCGATAGTAACCGGCGATACTTTGTACTTCAAGAACGGATACAAGGGCAAACGCTTGAGCAGGCTTGGCCTTTATTGTCAGAATCCCAGAGAACAGCTATCGCGGACCAAGTGATTGAAGTTCGCAACCAGCTACGATCTATCATCTCGAGATCTATACAAAGTGTGGATCAGAGTCCTTGCTATCCGGGGTTACTTTTCTCTGACCGCGAGCCTCATGGACCTTTTCACTCTGACCTCGAACTCTGGGACGCGATAAGCCGCACCCTCCACACAGTCCCTCGACGAGCCTTAGAAAATCTGAAAAAAAGACTCCCTAGGTGTGAGCCCTATGTCCTCACGCATTGCGACCTCAACTTGGGTAATATCATGGTTAAAGATGGTGGTGCTTTAGCTGGGATACTTGATTGGGAATTTGCTGCCTATTATCCTATATGGTATGAATATGTTTCAGCCTCTTGGGGATGGACTGAGGAGGATGCCGAATGGAAAAAGCTGCTTCAGGAGCGTTTGGATATACATGGCGATGGGCATACCGACGCAAAGAATTTCTGGAAGGATTTGCGTCTTTTGAGAAAGTACCCGAATTTGGATGAAAAGGGCCGTGAAGTCTTTGAGAAGTTGTGCTTAGATGAACGGTAGAATTAATATAACTACATATTTTGTTCCCCGAGGCCCGTCACGAGCCTAGGTCTCAGTCCTGTCGACCCCTTGATTCCTATAATAGAGACTATATTTTACATAACACGGATAGAACTTCGCCTGATGTATATTGCAAGAAACTGCAAAGCATGCTAACATATAGGATTTGCAAAATGCGAAGGTATGTCATATATTCGCACCGTGCCTATCGATACTGGGGCAAGGTTGTCACGGAAGATATGGCAAGTTCTGCCTGTTACCATCAAGAGAATACACCTCAGTAATACTGAGTAGTGGGGAACAGGCCAAAACCCGCTGTAGATCCATTGGTCCACCCGGGATAATTCAACCTCGATCGTGTGAACCATGCCCTTAGTGATGTTGATATCCAATTCTCATGGACATTAGGGTACGATCTTAAGGAACCAACTGGTAGAGGTCGAGAATCAGCTACGTTTTGCTTGAAAGTCTGTGGGAAAAGAGCGTTCCAAAATCATTTCACGCTATCTTTTTATATAACCTTGATTATCTTATTAACCTATATACCCGTGGACCTCTACTTTTATACAGACTCCCCGCCAATGACGTCACTTGCCCGAAGTATTACAGTCGGTTGATGTCTATAAACCAACGTAACTTCTCCAAGGCTTTGTCCATGCAAAAACAAATCAAAATACCAAATCACTCGCAATGGCCATTACTCCACTGTCAAACACTCGAGTGACCACCCGCCAGATCCCCGAGTGGCACCATATACCGAACACTTCGATCCAATCCAAGCCGCTCATGATATACCACGGAGCCTTCAATTCCACACCCACGGAGCTCGAGGAGCACCTGGAGGGAGTAGGCGAGGTTGTTCCTCAATGGGTATATAGCATGTACCGCCAAACCCACTTCCACACCACAACGCAAGAGGTGCTCGGGGTCGTTTCAGGGAGCGCGCGTCTTTGTTTTGGGGGCGAGGAGAACCCGGAGCGATTCGAGCCGACGGTTCAGCGCGGTGATTTGGTCATTGTGCCTGCAGGCGTGGGTCATCGACTCTTAGAGGACCTGCACGGGAACCAGGAAAAGTTCCAAATGGTCGGCGCATATCCACACGGGAAACAGTGGGATATGTGTTATGGGAAGCCAGAAGAGGAAGCAAAGGTGCAGAGAATCAAGGATGTGGCTTGGTTCCGTCAAGATCCGTTGTATGGCGCTGACGGTCCTGCCTTGCACGTCTAGCTAAAATTGCGCTTGCGCAAAATCAAGTCTCGCTTAAATGGTATATTTAATCAACAGCCAAAAAGTTCATGAAACACAACAACACCCCGATATCACTGTGTTACTCTTTCAACGAGCCTAGTAGAACTGTTAGAAAGCGGAGCGACCAGGCCAAGTATAGACAAGAGGCTTACCTGAGAACACTGATCGAGAATGTCATGAGCCAAGCCAAGAGCGCAACTAGCAATACGGAAGCAAGTGCCTTTTGTCTCGTACATATACCACCATTTCGAGGATCGATAATTTGGTTGACCTCCGCTTCGGTGCAGGATCCTGTCACCTCGGAAAGTGAAGCAAATGCCAAACTAAGATTGGCAGAATCGAAGACAATGAAGAAGATATCCAGGAGGATGAGACGTGCTTTAGCCGAGGGAGAACGCAGACCCAAGGGCTTTGACGTGTATTCATCGAAGGTGATGTATAAGAGGTAAACCAGCGCGACTGCATCGACGATGATTGCCATCAATGCAGATGGGCCTTGAGGGTGATTCCCTTCATCAGACATGTGCTGAATTGACCCACCTAGAGCTAGTGCAGAGAGGGAGAAGCACCAAACAGTCATTCGAAGGATCAGCGGTACGATCGGGCTTCGCAGGAGCGTGTTCTTGAAACGCGTGATCCAGACTTCCCTTCGGCCTCCGCTGTGTAGCGGATACTCCGGACTATCGCCCTCCAAGTGTTTTCCTCGCCATGGTTGCAAGAAATCACCGTGATTCTCATTCAGCCATTCTGACGTGACTTGCTGTTCCTCTCTACCGGGCTCTCGGGGGTATTGGATGGCTCGTGAGAATGTCACCCAGCGCGATTCACGGTTGACGAGAGGAGAGTCATCCTCAAATAGGCCGTCGTTGATCGAGTGAGGAGGTTGGGGCTTCGAGGACGAGTAGGGTGAGTGGTTGTGCTGAGCGACAAATGCGTCGTTTGGTTGGGAAGGGAGTAAGCGATCAGTTGCCGTAGCTTCATCTCCCTGCTCCTCGGGCTCATCGACCGACCGAATCCAGGCTATAAAGACTCGTTATTAGTGATTGACCCTCGAAACGACCTTTGAATGGGACCATACCAGGAAGAGTTCGTAAAGCGGAGCGTTGGGAGTACGCGATTTCTTCTGCTGTTTGACCGTCTGTACGCGCAAGTGATTGCTCGGATGTTTTATTGCGAACAGCAGACTCAGTATCAACGCTAAGCGGGTCTGGCAGCGGTGATGATTCTGGGATGGTCGGGAACTTCTCTGCCGGCTTCTCACCAAAGACTCGCCCTGAAGCGCTGTCTTTGGGGCTGTCCATGGTACAGGAGATAACTTGAGACCTGAAACTCAGGAGTCGCGGGAAACTTCAATGCACAGTTTGCCCGCGAATCCCCAAGTATAAGTACAAGTATAAGTATGTTCAGGGATGACCTCCCTAAGACGAAAGTAGACCTCGGGAGATGACGTCTCGATTGATCGGACGTGGATCGGCTTACTCCATCCCTTTTTCACCCACTCGAAAAAAAAAAGACAAAAAAAAATTCCAATGGACTATTTGTTGTGAAATCTTTTATTTCTCTTTATCCCGAATCATTTGATATCTATCAATTATCTTCCCTATCTTCCCCGCGATCGAGCGATTGTCGATTGTCTCAGACATCCACCATGCGCCTGTTCCTGATCCCGATCTCGACAAAACGAGTCCTCGTATATGCGCGACCCCTTCGCAAGGATTTAGCGAAAGAGCTTTCAATCCTTGACAGGATCACAACAAAGGCGGCTGAAACATGGGCGAAATGGGAGGAAGCCGACAAAGGATGGAAGATGCACCTTGTTAGCTGGGGCAATCGGGTCCAGCAACGGATACCATACGAAGAATGGGCCCTTAAAAGCATTCCTTCATTCAAAACCCAGCAGCAAATTAATGGAGATCATGGAAAGACCAAGATTGATGTGTTGTTCCCGGTAACGCGGTGCGATTGGAGCGAATTCAAAATGTGCTGCGCACGATCGCCACAGAGCGACAGGAGCTTCATCAGAAGAAGATGAGGTGGAGCTTAATACTTGCACCGATTACAGCCCCTTTTGGGTTGGTACCAGTGTATGTGAATGGCAGCCTTCTCCGGTGATATGATTATACTAATAAAGAACAGGGTCCCGAATATTCCCTTTTTCTATGTGGCATACCGGGGCTGGTCCCATTGGCGCGGTTAGTTTGGTCTTCTACACGGGAATGGCCCATAAACTGACGGGACTACAGCATTGAATGGCTCAAAACATCTCGAATTTCTCGTTGAAAAGAATCTCCTCAACCCTGTCTCATTACCGGAGCTAGAACAACTTTATGCCAAACGCGCATCTGGAGCACTTGAAGACACCACCGCCGGGGCATCATATTCGGAGGTTGCCGATGGCATAGAGCAGAGCGAAGATCGGGTCCTGTTGAAGATGTCTGATGCCAAGAAGTTGGCTACGATCCTGGAAGCACCGGAGCTTGCGTTGGAAGCTGAACGAGCCATTATCCAAGTCCGTGAGCAGCTCAAGGCTGCAGCAAAGGCTGAAAAGGAGAAGAAAGACGAGAAGAAAGATGAGAAGAAGGATTCATAATGCCGAAGATTTAATCACTACGTTCTGTGGACAGGAGATATCAAGTTCTCCTACCCAATAGAGGGAGACCACATATCATAATGCAGGGAGGACATCTGATTCCAATAGATAACCATATAGACCATAATTATTATAGAAACTCCAATATCAATACTATAAACAAGAAAGAATTACATTGTGAGTCCAATGACCTCAGAGCCCCTGACGGAAGTAGGTAAATCCGAGTCTCTCCCCCATTGTTCCCACCTCATCCTCCACACCATTCATCGGAGCTCCATACATCATGGCTACTAAAAAGATTGAGCAATGGGAGATTGAGCGATATTGGGAGATTTTTGCCTCATTATCAAATGGCCAAAAACACCTTAACAGCTCCCAAGCCGCCTCCGTGCTGAGGAACAGCCGGCTGCGGGATGACCAGCTCGAGAAGGTCTGGGACATTGCCGATGTCGACGGAGACGGAGAGCTGGATTTTGAGGAGTTCTGTGTTGCGATGCGCCTAGTTTTCGACCTGGTCAACGGCGTAAGTGATCCACCTTCATGGATCATTTAATAAATCACTCTAACACACCTTCTTATCTGCAAACAGGAACTACAGGAGGTCCCAAATGTCCTGCCAGATTGGCTAGTCCCAGAGTCCAAATCACATCTCGTCCATGCGACCCGCGCGATAAGCGGCGGACAAGAGCGGTTCGAGCGGATAGAAGACGAGGACGACTCCCTCGGTCTGAAGGACGGCTTTGATTGGTATATGAAGCCCGACGACAAGAACAAGTACACCGAGATCTACGACGCCAACCGGAATGCGCGCGGCCAAGTAGAATGTAAGTAACCCGTGCAATGCGCTGTGGGCGTCTAGAAAACTCCCCCGCTGACCACCCCCAGACCAACAATTAGAACCACTCTACGAATCGCTCGACGTCCCCGACACCGACATTCGATCCGCCTGGAACCTGGTCAACCCTTCCGCATCATCCGCAATCAACAAAGACGCAACGCTCGCCTTCCTGCACATACTGAACTACCGCCACGAAGGTTTCCGCATCCCACGCACCATCCCCGCGTCGCTGCGCGCGTCATTCGAGCACAACCAAATCGATTACCAAGTCGACAAGGCACGACCTGCACAGCGCTACGGTGTAGACGGCGATACCGAAACACGCACAGGCCGCAAGGCCAAGTTCGGCGATACCTACCTCGGCCGTCTGGGCGTCGGTGGCAAGGGCTCGTACCAGCCCAAGGGAACAGATTTCAGCGACACAATCCAGGACGAGGAGTGGGAGAAGGTGCGGCTACGCCGCGAGCTCGCGGAGTTGGAGAAGAAGCTGAGTTCCGCCAAGAAGGCCTCCGAATCTAGGCGGGACGGGGGGCGCAATGATGGCCGGCCCAACTGGGTTCTAATTAAGAAGGAGGCACTCTCACTCTTGGAGTACAAGGAGCGGGAGCTGCGTGAGCTGCGTGAAGGTACTGGCCGTGCTAAGGACGGTCAGGACTTGGAGCGTCTTCGGGAGGATGTCAAGACTGTTGGGGATCAGGTGGAGGGGTTGAAGAGCCATCTGGCTCAACGGCATGATGTCCTTTCGGACCTGCGCAGGCAGATTGAGGATGAGAAAGCTCGGCGGTGATTGATCACTGTGTGAATATGGACTAGCGAAATCGTTGGCCTAGTCCTTTTTGTTGCTACTTTTCTTTCCATGGCTCCTTTCGCTGCATATATGTCCTACCTTCTTGATTCTCGCGACTATCATGTACAGCCATTTCTTGTTAGGGAGCTTCAGGCGTCAAATGGATATTATTTGCATTTTTATTTCCAACTAGTGCATGGGTTATTGGATTAACATATGATACAACAGCGAGGGATCATGGTCTATGTACCTCTAGGGCTGGCGTGTAGCAATCACCTAAACGAGTCATCTATCCCACCCTATACGTTAACGCCAATCAAACCGACCAGCCTGGAATTTCTAGTCGGGCTTTCCTTCTCCGGCCCGAAAGGGTACTTAAGTAACCTTGGAAGGCACTAGAGTCACTAGTAGTATTGCCAAAAAAGAAATAAAATAAAATAAAATAAAAAAGTCATCGCCCGGGGGCGATCCGGCAACTCGAGATCAAACGGCACTCGAGCTGAGGATGAGCAGGTTCCAAACAAGCGGGACGCCAATCGTCACCAACGACAACCGCTTGGCCAAATCCCCGCTCATCCAAACATTCATACGGGGCAGTGCAATATATCATGCGAAATGAAATCATTAACAGGAATTGTTCCTTCAAGGGGTTTACTACAGTGAGCACACCCCTCCCTCAGCCCTAATGCTCTAATGACTCCTTTATAGATCGCATTTGCAGCATTCGCCGAGCTGTCAGGTCCTAGTCTACGGCAGGAAGGTCATCATAAGTCTTGATTGTTTCCCAATAGTACATACCAGAGGGATCAAATAGTGAGGCGTAGAGGTATAAGCTGCACAGAAAAGGCCGCGCACATTCAGGTATCACAAGCTCAGATGAGGGATTACATGTATGCCCCCGCACATCTCGACCTCAGCTGGACTCTCCTGCACGCAGTACAGAGCCGATATTGATGCGGCCCAGATGTTAACCCGGTTGAGGCTCAAAGTTTAGTACCCACTTCCGGGCCCACCTGGGCACTTCTAATTTTAGGTTAAATGGATATTCTTTGCTTTTTATTATTTTTGAGTGCATGGAACATCGAAATAATTTAACATATGATACAATAGCAAGGAATCATGGTCTAGTATCTACCTGACCAAAAGGAAACGTCAGGTCTAGCAAAAGTCACTGATCCCACCTGTATCTCAACGCCAATCAAACTAGCCAGCCCACCATTATTGTTACAATCCAGTAGCCACTGGACATCATCCAGCACGTAGCTTGGATGGAAGAAAAGAAATCAAGTAGACAGCCATTGAACATCTCAGGAGAGGATGCTCTCACCCGGATCCCGCTTCGTTTCAACTGCAATAAACGCAGCCCCTTTCGTGTCCAAGCCCTTCTCAGCACGCAGATAAGCCTCCTCGGAGCGATCGGTCAAGATGTCAAGATCTTCACTCGACAAGATAGACGCTGGGTCGGCGCCAGCCTCGAACCGTTCGAATTCGTTCTCGCCAAGAGCCTTGCGCAGTTCGTCGATATCCTGGGAATTCGCACTGGGGTCGAGCAAGGAGCGGAATTTGCCTTTCTGGATCACCAGACGTTCGAGGCGGCGCTTGGAATCTGCTTTCTCAAGGAGTGTCTGCTCAACGGTACCCTTCGTCGCCAATCTGTAGATGATCACTGGCTTGGTCTGGCCAATGCGGTGGGCTCGATCCTGCGCCTGCAGATCCTGCTGGGGGTTCCAGTCAGAATCGAAGATAATGACGGTGTCGGCGGCGGTAAGATTGATCCCTTGGCCACCAGCTCGGGTGCTCAGGAGGAACAGCTTGTGACTCTTCTTGGTGTTGAAATTCTTGATCTGAGCTTGGCGCTCTGATTGTGCAATAGCGCCGTCGATTCGGCAACAATCCCAGGAGCGGAGTGTTGTTGCCCACTCTTCAATGATATCGAGCTGGGTTTTAAATTGTGAGAAAATTAAAATCTTATGGCCCTTCTTAAGCAAACACGCGACCAAGCGGTCCAACAAAAGCATCTTTCCAGAGGCGGAGACGAGTGTTTCGTCTACCGAAGAGGACTCGTCCATCCAGGGCCAGTAGAAGTTATGAGGAGAGTTGCAGGCAAGGCGAGCCTGTAGGACCGGGTTCTGCATCTTTTTTTGGCCAATCTCTTTCTCTGTAAGACAATATTAGCAAAGTACTAGAAAAGGATTCGGAAGTGACGTACTGGCAAGCTTCAGGTTCGCAGCTTGCTGCATCTCTTCAAGCTCGGTATCGCTGGGCTCGATCTTCTTTTCCTCTTCTTCAATTCCCAGCTCGAGTTTCCGAAGGTGCTCATCAAATTCTCCTTCGCTTAGATCATTGTAACTCTGACGAGCGCTGCGCCCGCGACGGCGGCTAGAAGTACTTCCATTGCGAGCCGGCGTGGACATCCCGCTGGACCTGGCGCTCTTAACTGGCGTTGTATCGTCACTGCCACTCCGTTTGCGCTTCATACTTTGCGAACGTGTAGAGCTGCCGCTCTTACTCTCCAGACGCTCCAGAGCCTTTCCCTCAAGGTATTGGCGCCCTGTACCATTGATAATCTCTCGATAGAGATCTTTTTGCTCAGGCGTCAGAGGGGCGTACAAAATGTATTCCCGCTTCTTGGGAAGCGTGTGCTCCACATCAGTTTTTAGACGTCGAAGAAGGAAGGGCTTTAAAATGGCATGCATGCTGGTAACCAAGTTACGCTTGCGCTTCTCAACAAGGTCTGCCTGGCCCTTGTTGTCCAGGACAGACGAAAAGTCGAACCATGACTCAAATGAGTTCAGGTCATTGAAAACTTCAGGAAGCAGGAAATGTAAAAGTGACCACAACTCAGAGATGTTGTTTTGGAGTGGTGTTCCCGTGATCAACAGCCGATTTGCCGAGTTGTAGGTCAAAAGCTCCTTGATAAGCTTGCAATTCATATTCTTAAGGCGATGGCCCTCATCCTATAGATCGATTAGCGTCTTGTGAATGAAAAAGAACTGAAGCAAACGTACAACAACGATATAACGCCATTGGTACTGAGCCAAAAACTTTCGGTCATTCATGCAGATTTCATAGGATGTGCACACCACCGGGAAGTCCATGTCTCCCTGGTTTTTCAGTTTCATGAACTTGCTGCGCATGGCAGCTCGCTCATCCTTTGAGCCGTGATACAAGACGGTTTTGATTCCCGGGGTCCATCGGGCGAACTCATCTACCCAATTGCTCACCGTGCTCAGCGGTGCTGCAATCAAAAACGGTCCGGAAACCTGTTTCTCCTTTAAGAAAGCAATCATCGAGATCGCTTGAACAGTCTTCCCGAGGCCCATCTCATCGGCAAGGATGCCACAAAGTCCATTCATCCATAAAGTCTTGAGCCATTCGAGGCCCTCGAGCTGGTATGTTCGCATTTTGCCACCACTCACAAGTGTTGGCTGCTGTGTCGCGACTAACTCCTGCTCACCAAGAGCTGTGGGGTTTGCTTCATAGTCATCGGCAGCCTGCTCAAGGGCTTGTTGCACTGAGGGATTATCTTCAGTCACTTGCACGTCGGCCTTTTTGAAGTAACTAGAAATAGAGCTGCCATTGGCGGCGGCGGTTGCCCGCTTAGGCCGACCCCTGCCCGGTCCCGTGGCTTTTTCGTTGGCGCCCTTCCCTCCAGTGGATGTGTTCTCCCCAGTCGCATCTTGGGTTGGCCTAGTTCGAGTGGTTCGGCGAGCAGGTTCGGGAGGAGAAGTTTTTTTCTGACTCATGGCAGCTTGTTCGCGCTGCTTGATCGCCGCCAAGCGTGCGTCCTCCTGCTGCTTCTTCATTTTATCTGACATGATAGCAACGAAGACCTGCAGTTACGAGAAGACATCAGACTACTGTAATCAGGTAGGACGAGGATGGACTGGACACGTACGGAGCTAGTTTTCAAAAGGTGCATTAAGGCCTTAGCCTTACTGTCCATCCCCTCGACGTCTTCTGAATCGGTCGAGTCTGCCTTGGAGTTTTCGTCTTTATCATGAGAAGACCTCGAGTCTTCAGCCTCAGTCGGGGCCGTGAGTGGCGATGAAGGAACGACCGACTCCGGGGCCATAGTTCCCGCACGGGAATCCGTGGGAGTCGCTGTATCTTCGGTAGACATTTCGTCTAATACAATTGAGTAATGAAGTAGAGGGAGTGAATGATCTAAAGCGAGTGCTAGATGGACGGGGATGGTACGTCATTCACAGGGGGAACAAGTTTTCGCAACGTCAAGTTGCGCTGGGGACAAAGGGTAAACGAATGTGATACCCAAGACCGGGTGTAGACGAGTTTCCAACAAACAGATACTCGTAGCTTAAATGAACGCTGTGCACGATCGGACGTCGATTCGTGATATATCGGAGAACATCTCGAAGTACGAGTGCGCGACGCGGCATTTTCGCGTTCGACGCACGGACCAGGTTTAGATTAGTCGTCCAAACTACACCGACTCGGACTTGATTTCAACTTCATTGGAAACTATCATACATTAATAGTATTGTACAAACGGTTCATGTAACAAGGTCGATATGAAGGAGATGGTCTCATATCCTTGGATTCTTGATTGTTCCCTCAATATTCGATGGTTGTATCCCTCTACTGCGAAGAGGACGAAGCGTCTGTCGGCACCAGCATCACATCATCCATGGATATCTCCGTGATCGAACTGATATCAGTGGAACTCGGTTGCTCATCAGGCTGTTCTTCCTCGTGCTGCTCGGGCTCGCTTTCTTCGGGCATCATAATAGGCTCGAAGCAGACGAATTCATCCATGAGGCGGTCAACACTCATCTTTGTCATTCCACGGTACGCGCGGGCGAAGAAATTCGAAGGCATGTTTTCTTCAACTGGCTGGGTCATGGGAAGAGACTGAAGTTTTCCACGTGCGGGACTGATTCCAACACCAACACCATTAACCCGAAGGTTTGGCTGGTAGTTGTACCGACGGCGCATTGCCTCAGCCTCAGCCTCTACTCTCTCAAGCTTGGCCTCTTGTATGTTTCTTTGATACTTGAAATGGCTGTCTGATGGGTTGGAACCTGCCGGAGACCAGTTTCCAGTGAGGACTCTGCTGAAAGGTCTGGCAGGTTTCTTGAAAACGGGCTGGGTCATACCCCCATTCCGTGGTCCCTTAGACGGCGTTTCTGGTGGAAACTCCGGCAGAAGTGACTCTGTCATGGTGGTCCCTTGTGTCTGAGAGGATAATCCTTGGGGTGTGAGACCGGCTTGCTTGTATGGTTGGATCTGCGCGGCGTTGCGTGGACCGACGTTCACCTTGACCATTCTACCGAGTCGGGGCTTTGTGGTGTCCCACGACAAGTCTGGGTTCCGTTCATAATACTTTCCCCAGTCCACTATGGGATCCGGATCGGTGTTGCGTCGAAATAAATCCTTTGGGTTCATTGTGCCGTTCGTACCAATGCTTTGAATGAATGTGCTCTTGACACTACTGGTTTCGTCCTTAACAGAATCGATTGGGGTCTCCATCTCATTGGGAGGCGGAGTGACTCTCAGGTTCTCTTTCCATTCAAACTTGTCGGGTTCGTGGGAGTTCTCGGATTCTCGCAGCACCACCAGGTGGTCTCCCCAATCGCCAGCATATCTTCGAGGTAGCCCGTGTTGATGCAAGTACTGTCTGGCTTTTAGGACCTCATGAGCTTGGCACATCAACAGGTCGGTGTACTTGGTGAACACCAGGTTCCGGTTGGTATCTCGAGCGATCCTCTTTAGCACTAGCTGAGGTGGCGGCTTGAAACGCTTCAGTTTGCTGTTATCAATCTCCACGAGTACCTTGCGCTGTTTGCGCCGCATTTCCTCCAGTCGCTTGTTCTCCCGGTGGATTTGCTTGTTGCGGATGCTTATGACCTCCATGAGCTGTTTTCGATCGTCTGGCCCAAGTTCAAGAAGGTCGCAAACACGTCTCCAGCTATGGTATCTCATTGTGTTTTCGACGATTTCGACTTGCATAGCCTTGTGCAGATCTTTCCATTTCGGGTTGGGGATCTAAAACGACGGCTTACATCAGAATTGTACTAACACAGCAAAAGTCACGATATACTTACCGCATCAATGAGCACCTGAGTCGCATCTGGCAGTTCATCATCGTCACTATCCGTGGAAGTGTTCATATCCTCAGAACTCAGAGCTGCATTCATACCAGTCATGCGCGCCACTTTAATGTTCCTCGCGTACACCGGATTGTCCATGTTGTTACTGACGAGGTGATTCTCCAACTGATTGATCGGGACTCCGTCCATCCCAGATGGAGGCAATGGACCGGCTGTCGTTGACCCATCACCGTGGAGATCAGGCGCAACTTGGCTGCCCTGCATGTTCCGTTGGCTGTCACCATCACCGCGATTTTGCGCGGAGGTGGTGGAGTCACGACCTGGCTGTGGTCTGCTCAAACTTGGAAACGCAGCTGGTGGGAGATTGGGGTTGAATGGCACAGTGTTGAGCCTGCGCCTCTTTTGTGGGCGCGGTCTGCCTGATTCCCCAAGCTCCATGGAGTCGTCAAAGGAGTCATCGTATCCGTGGCGCAGCGAGATCCGTGATGGTGTTTCGTATTCGTCTTCGCCATATCGCTGCGGCGCGCGGATACTGTCACGCAGTCGCATGCCGCTCATTTTGGCGGCGCGTTGGGGTGAGGCGTGAGGTGTGGGACGAGGTGTGGTGCGTGGTGCGCTTTGTGGTTTGTGTGGGCGTATCGGTCGTAGGTACGTGTTAAAGGTCAATGGGGGAGCATGCGCTTCATCATAGGGGCTCGATAGTCGATCGTGGTAGGGTGATCGCAAGATGATAATGATGTCGCGCGAGATGAAAGAAGAGAAGAGAAGGGAGGATCGGGATGGATTTGAGGTCGCGCAAAGCCAAGGTAAGACTCGAGCTCTCAAATTGAAAAGGAAAACACAAGGCAGCGACAAATTGGGTCGAGAGTCGACAAGGTGGGTTCAAACGTAGGGTCAGATGCTTGAGGGCATCAACCAACTTGAGCGCGACTCGACACTTGCCAAATTCTGGTATTGCCCCCATCATTTATTTCTCTATACAAAATGTAGACACATGCTATGTTGAAACTTTCCCATGTTTATGATCTTACGAATATGAGGATACAAAGGTGTAATGGCCAGTGGATGGCCTAGATGTCGGGAAGATAGTAGAAATGAGCAACTGCAGCTGGGTATTTGCATCCAAGAACCATGAAGCAATAAAGCAGGCAAATAGAGCGTGCAAAAAGAAAAGCAAAAAGAAAAAGCAAAAAGCCACCCTACTCTAAACAATGGAAATATTCCCTTCATCTCCTTTCATCTTCCAGTAAATCCGTCTCCCTCCCCATCTCCATAGCATGACATTGCCATCCCGAGTCCTACCAAAAACTTCGGTTCACCCTAGACCACGCGGTCCTGGAAGGGAGCATGCGGCTTTCGCTCGTAGAAGGGGTCCTCATCCATGTCCATGTCCATTTCACCCTCCCCTATGGCAAGAGCATCATCCCTATGATCTTGGAAACTTCGCTTCTTCGTGAGGAGTGGTGGTAGAGGTGGGGGGAGCAAGAGTCGAAGCCCCACAGACAGTCATTCGTTTAGCACGCTCAACATCACGTTTCGCAGAGAGAATGGACTCGAAAGCCGTGAGAATGTATTTCATAGGGTCCTCGATTGAGACACAGAAACGACGCTGCTGAACCATATGTGTAGCTTCAACAGTCTCAATATTGAGCATGACCATGATGTAGGCAATGACGACACCGGCCGAGCGTTCATTCCCGGATTCACAGAAGACAAGGACCTTCCTCTTCGGTTGTTGGCCGTTTGACACCATTCCATCGGGTTCCATATCCACACCAGCCAAATGATCATTGATGCGGCGGATAGCGCGCGGAAATGCAGAAATCAGCTCTTGATTATCAAGGACATCCACCGTGTCCGCCATAATACCGACCTCGGCTGCTGCCTTTTCGCCGGAGACGAGGCGTGCATGGGCCGAGTGCCGACTTCGAATAGCAAGAAGTAGCGTGAACCCTTGGCTGCGGATGTAATCGGCATCTCGTAGACATGACGAAGGACCAAGAGATAAGAATGGAAGGATGGGCTGGGCTTGGCGGCGCATATCGTAGCTCCATTGCGAAGGGTTGAAGCGGCGGGTGAACCCGCCTAGGTCGACACGGCTGAAGAATCCCGGGCAAACAAAGTCTCCCTCTGCAAAGTCGTGGGAATCACGGTTGAAAATCTTCTGGTCGACGACTACAGTGTCATCGTTGCCTGTGTCCGTCAACCCGTAATAGGTTGAACTGGGGCCGCGTGTAGAGTTTGGATATCGCGGCGTAGCTGCGTACTCTTGTGTGCGGACATAATGAGATTGGTCATTATGGGACATGGGCACTTCTTCTCTCCGTGAATTGCCGTTAGACATTGTGTTTTTACAGGAGTCTTCACTATGACACCTGTGGAGCGCAAGAAGTATCAAGTATCGATGTATTGGCTTATTGGAATGAACATCAAATATGTCGTAACTCCAAGCAGAAAGAAGGCATAAATTAGATCGAGGTGAGAGTGCAAGGCACACGACACTGGTAGTGGAGACGCAGGGAATGGATGTGACAGGTTGAAAAACCCTAGCAGAGTCGCTGGAAGTCCCTTCAGATGCACGGTTTGAACAAAAGCGGCAGTGTCACAAATACCAGGACTGTAATGACTTTAATAACCTCAATAATTTCACGCGTGAATTGCTTCAAGATGGTTGCAGATCCAAGTGTATGGGAGGAGAGCTCAGGTCCACCCGTGGACAGAGCTCCCGCGTTGAGATTAGGTAAGATGGATTCCCCGGGCACCGGCTTCTAGGGCTGGACCTGGGCAATTGCCTTGTCTTCACTCTCCGGGATTTTCGATCAATATCTGGTTCTGTATTCAAGCTCATGGACTCTTACAAGGAATACACATGGATATAGTACTATATAGGTGGAAGAATCATGGCATCATCTCTGTCCTTTGTATATATATCATCAAATGCATCCTTTTGATCCCTTAATATTGTCTTTCAAGATGTCAATATTCATATTTCTTCCATCTCCTATATCATGACTAGAGTAGCCTTGTGTTACTGCATCAACCAGAGCCCAATCAGGAGCATCAGCGCGAAAACAAGCTACATGGCTCCCCTGTACTTGTGAACCCCGAACTCCGAGCCCCGACCACACCCCCACATTTATATGCAGTCTCAGAACTGAGACACTCCCATGGGCATTCTCGCATGTTAGTGTATTCAATTACTAAACCAGATCTACAGGTCAGACATGGAGGAAAAGCTTTTAACAGGGGCTGTTACCACAGAGCGGGAGAGACGATATGCAAGCTTTAGGAACTGCGCCCTCCCATCAATATGGACACTCTGTGCATTATTCGTTGTCTGCAATTACTACAACCTAAACCCCAAATCATATCCCTCGCACAGTTCAAAGACCCTTAAATACAGCGGCGAGCACATAACCTGGGAACCATGCGGCGACCTGCACAGCAAACCACTCGAATGCAGCAGCATCGAAGTCCCGATAGACCAATTCGCAGCAGAGAGACCAAACTCAGCAAAACCGAAAGGCTTCACAATCCCACTCGTCCGCCTACGTAGTAAAAACGCAACACAGAACCTCCTCCTAAACCCCGGCGGCCCAGGAGCCAGCGGTTTCGACCTTCTATACCGCCGGGGCGACCAGCTCAAGAGCATACTGGGCGAGGGCTTCCACTTACTAACATTCGATCCGCGCGGCGTGAACAGTTCAACGCCCACAGCGTCCTGTTACCCAGATGCCAAGACGCGACAAGAGCAGTCGCATATTCGAGCTCGCAATGCCGCAGCTGATAGCCCCGAGATCTACGCATGGGCACAGAACTTCGCAAAAGCATGTCCGGAGACAATGGGCGACTATGCGCCGTACATCAACACCCCACAGACAGCAGCGGATATGAATAGCATCCTTGATGCGGTGGGCCAGCCAGATATGGTATACTGGGGCTTCAGCTACGGTACTCTTCTCGGGCAGACGTACGCGGGGCTCTTCCCCGAACGATCGAAGCGCGTGGTTATCGACGGGGTCGTGAACCAGTTCGAGTGGTACGAGGGTGTGGACCTATCCGGGGACCTCATCGACACGGATAACGTGCTCGATGGCTTCTTCGAAGAATGCATGAAAGCAGACGCTGGCAGCTGCGCGCTCGCCTCGCTGGCAACATCAAAAGAAGAATTGCGCGAAACAGTCTTCTCGTTTATGGACCAGCTGCGTCACCAGCCACTCGACGTGTACGTCAACAACACCGTCTACGGAATCTTAACCTACGAAAAAGTCTGGTACAACGGCGTCTTCGCAGCATTATACAAGCCTCCACTGTGGTCATCCCTCGCGCAGAATCTCTACAGTCTCCTCCAAGGAAATGCAACACCCGCTTTCCTTGCCTACAACATTGCAGCCGAACAGAACGACGAGTCCGCTGAGTTCGTCCAGCTGAACGACGGCCGCACAGGCCCATCCCACTGGCCCCAGGGCAAAGACCAGCTCCTGGCGCAGATCGCACCCTGGCTCAACCAGAGTCTCTTCAGCACCGTATTTCTCGCATCATATTACCAGAAACAGCAGTGGGCGGTGCCAAGGACGCATCCATACGTGCCGCGGCGAGACGTGGAGACTGCGCATCCGCTGTTGATCCTATCGACTACCTATGACCCCGTGTGCCCGCTTGTCTCGGCGCGCCGGGCTAATGATGCTTTTGCTGGATCGCGGCTTGTGGAGGTTGAGGGGTATGGACATTGTTCTGTGGCTGTGGCTTCGCTCTGCGTTGCGAAGCATCTGCGTACGTTCTTGCATGAGGGGAAGCTTCCTGATGCGTATACGCGTTGTAAGGTTGATTCTGCTTATTTTGGTTCCTCCGATGAGAATGGGGGCATGGCTGCTCAGACGTACTTTGAGGACCCGGAGGATCAGAAGATTCACCTGGCGCAAGTGGAACTTATGGTGGGATGGGAGTTTACTCGGCCGGTGATGTGGTAGTTCCCCAATTTATAGCTCTGTATTCTGGAATGATGACCTTTTGTCTCGAGATCTACAGGATGATATTATAGCATAGGGAGTGCCCAGAGAGAGACAAGTATATATAAGCCTTGATCCGCGATTATTCGCTAATTCATGTAAGAAGTCGAGCCTAGAACTATGTTGTAAGCTTACAAAATCTATCACAAATCTTACAAGGACCATAGTATGTTGTAATTGAAGAGAGTGGTTTCATTATCCGCTATTTGTGGAATCGGACAGAGACAAATTCTTGACAAATGCCACACCACCTGAGCAGTGTAGACACAACAGCCACACAATAGATACACAGACAGCCATGTCCCAGATATGAAAAAGGGGACCCAATGGATGTACCAATGGGGACGAATGATATTCCAGGCTAAGGGCCTTGAGCAAAATCGAAACAAAAATGGTAAGAGGAAAGCCCGTAGAGGAGCAACGATCGTAGAGAAAGTCAATAAATCCGTGCGTCACTCACACCGGAACATAAGGATTGACAAGAAAAATGATAGTTCATACTCAAGACAATTACGCCTTGAGAGATAAAGAAATTCGTAATGAGCGTCTTGGTGGAAGACGCAGAAATAGAACCGCCGATGAAGATGGAGAAAAACAATCCACAGGAAAGCTGAACGGAACACCAATATGTACAAATCGGGTAAAAGAAGACGCCCACGCTGTCGAAAGTGGGAAGAAAAAAGCAGGGGGAGTAATGTGATGTCTCAAAACTGCCAGGATGTCGCTATGCCGAGGTTGCGCCGTAAATCGAAGTAAAATATATCAAAAGCAACGCGCACCGCGCCTATGACTGTGGCCGTTCATTTACTGGTGCGGCCTCATTGGATGACTTTTCCTTGTCCTTAGGTTTCCAGAAGTGCATCATTCGGCTGAGACGGTGGCCCTTCTTCTTTGTTTTGTCGGATGCGTTGCTAGGGGGTTTCTCCTCCTGGTTGAGCTTGCTCCGCTCAGAATGGGGACCACCGACTAGCTTGGAAAGGCTGGCTAGACTAGAGCGTTTGGAGGCGTTAGCCTGGCTGGTGCGTCGGGTACCAGCAGCTGAGAAGGATGCCGCGCGGTCGGTAGAAAGACGTGCGCGGGGAAAGAAAGAAGCCGCCGAGAAGCGATTCAGAGTGTTGGTCATAGTTGACGCACTGCTGGTCAAAGATGGAACATCTTCAACCGATGCATACTGATATTCCGCCGAAGGAAGGTGATGATACGAGTGACTGGAAAAGTTCCGGTCCGTCATCGAGGATGCCGCAGTTGACCGCGGAGCATCCGGAGACGGGAAAGACGAGTCAGACGGCGAAACCCCTGGTTGTAACGCGAATGGTGGAATGCTAGGCAGCAGCTCAATGGGTGAGGTCGCAGGTCGCTTGTCCACAGCTAAGAATCGAGGAGAAATGTCGGGACTGGGAGGTCCAATCACTTTATGTGCAGGTTCTTCCGTCTTCAAAATGTCCACAGGGGTTCGAGGCTTGCTGGTGAACGGATTGCTGGCATTATGTACCTGCTCAAGGGCACCTCTTTCCTCCGGCTGTTCTTGGTTCAGACGCTTATCGCCTTGTTGAATACCCAAGCCAGCATTCTGAGAGGAGATGCTACCGGCAGGGGACGGGTCAGGGTATCACTAGTGCCAGAGGTATTGTTGCTGTGAATAGATTTCTGATCTTCCTCCGATGACGAGAAAACTGCGTTGTCGATCGGTGGCGGGTTTACCGGAAGCCGCTCGCCCTTGGGTGACTGGGAAGCAGCCAAGAAAGCATCCTCTTCCTCCTCGTCGAACACATCGGGGGTTTCGACTGCCGAGGTTGGACCCAAACGGAATGCGCCTAGAGCAGACCGGTCGAATGGTTGCATCGCCGGAGCACTTTCGGTGCGCCGATGGTATCGCATCTCTGGGCCAACAAATTCACCCCGTCTTCCGCCGCTGTACATCCGCTGAGTTGCTATCGAAAAGTTGTTGTTGGACGCACCCTGCGTGGCGGGTCGCATATCCGGAGTGTTGAAGGGACCAAGCGCCGCATCTAGGTCGATGATGGGGCTACTCAGTACATTGTCATGCGGGCCGACACCCTGTTCATAGAAACTCCTCGGTTTCCACGAGGTCTCTAGAGATTGTGCAGACAAAGAACTGCCATCGGTTTGACAATTATTTTGGATGGGCTCAAGGGCAGAAGAAGGCATCGTCGGATTGGTCGCAGTTCGGATGACAACGACGTCGTCATTATCAAAATCAACATCTAAAACAGATCCTGTCCCCGAGTTGGTCCGAGTAAGAGCAGGGGGACGAGCTGCAGGAACGCGAGGTACAGGCGGCGGCTGTTCTGTGTCAGCCTTCGCATGGCGCTTACTCTTGCCCTTACTCTTGGTTCGAGTTAGAATGTGACCGGCCCAAGAGCGAACACGTTTCTGCTTCTTCTTTTTCGACTTGAGAGGGGATTTGTTAGATGATTTTTCTGTCGCTTCATCGCCAGATGTATCGGAACCATCGTCCGAGAATGAAGCCCGGCAGTTGTCTGTCGACTGAATATCCTCGGGCGAGAGAGTAGAATCAAGATGCGGTGTCGATTTGCTCTTTCGAGAGCGCGAGTGCCCAGCGGCTGAGTGCGAACGTTTGATAGATAATCCCGAGTCGTCATCCATCTGCATAAAATCCATAACCAAAGAGGCATCGGCAGTTTTGGGTCGAGGTTTTGGGCTGTATTCAGGTCTTGGCGTTATCCGGTCCGGGAAAGTAGGCTTCTCCACCTGTTGCTGTATCTTGATTGTGGCCATACTATCCGAGGTACCATGTGAAACAGTAGGTACTGGTCGTTCAGAATCCGATGCGTCGTTGTTCACGGCCATTTCCACTTGAATAGCAGCCGGGATGGGAGGGACAGGAGGGAATCGCGGAGAAGCAGGGGGTGTGGGGCGGCCGAGGCTAATAGCAGATTGAGAGAGTGGTCGCGAAGGAACATCTGATGCAGATTTGTGGCTAGGGTCTGCCGGCGTACAAGGCGCAGTTCCGGCCGCAGAATTAGGACCGAGTGCCTTGGTGATGGCATTCAAGTCGACATTAGAGATCGCAGCCGAACGGCGATGGGCATGGTTCCGTCGTCCAGGAACCCTGCCAACACCAGGTCCTGGAGGAGGAATAGGTTGATCTGCCATAGAAGACGCCCGTTTGTGACCTGGTCCAACTGTTTCCGGTGTTACCAAATGGTCGGTTCCAACAAACTCGCTTGGTCGCCGACGGTGTCCGCCCGCGCGAGGATTCGACAAGGATGGCGCCGAGAGGTGTGAGGACTGCTGTTCTGATCCGGGATTAAAAGAGAACGCGGGCAATGCGGCCCGTTCCCGGCGCTCAGGGGTCTCAGATTTGGCGTTAGAGGCGTCGGGATCCCGCGCTGGAAAGACAAATGGTGGATTAGGCAATGGTGCGCGCATGTGTTGGCGATGATCGGGGCTGGCGTTGGACTGATCCGAGGTATCGAAATGTGACGGGAAGCCCGCCTGGGACTGCGGAGGAAGTGAAATCGAAGCCATGATTGAAGGCTAGGGGAAAAAAACCGAAAAACAAAAACAAAAGGATATGGTAGTAAGAAAATTTCGCGGAGTGACGAAAGCCCGATAAGATCCAGATGGGGCAAAGACCTCCAGACCGACTTCCCTTCAGCGAGAAAGCCTAGGAATCTGGAGGTCAACTTTAAGCACGTTGGGCGAGGGTCATTGAATCCGCGCCAGGCAGAAAGGAACGAGTGAAATCAAATCGAAGCTACCACCAGCGATATCCAAATGGGAAAAATGAACGGACGGCCACGACGAAGGCCAAAGAGGGGAGGGTGGAAAAGGTTGGTCGTAGAGAGGTTGAAGAGAAGAAGAAGCCAAAGAGAACAACAAATCCAGGAGGGGAAGATGGGATGGGGCTGTATCTTGATTACCGTACACGGTATCACCCGTTGTCATCCGGGGAGGCAAACCAATCAACGTCGATTTTTGGAGGGATGAACCAGATTACATACTAAGACAGGGCTTGAAAGTCTATGTAGATAGGAGTTGCCTATTCCTCTCTCAACTAGTATGTACAATATAGGTAGAAGACAGTGAAGTTAATCCCCTGTCCTCCGCACTTTAGTTCTCTCCCCTGAAGGAAATAAGATATGATACACAATACAGTATTCCAGGTACACATGACACCTCGGGGAAGATGCCAGATTAGGTGACATCTGGCTGTCAAAAGCCAAAAAGAACAGAGAAAAGAAGGTTTTCTCATAAGGAATGTGACCTTCCCCTACACCCTCACTGTCGAACAATCCTACTTCCAAGTAGAGGACGTCATGACTTAGTTGCCACCATAATACGAAGTATCCGTATTTACTTCCAAGGTTAGGGTTCCTAAGGCCCATCGAAAGTGGTTCATACTTGCATCCACCGTACCTTGTACAGCCTGTAAAAAAGGCACCTATTTCAATCCTGGGGTCCTCAAGGCACCAATCAACAGGGAGGCACATCCGGAGAGAGAGAAGCGGGTATCATCACTGCCAATCATTGACCTGAATGACCATCCAAATCTCGCTTGACTTGGTGGGTCCCGGAGGGATAGCGTGCGCCACGCTGGGGGGCTGCAAGTCAAGGGGATAAGATCCATGTCGGGGAGAGGTGTTTATTGCCGAGCCAAGGCTGGGCCTTGGAAGAATGTGTGAACATGAATTCTTATGGCTTGCCGAAGTCACATTTCTTATGTGGATGTCTGGAGATTGTTAGAGTTGAAACCGACTTGATCTTCTCATTGCTTGTCTTGGCTGCGGAGTCAGATCGGATATAAATAGTGGCGCCAGACATTTCTTAGCGCCATTTGGCAGGGGGTGAAAGGTACCTACCTCCAAGACAAACGGACACTCCTAGCGCTGTGAGCGCTGTGAGACATTATTTCACCCCTAGCGTTCGGTGGACCAGTTTCTTTGTTTAACCCAATAACAATGGCGGCTTTGACGTGGGTTTGAGGGCTTGGGTCTTGGGGGCTGATCGTCATGAAATCAATTGGGGCGGCAACGGCAGATCCTGGCTTTGAATCTGGACATTGCCTGCATATGCATTTGTACCACGCCTTTAAAAGTTGATCTGTCGAGTTGTTCGCGCTTGTTTTCTCACCGTTCTTCTCTACTCATACAACATATGTACTAATTGATACATCATTCAGGTCAAAACTCTAACAACCCGATATGTACACTGTACAATGCACAGGGATAGTGATCATTGAAGGTTAATTTGCGCAGTGGATCTGATTCGCCATAATGCAATTGCCAAGTCAAAACCTTAGGGGGAAATTAACGCACAGTGTACATCGTACATGTAATGTCGTATACTTAAGTGTGAGGGTACAATGTTGTACCTAGGGACCTGGGGAGATTTGAATCTCTAAAGTCCGGATATGCGGGATGCCGATATCCACGGGAAACCCATCTGCCTTCCAAGGTTCCATGGAAGGAAAAGCTCACTCGGACCCGAATCAAAAGAAGAGCCCACTCGGACATACCCGAATCAAAAGAGAAAAAATAAATTTGATGATGTCACAGGCAGACTTTTGGTCGAGAGGGACCGGTTCATCCACGATAAATTGACGGCAGAACCATGGAACTTCCATAATCTGGGGCAACCCAATCGAGCCAAAGTTCCCCAAATGGTCTCATATGTACTGGAAGGCTTCATATGTGGTTTTTTGACTCGCGTGTATGGATCTTACTATCGTATTGAGCAAGCATAGCATGTGTGAGAAAAAAAGGAAGTTCTATACGTCAGAAAGTCTGGTCGCTAATTCGAATGCTATACTCCGTAGGTATGTAAACCACAACCTGGGGAGCATTCGGGTCCGTCAACATGATTATTCTCGCTCCCATAAACAAAGCTTCTGCGCCGAGCATCTTTTTAGAGATACCAAGCGCTACAACACTAATTCGTAAGACTTCTCTCTCTGTTCTCTTGGTAGACATACCCGATTCCTATTGATAGGGCCATACTTTTGCGTGTAATTCCCGCTGGCGCTCGTTCTCAGCCAAGTCAATAAACAGGCGCCTGGAATAATCATTCAACTCCATAGCATGCTCATAATACTCCCGGCGTACCATACCGCCCAGCGGAATAAGCCCTGTGTCTTGTAGCTCGTGTAGGACCGTCGAAATCCCGTCCAGAAGGTCCATCTCATGTTGGTGTTTTAACAGCTCTTCTTCGCTGAAATGAACTGGGCATGGTACTTCCTCGTATCCCATGTCACTCCAACGAGCGGGGACTGCGATCAATGCATAGCGTAGAGAGAATAAGTCTTCTCGGAGCCAGCATCCAGGGACCAAAACAAATGAATTTGTCTTAGCCGTGAGGAGGTGATCCGAGAGAACTTCCCATCGGGGAGGATCGCTTTTCTTGTCCGCATTGTAGTAATGGTCCAGAAGCTTTCTCTCATGATTGCTTTGATCTGAATGCGATGAGCTAGATAGCTCAAGCATCTGCGGATAAGATCGTTGCAGAGATATCGGACAAACAGAAGTATGTTGCCAGTCTATTATGCAAGTGACTCGGTTGGTCTTTGGGTCGACGAATACGTTATCAAGATGCACGTCTGGATGAGAAATCCTGTTGGGCTGCTCGATATTTGAAGAAGCTGCCAAATATGGAGCAAGGGCCAAGAAGTGGTGCTTGATAAGGGTGATGTAATCATTTGGTGTCTCCAGGGCTCCGGAGACTCCATAGATCGATGAAAATTGATTCTTTGCCTCGCATAAGAGCTAGCCCATTCAATTTCATTCTTTCCAAGGGCCGCAGCGTAATCAGCAACGCTCCCCCCAAGCTCGCATTGGCCGGCAGAAGGATATTTCATCTTGGGAACGTACATGGGCCTCTGTCCAAATCTATTGCTGCTTTTTCCCGTTCCAGAGCTTCGGATTGGCCGAAGGTCCGATCACGAACACTGGCTCTTGGCCGTTTTGACCCGTCGCCGATTCCAAAAAAACCATGCCGTGAGTCAAGAGCCTCATAATCTAAGGATCTTGATTTAAGATCTTTCTCGTAGTATAGGCAACCGTGCTTCGGGAAAGAAATAGACGCAATTTTCTTCTCCATATCCACGACCTGGTCCACGACATCCAATTGTGCTGCCATTGTGAGATTGGCCCAGACATTTCCAAGAGGCTGACCGGTAGCCTTTTCTTCGAGAATATACTCGGCACCTACTGGATTGCATGCCTCGGCCGACCAATCATAGATGCGAGGGATAGGTATGCCCATTTTGTCACGCAACTTTGTATTCCATTAGCTCCTCCTTGGATACCGTGGTGAAAGGCTTCAACATACAAAGTGGAGTGTCACGACTTCTGATGCAATTGTGTAAAAAGCTGGTCCCGCATTTGGGTTTGGCAATCGAGCCACGATCTCCAGGCCATTGCTCATGGTCAGGAGAAATGCTTAAATTGCCCTTCCACACATTTAAGTAGCTTCACACCTGTGTCACGATGTTTAGCCGAGAAATTTGCAGAAAAGACAACATACAACCTATTTTCATCATTGCCCGCGGCTTTGACAGAAATGTTTAGAAGGGCTTGCAAATTGAATTTTCGGTAGCGTATCGCGAGCTTCTCAGACTTTCCGCTCCTAAAAAGGCCAGACAGCTCCAAACAAACCTAGAAATGACGTACAGCCACCGACAACGCTGATACCGGTACAAGTCGGCCACATCGATAGGTTCCTCTACCAGCATAATCAGTAGTCGACCTGACCTACGGGAGTTTGAGAATCACCTGATCCATCCTCGAGTGCTCTCCAAAGAGATGTTGGAGTTGATTGCATCTTGAGAGTCCGTGTCGGATAATTGGAGACGGTCATGAAACTCCGAAAAGAACCCGGAATGCGATTCCGACAGGAGACATTCATTGCTGCATGGTGTCGAAAAGATTGTCATACAAGGGGAGTATTCAACAGTTGCAAAGCTGACCGGGAAAAGGTATTTCCAGATGCGTGGCACGCTTTGAATTCGCGAAAGAAATCGACTGCCCGCCGCGGGTGTCACGGGGAAGGATGATCCGAACTGGTGAAGTAGCGTGTGAGTCCTGTATCGGCCATAGAGCGCTTCCAAAGTTGTATCATTATTCGCCCAAGAAAACGAGCGAGGCCTAAAGATAGTGCGAACGACGACGCATCAGGATGTAAAATTGCATTAAAATGCCAAGCTATCAAGAGATAGTTTCAGGAGAGTGTTATCGCTGAGAGAACCCACAAGAGCGTGAGCCGAGGCAGCAATCGCACGACGGTATTGTCCTGGTCCTGCACCGTTGTAGAGCCTTGCAGGCTTTCAGAACACGCTAAGCATCGTCACTGAGATGTTCTCGAAGTCTCTAAGAAGAAAGATGGCCAACTCTCAAAGCCAATAGTAACGTTAGGGCGAATTCGGCCGGTGGTCTCAATCGACTCGCTTTCTCAAGGGCTTCGGTGCATTAAGTTCGTGAAGCTCAAGGGACAAGTTCAGTCGGACATACCCGAGTCAAGAGGGAGGCTGAACCAACATAATCTGGGGCAATCTAGCCAAAGTTTCCCCGAACGCACTCGCACATCTACAAATTTTTGCATACAATGTAGGGATCTTACTATCATCTGAACAAGTATACCTAGGTAGCGTGTAGGGGAAAAAAAGGGAAGTTTTATACGTCAGAAAGTCTGCTCACTAATTCAAATGCTGTATGTAAGCCACCCCAAAAAAACAATGCACCTATGCATCACTGTCAGACTCAAGCTCATCGCTTTCTAGATGCTTCCTCCGCTCCTCGTTCATCTCTCTATATGTGCTGAAGCTCAGCATGAAAAATGCCACCGTGATCAAAATGCCTCCAATAATAGAGGCCATAGACAACGAGTCTCCAGTTCGGAACCAGTCCACCAGAGCGACAAGGAAAATGGTAAGGAGAGCGGCTACTGATGATAGAACGGGCGATGTGAGGGAAATCAGCACAAGGAAAGAGCCCGAGAACGCTATCTTGGTGTTAGCCCTCTGCCTCTGTGCCGAGAAGGCTGGGATTGGTACTTACTAGCATTGGCACCCACGGAAATGAGCAGCATCCATCCTGCCTCGCCAGTCGGCCATTCAAACGTCTCCCACCCTATCCAGTGCAAAAATGGCAGCGGTATCCATAGTACTAACAGGGTAAAGACCCCAATTAGACTCCCAAAGGTATTGGCAAAGATCGTACCCCGGCCAGGGCTGGTACCTTCCGGAGGGCAGGCAAAGCGTTTATAGAGCACCTCGTAAAGCCCATAGAGAATACTTCCAACGCCGATAACGATGTTCCCGAGCAATCTGTTCTGCGCCCCGCTGTCATCCGTGCCTCCCTTTGAGGTCTTCTTATTGGCCCCATCTCCATAAGCAACGACCATAACGCCAATGGTAGCTACGGCCACGGAGAAGACCTTGTCAACCCGCAGTTTCTCGTTCAAAAGCGGAATCGAAAAGGCATATGCGAAGAAAGCCGAGCAGTTGTAGATTGCCGTCAGATCGCTGGGAGTGGTCATGTTGACTGCCACGTACCATGATCCGCCGGCGACTGTGAGAGCAGTAGTCACAAAGGCGGTGGTCGTCAACATGTAGCGGACTGGAGATCGATTGGATGCGCGAGTGGTGAGGTGCACTTCCTGGGATTCTACCATCTGCGCAGTGGTGCGAAGGAAAAAGACGTGGCGCCGCCAGAAAGCATCCCAGGTGAGCTTCCGCTTCTGTAACCGAAGGATACCTAGCTGGACTAGCCAAAGCAAGGACCATGAACCGTGGGTCATATAGCTGCATAGGGAGAGTGAGATGGTAAGCGTTTACATTCCGGGAAACAGGTTTCGCATGGGCATGTCGCTGGCGTCTTTGCGCTCGGACTTACAGCATGCAATACGGCTTCTTCCAGTGCAATTCATTTTGAATGTATGAAGCGGTTTCGGTCTGGACCACGAAGCTGACCAAACTGAGTAAGAGGAATCCAGATGCAACCAAGTATTTCTTGCGGGTTGCTCGGGCAGCGTCGTGTTCCGGACTTTTACTCCGGATTGTTGGCCTCCTGGTCTCATGCAGCATTGGCTGGCCTTCCGGGTCGGCATTCACGAAGCTCGAGTGGGAACGGGACCGGCGATGGTGGTCATGCTTCAGGAGGGGTTGTTGCGAGCGGCCATCTGTTGGTCGGTGTAATGGGGGGCGATTGGAAGCCATTTCGTCGTCAGAGTCGAAGTCGTGGACCGCGTCTGGGCGTGAGATAACCCGCGGCTCTGAGAGCTCAATACTATGCGAAGCCACAACGGCGATGGTGAGGGAAGGTGCTAGTCGGATTTAACTACCTCGACATGAATACCGCCGTCAGGGGTGTTCTTGTCCGATTTACTGCACTTGTGGGAGAAAATAGGGATAAGGAGCCAAGGCGTGGACCATCGAATGGCCACCCATCAAGTTGATGTAGATAACGTGGCTAGAATTGATTTCCCCGGAAAAGGCTACCCTTGAAGCCTATTCCCACGTGTTCAATAGATGCTGCGCAGGCGCTCACAGAATACATGCGACTCGGTACCGATCGGATATAGTTGTCGCTCGAACGGTAGGTTCAATCCAGTAACGATTATTGTATCAGATGTGAACCAAAGGGCAGAATGTATCAAATAGAATCATTCAGGTCGAAGACGATCGGAAATCCAATGAGGCGTGACAGAATGACCGCCTTCAGGTGCCATTATCCACTTGTGGACCCCTGTAACTACATCACGTGATTTACACTAGGCGCACGCTATGCCAGACTTGAGTTAGCGTGTGCAATTACGTCATTCGGCTATTTTAGGAGCAGGAAATGGCCCCCGGGGTTCTGAAATTAGTATCAGAAGACTTGGGCTCCAGAGCATGATAGAAATGTTGGGACGTATTAGATAGCATCAGGATTCCTCGAATTCTCATTGGTTTTCACTAGCTAGCATTTATGTATGTGCCAAATCTGATGGACAACCCTTAACATGTCCCTTTACCTTATTCCTTAGGCCCAAACACCGCCTTCTGAGTATCATAAGTATACTTCAGATCAAGGTGCCAGTAATTGGGAGAGTTGGACTTGGCGACCAGCCAAGCCTGGTCCAAAGCCTGCACAACCTCTTCTGGGAGCGGTCCCTTCTGGAGATCGGCAAGGTTAGTCTCAAGCTGTGCGAAGCTACTAACTCCCACCAAAACTCCGTCACGACCGCCATTCTCCATTCTCAGAGCAGAGTGATGGCGGACCCAGCGTAGAGCCGTCTCTAGAAGTGTGAGACCATGTTTCTCTACGACAGGCTCAATGATACTCAGAGCTTCGAAGGTGGCATCTCTGAAGTAACGTTTGCGATAGTTGGATCCGGTAGAGCTGGAGTCGCTGTATCTGCCTTCCGCAGGATATCTTGGGATTTGTATTTTCCCGAGAAAAGACCACCGGCCAGTGGGTTGTAGATGACTATATCGAGACCGTACCGGTGGCAGGCGGGAACGAGTTCAGTCTCGATGTTGCGTGCTACCAATTGTGTCAGCTGAGTGGCCCTGACCTTAGGTATCAAAAGGAAGAGAAAGAACACTACATACTAATCGCATTATACATGGCCTGGTAAATGGTGGGGCGGACCCATCCCCTCTCAGCACAGAGGATGCAAATCTCAGCCACTTCAAAGGCTGTAAAGTTGCTCAGACCGAGCTGTACGAACTTGCCCTCCTTGTGCAGCTGGTTAACAGCCTCGAGAGTTTCAGCGAATGGAGTGGCGCGATCTGCTGCGTGCAGATAGAAGATATCGACTGTGTCGGTCTGCAACTCCTTCAGGGAAAGCTCCAATTTCTCACGGACGACCTCCGGCTTGTGAAAGCCGGGCTGGTTTGGGTACCATTTTGTGGCCAGAGTCAGCCCACGCGACTTCCAGTTCGCCTTGGCTGTGAATGCCTCCTGTTCCCCGTCGATGTAAATACGGGCAGTATCAACTTCGTTGAACCCTTGCTGCTGGAAGTAATCAAGGCATTTGTTGAACTCATCCAGTGAGGTGATCCGGGCACCCTTGGCCTCGGTTGGGCCAAAGGTCATCAACCCGAGAATAACTCTGGGCTGGGGGTTCTGTGCGATCAGAGGCATGATGTGAATTGAGACTTGTTCAGCGTATGTGAGGTGTTGAAGGTAAGATGGCGTGCGAGGACGGCGGGGCTGCTGGGTGGAGTGGTTCTCGTATATTAGACTCTAGCGCGAGGGGTACAATGAATTTGTAAGCCATAGTCGACTGATAACCTTGAAACGACTTATTGGAAGAGCCTTGCAAGGATAGATTAAGAGAGAACATCGCCTCCTTCGGTAACTAATATCCGAAGCCACAAAGTCGTTCACCTTTTGAAGAAGTGGTCCGCCAAGCTCTTAGGAGATATATGGTGGGGTTGCGGAGGATCCCGATAACAGATAACGGAGCTCATCGCAGTCTCCGCGGGTATTCATTTCTTCCCCGAAGAGCAAGGAGCTGTCCTTCCTGTCAGTCTATTCAATTCACCTCTTTCTTCCAAATATGAGTCCCGCTCTTGAGCCAAGATATGGCACGAACGACATTGTTCAGCTGGATCCGAGGAAAGGCGAACGGGACTATAGCATATTGATCATCAACCCCAATACCTCAACGCACATGACTGAAGCCCTGAAGCCCATATTGGCCAGCATGAACTACCAAGATGTGCACTTTGAGTACTTCACTGCTCCAGACTCCACCGTGGAGGTTGACGGATTCGAGATTGGACCAATTGCAAGCATCAACAATGCCAAAGAATCATGCAATTCGGCATTGAATTGCTGGCCCGTACGGGAGTTTATCGGCCATTACGATGCCTTTCTTGTAGCGTGCTACTCCGCGCATCCGTTCGTCGGGAGGCTCAGGGAGGACATCAGGGCAACCGAAGAAGCAAGCTCGACAAGAAACAAATATGTCACTGGAATCTTTGAAGCATCCATCACCGCTGCGCTCTCCTTGGTTAGTGGTTTCGCATTGCAAGATCCAATCGATCCAACAGAGAGGCTACTCAAGTACCAAGAGAAGGGCAGCTTTGGTATCGTGACCACTGGCTCCGCATGGAAGGAGGAGCTCACCAATGCGGTCCAGGGAGCGCTGGGTTACGATTATGAGGACGGGACCTCCATGCACTTTGCAGGAGTCGAGACCACCGGCCTGACAGCAGTTGAACTGCACACCACAGAACCAGAGGAAGTGAGACGGCGGATCATCGACGCTACCCGTAACCTGCTTCGCAACTCGGAATCTCGTGTTAAGGTTGTCTGTCTGGGCTGCGCAGGTATGGCTGGCATGGAGGAAGCCGTGCGGGAGGGCTGTATTCAGGAATATGGACACCCAGAAGGCCAACGTGTACGCATTGTCGATGGGGTAGTTGCCGGTGCTGGAAACCTCATCACGGCGTTGAAGGCAGGATTCTGAGTGATTTAGTGGTCTAGGGCGACGGTTTAGTGAATTAAATCACTTGGAGACGATATAACAAAATTTTAGCATAGCTTGCCAACTTGGAAAGTATTTAAACCTCAGTTTTAGCCAGTCCTCATTCTTGCATAAATTTATTTTACAGGTCATTAAAATGTTGATGTCCAACCTTACACATGAGGTAGCAATAGCTTCTGCCTGAGGCAACAATATCGGCCAAAAAGTTCCCCGCGTGAACGCGATACGCGTTAACGAGCAGCAACACTCGACTCCTGCGAAGGAAAGATGCCAAGGTTTGTTGATACTTCCGACTCAATCATAATTGATGGTGCTCAATCTAGTTTGGATATCGATGCTAATATTGGTGGAAATTGCAGAGAAATCATCACAATCCAAGCCGGCCAGTGCGGCAACAACGGTATGTGGCTCAACTCCGCGATCCATTCCACGAGACCCTTGATCTTATTCTTTTAAATGAAGCACGAAAAAAAAATATACGTCTAGGTTGGCTAACATTTGTTCTATCCAGTTGGCAGTCAGTTCTGGCAGCAGCTGTGCCAGGAGCACGGGATCAGCGCAGATGGAAACTTGGAAGAGCATGCGACTGACGGAGCGGCTGGTGATCGCAAGGATGTCTTCTTCTACCAGGTGCGTACAGGAACCTTGGAATAGCCCATCACCAGTTTGGTGTCATGACAAGAACACTGGCTAACAGACGTGGACAGAGTGACGACACCAGGTACATCCCTCGAGCGATTCTTCTCGACTTAGAGCCAAGGGTATGCTATCCTTCACCGAGCATAGCGACACACGATTATTAACGCACAATTGTCTCCAGGTCCTCAACGCTATCCAGACTGGCCCCTACAAGAATATCTACAACCCTGAGAACTTCTTCATCGGACAACAAGGTATCGGAGCTGGAAACAATTGGGGTACCGGATATGCTGCGGGCGAGGGCGTGCAAGAGGAGATTTTTGATATGATTGACCGCGAAGCAGACGGAAGTGACTCATTAGAGGGATTTATGCTGCTACATTCGATCGCAGGAGGAACAGGCTCTGGACTGGGAAGTTTCATCCTAGAACGCATGAACGATCGATTCCCGAAGAAGCTCATCCAAACCTACTCCGTCTTCCCCGACACGCAGTCCGATGTCGTCGTCAACCCTTACAACAGCTTGCTTGCCATGCGGCGATTGACCCAAGATGCCGACTCCGTGGTCGTCCTGGACAATGGTGCTCTATCACGAATTGTCGCTGATCGGCTCCACATTCAAGAGCCCTCGTTCCACCAAACCAACCAGCTTGTGTCAACTGTTATGTCTGCATCTACAACGACGCTACGATACCCTGGGTACATGCACAACGACTTGGCCGGGATCATCGCCTCGCTCATCCCCACGCCACGCAGCCACTTCCTTCTCACATCATACACACCCTTCACGGGCGCCAACATCGAGCAAGCCAGGACAGTGCGAAAGACAACCGTACTAGACGTTATGCGTCGTCTTCTACAGCCCAAGAACCGCATGGTCTCCGTCAACCCCAGCAAGTCCAGCTGCTACATCAGTATCCTCAACATCATCCAGGGCGAAGCCGACCCGACCGACGTGCACAAGTCATTGCTGCGCATCCGAGAGCGCCGCCTCGCTTCTTTCATCCCCTGGGGCCCTGCCAGTATCCAGGTTGCTCTCACGAAGAAGTCCCCGTATATTGAGGAAACCGGGCACCGCGTCAGCGGGCTGATGCTGGCTAACCATACCTCCGTCGCGACACTCTTCAAGCGCATCGTGAAACACTACGACATGCTCCGCAAGCGCAATGCCTTCTTAGATTCATACAAGAAGGAAGCGCCATTTGCTGACGGACTTGGCGAATTTGACGAGGCACGGGCGGTTGTGATGGATCTGATCGGCGAGTACGAGGCAGCTGAGCGAGAGGACTACTTGGACCCAGATGCCGGTAAGGCAAACGAACTTGGAGTATGATTTGACATTCGAAGATTTTCATTTCTAACCCTTCTTTTCTTTTCTTTTTCCTTTTTGCTATTTGAGCAGGGCAAGGGGGTTTGAGCGCATCATCGGTGTCTGTGCCGGCGTCCACGGGTTTTTATTCACATTTACATTTTTGCTTTCTTTTTTTTTTTTTTTGCCCTTTTGTCTCTCCCCATCCTCAAACCTTACCAGTGGACATATCACGAAACCAATCCACGCTAGTCGCTATTTAAAATTGGCCACGAACACGTAGCCCGTATAGAGCGTGTCAACGTGGTATGATTCTGATTTTTACCGTTTAGCGTATGTCTACGAGGGATCCGTGAGCAGATACGGAGTGGTGTACATATTACATATTACATAGGGCGATGGGGTGGAGATGTGGAGAGAGACGGTGAAATTGGGTAGCGGGATCGGCCCTCACTTCAGGCCTAACCCGGGAAATGTATACGGAGTACAAAAGGCATCGCACCTCCGTACTCTGTACTGCGTACGGAGTCTGCAGTCCTGCATATGCTGTTACCGATGCAATAGCTCCACGCGGATCATCCGTTGTGCTTAGGCGGCCTTGGCTCAGGCGACTCGTCGATTTGTCTCGAAGACAGTTCACTCGTTGCAGAGGTCATAGCTCCTTTCGTCCACTTGCATGAGCTTTTTTTCCTTCTCCCTTTTGCATTGGATTGAGTTGTATCATTGGGCACTATGTATTCTGTATGTCTGTATGATAAAGGACAGTGCCTGGAGTACCGCATTAGGAGAAGTCCGGGTGAACATCTTGCCACCTTGGTGGCGCGAGACGGAAGCGATAATTTTTGGGTTCTCTTCCCAAGTCTAATTCAACTCTAGTTAGTAACTAGTTAGTACGGAGTAGTCAGGAGTTAGTTAAGTTAGGAGTTAGTTGAGATATATTAGTTTTCCATCGTACACCTGACTCCTGAATCATCACGTGAAATTGAATGCACGGGCAATTCAACATTCCGATCATTGGGCCCGAGACCAGATGCTTGGGTGATACGTCCGCGTGGTAAAGTCAAAAAAAGAATTTTTTGGGGAAAGAAACAAGAAGAAAGAAAGGGAAAAAAAAACCTTTAAAAAATCTTTAACTATATACAATATAGGTAGGTAGTATGAAGTATACCCAGTACAAAGATAGGGGGGTCTTAATTTCCAAGGATATAGTTTCTTTAAAATGGCCTAACTGGGCCAAATATCATAAATAATCTTATAATCATGTTAGTAATCTCCAATATCTGAACCAATTAATTCTAATAATTTCATTTAAATCCCTAAAATTCCAACTAAAATTCCCTAAAATCCGCTAAAATCCCAATTGCCTTAGCCCCATATTCTGGGATCTCCACTTTCTTGATTCCGTCACTGTCGCCTCACTGAGTCAGCCCCGTCTCTGGTTAGAAGTCTGTTTCTTTGGCTTTCTCCCGTGTCTTCCGACTTGTACCCTATATATAGGTTGGTCGTGCTAGTCCAACTTTCCCTTCCTCCCCCTTTTACAACTTTCCAACTTCCAACAACTCGGATTCTCTATTTCCCCGCTCATCTCCGCACTTGAACCCGGCGCTTATCTCAAACCTCAGTGTCTCGCCTACTACTTCTACTCCCTATTTCTCTTTCTCTCTTCCGCAGAAGTACCTCTATATCTTTCTCCCTCTCCAAACCACCCTCTACCACACAACCCAACCACAATGCCTCCCCGCAAGCCCCGTTGCAACTTCAAGGAGTGCAAGGAAGCCGCCCAGCGCATCGTCGGTGACTGCAGCTTCTGCGCCGGCCACTTCTGCTCCAAGCACCGCATGCTAGAAGCCCACTCCTGCACCGGACTGGAGGACTGCAAGAAAGAATCACACGCCCGAAATGCCGATAAGCTGAACAGCGAACGGACCGTCGTTGTCAAGGGCGTATGAGAAAGGAGACCACAATCGGAATGAGAAATAGCCGTTTCTTCGCTATTCTCTCGGCTGGACAAAGGGGCCCGGATGGTGCCATCCCCTGAGGATGACTTGCCTAGTCTCTGCAGGCTCGGGCCATCTCGCCTCCTTCCCCCCCCTATCTTATCTGCCCGCCTCGGCCGACCTGGTGCCATCCCTGCTTGGCTTGGCTTCGATTCGGTTCGATTCGACCCGATTCCTCCCTTTCTTGCGTGCCTCTGCGGTGATCTTGGATTTAGCGCGGTGTTTCGTTTTACTCTCTTTCCTCTGCTCGGATTTCCGGGATTGGGTTTCGTCTTTCTTTTGGTTCACGATCTATATCTAGATCGGATTCTGTTTTTGGCTACGGCTACGGTTTATTTGGGATGAGTCTGCGGGATTCATTTGCATGGCGTTGTTTTGGTGTTGACATGTTTTGGTCTTTCTGACATTTTGGTCATTTATTATTTATCATCTATTCATTGATGCCACTGTTGCAGTCTCGCATTTTGGGCATGTCTTCTTTTTTTCGGGGACCGCTAAATAGAGCTCTTTGGGGTCATTTTAGCCATGAACTATACATATCTTCGAAATTTTGTGTCCCTTCTTATCACAGGACGTATATTATACCTCTGTAGTACTTCCCGTGGCTTATGGATAACCAGAAACACGGATGGTTGCCAGCCATTAGTACAGTTAGAACAGAACATGGAAAGATTAGGTACAAGTACAGATATGGTATTCTTGAACTAAGATTGTTGATCGCATGAGACCCATTTGAAACACCGTAGGATCCATTTAGCCCGGTCCAATCTTCGGCCTGTATAACAAGTCAGCTTATAGTCCTTCAATGCCCAAAGAAAATGAACAAATGCTTAAAGAGGAAGACATACATATCATGATGTTCACTCAGCCGACTCAGGTACTTATTCAACTCCTCCACACGCTCCTTATGAGTTTTAACACCTTCGCGCTGGAGGCGCTCATGCAACTGTCCCAAAAAGTGAGTTCTCTGTCCAACAAAGCCGAAGTAGAAACGTCCCGGCCCGACAAAAAGACAAAAGGGGGGGGGGAAGGGAGAAAGAAAGATAACATACCCGTTTCCGCCGAATCTCCTCAGCTCTCTTTTCGGCCTCAGTCTTCCCAGGCGCATCCCTCTCCCTCTCTCTATCTTCCCCAGATCTAACATCCTCATCCTTCTCACTTCCAGGCCGCTCCGTGTCCGGCGTTGACTCTGACTTGGACTGTGTCGCTTCTCCCTCCTCCTTCTTCTTCGTGCTCTTCTTCTTTTTCTTCTCTATCCGCCCTCCGCTGACTTTACTCCCCTTCAGCTTGAGCTTGCCGCCGCCGACGGAGTACTCATCGCCCGCCATGCTTGCGGCGCTGGCTTGGGGGATGCGTAGGATGTGGCTATTCGGGTTACGCTCTTTTGGCGGTGTGGCGTGTCGGTCGTAGCGTTCGTTATCGGGTCCAGTGGAGATGATAGCGTGCGCGGCGTGCGGAGTAAGATGAGGGGGCTTGGTCGGTCTGTCTTGTGTGTTGGCGTGGATGTGGGGGGTTCGTTACTTTTTTTTCGGAATTCGAGTGCGACGCTTGACTGAGGGGATAGTATTATTTGGTTTTTTGGGTGTTGTGGTGTTGATTGAAAATGGAGGGTTCTCTTGTCGCGGTTTGAGGTTGGATTCGGGCCAATCAGAGGCGGTGGCGGGTTAACGGTTCTCTACATCGGACATCTACGAGGGTTTAAGGGATATCACGACAAATGGTTTTTCGTCCTACGGAAAATAATCATATACCTGGGCATAAGCTTATATGCTTTCCATGTAAGTTTATAAAATTGCTCTGGTTCAATAAAAAAGATAAGATACTAGTACTAACCGATCTCTAGAATATGACCTCTTGTGTTGGATGGTAGGAACTGAGGCGAACTAATACCACAACCTTACAGGTAGAACATTCGATAGTAAAATGAGTGTGATTTTTAAAAAGTAGGAGAGCTGCTCAGCTATTGAACCTATACAGGCTTATAAAGTAGTGCCAAGTCCTAAGTGCTACCTTAGGTGGCTACTATATAAAGAAAGTAAACATATAACCTTGGAAATGTTAGGACGGGATAGGTGTAAGCCACCATATAGGTCCTCTCGTAGCGAATACTCATCTTAAGTAACTTCCTGTAAATACATACATGCACAGTTTATAGGTGTATGGACTACATATCAACTGGGTTAGATATAACGGTACTTACTACTAGATACTAAGACTATTAGACTATCTTCGATCTACACAAGAAGTGCCCGATGCCATTTTCTAGGGCCCTGCATACCCTCTCCCTGCGCAAAGTTAGCCCTGTCAATCAAGATACCAGTTACAAATCGTGTCTTGAGCTCCGCCCATCTCATCAGAAGTCTTAAACCGCACGCCGTAGGGCCGCACATCCTTGTCAATTGGAGCAAGCTGGCACGAGTGCGCACAGCAAAATGCAATTTCTGATCGGCAGTTGTCGATGATAGTTGCTGCATAACCTGTGTTAACTGTAATGGGAGTAATATGCAGGTTTGCAAGCTGAGGTGTAAGGAAGCACAAGTCCTGAACGTTCGACTATTTTGCTGGGGCTTTGGTATCTTGGGATATTAGGTCGGCAGATAATGACTGGTGACTTCCATAATGTGATCCTTCTGTGTATGTCTGAACACCGGAAAGGAGTTGATCCCAGTAGTATTTCGTATTTGGCGGTAGACCTTTCTTCTGATCTTCTTCCTGTAAAGTTTGTCAGCCTCTCTTGAATTGGCAAAATGAAGCAACAAGTTGCCTGCGGAGACAAACAAGCATCCATCCGAAACTTTCAATAACTTCAGTTTCAAACTCAATCCGGTTGCGTTCCTTCTTTCCAATGTATGCGTCGTTAGGATAAACAATCGCAACGACAAAATCAATCCAGATAACCCTCTCGAGGTCACCAGGAACAATGAGGATGTTCTTCGGGTATGGATCATTATGCTCAACTAAAGCCACATGGATTTGCCGAATGCCATTGACAGCTTTCTGCATACGTTCCTTTGTATAAGTCACGCAGTTCATTACCAAAGGCTTTGGTAGGTACTCGATCAGAATGGCACGTGGAAGACCTTTGTCATGCCGAAAGGCGTCAAGATGAGGAGCACAGTCGCCTGGGTGGATAGCGAGCATAAAACCATAGAAATTTGGCACGACACCAGCATCGCATAGCTTGGACCGTGTTTAAGAGTGCAATATGCTCTAATCTCGCAGCGAGAGCGGTCCAAATCTCGAATACGATCGTCGGCGTACCCAGGATCTCCCTTATTGTGGAACTGCATCGTACCACGATCAGAAAAACGAACACAGGTTTGGGAATATGCACATCTGAAGGTACATACCACTTTCAAGACCCGTGGCTTGCCGTAGTAGCTGACATGAAATATGGATGACGGCCCCGAGACATTTAAAGTCTCCTCAAACTCCATCTTCGCAAAATCGATGTCAATCTTGAAGCTCTTGTCGAAGTCCACCTCATCACGATAGATGGTGTCCTCCTTCCTCACTGATCCGACAAAAGTGTCTGACATGGATGAAAGAAGAGAAATAAGAAGGATAGGCAAGCTCCCTTTAAGCGGGCTGTCTATGAAGAGATTGCCACCTGCTAGCCACTCGTACGGGCAAAAATGTGAGATGAGGTGTCTATGTACATAGATGTTGCTCAATAGCGTTGAACAACAAACCCCTGTGGGAATTCACTCTGAAAGCGGTCAATATATGTATGTTGTAACTGGGCAAGTATCTACCTACCTACCTAGATAGGTAGTCATTCTACACGTGACTAAACTAGGCATGGTCCCTGATCTAAGCCCGTGCTAACATTCGTCTACTTAGTGAGCCTGAACCTGAGCTTATAAAAGCGGCAGCTCAAATAGGAAGCGGGTAAGTCCGGTACATATAGATACATTATGTACACCCGTGGACATTATGAGGTAACCCAACCACATCACTACCTAGCTAAACCTTTTTCCGCATCCTAAGTCATCTGCTCCTTCCTGGGTACTCTACTCATAGGAAAGCAAAGATATTTCAAAACAATGGCTGGATCTAAATGCGTCAGATATGGAAGGGACGTGGAAGACTTCCTGGCCGACCTGCCTCCTTCCACAAACAGATACACCTACGAAGGGAAAGAACGATTCGAGGAAATTGCAAACATTGAATATCACCGCCTAGAACGCTCGTTACGCCATCTCCAGTCTGAACCATTTGATGACTCTCTTGACATATCAGAATACTTTGTTATCATCATCGATCCGCCCTCGTTTCGGAGAGACTTTTCCCTCAAGCTAAACGTTGGTGTTCGTCAGTTCTATAACCCGGCCCTACATATTCTGATCCTCAGAATGGTTCTGCCCGAACATTCTCAGGTTGCCGGGATATTTCACGATACAGTAATGGACGCTTTGCGACCCATGGGGCTCGATAAAGAAGCAATTCACAGATATGGAGGGACGAGCATCGGCGTCGGCGGCGGAATCACAAAACAGCCGCATTGGGGCTGGGGCCCCAGGTGGTCACCTGGTGTCGCGAAAAGGCTCTCGGTAGTCGTTGAGGTTGGCCTTTCAGCCGAAACGAAGCTGCGCAGCGACGCAAGAATGTGGGTGGATCCCACCAGCGGCGAAGCGAACATGGCCATCACCATCAAAGTCAACCGCCAGAATCCCATAATCAAAATCGAGACGTGGGAATGGGATTCCAATGCCCGGTGCCCCTATACCAGGCAATCCTGTGTGATAGAGAAGACTGGCGATGATATTACAGTCTCTAAACACCCTCTAACGATACCCTTCCACTACGTTTTCCGACGAACCCCTAAAAATCCTGAAGAGACTGATATCAGACTGCAAAAGCAGGACCTTGTAGTAATTGGAACTGGGGCCTGGGCGATGCAAGAGCTGTGACTCTTATGACGAGATCACCTGGACAGGCACTCAAGGATCAACTTCGGCCTGGGATATGCAAGTCTAGTGACTTTCATGAGAATGATGGAAGAGAGAGGGAAAAGTCCCAATCAACTCTGAATATCCGGCTTATAAAATAAGGATATCAATGTTCGGTGAGTCACCTTTCACTCTCACCTCACTCTCACTTCACTTTCACTTTCACTTCACTTCACTTCACTTCACTTTGACCCTTGCCTCACTCCCACCCTCACCTCTTTCACATCCATTAATCACTCGGCATGTATAATGTTAACCGACCCAGATCACAAAGTCCGAGCCTGGAAGCCCTTGCGTGCCTCCAAATTCCTCACAATCTTTGTATTTCTCCCGACTCCACTAAGATCGTCTACTCACTACAATATACTATATCACTAGGCCTTGAAACCTGCCTAGAGAAGTTTGCTATAGGACATTCTATACTCGATGTTAATGCAACATGTTCAACGAGAGAGATATTCTAGTCAGAAAGGATACTGCGTATCGAGTTCACTGGTGCCGCTTAAATACATATGTACCCAAACAAACACGTAGATATCAGTTAGGACTACCGTTTACTCCTTGAAGCAGAAACCCTTAATCTTTGGCTCTTGGATTCGACTCGCGCCATTCCATTTAAGATCAAGTCCATCATTCGAATCTTAGCTTCAACGCCCTCTCTCCAGCGGAACAACCCACACTTAATTAATTTTGTTATTTCGGAAGCTTTGTTATGAGAATGACGTGCGTGTGCCCTTGATGCAGGCTATTGCTTTTTACTGGGCGTGTGTCCTCAACGGTCTGCCCGTCGAGGTGGTGAATTATCTTCGAGAAGGACATTCCAAGGTTGGATTACCGAGAGGAAACATGGTAATTTCTGGAAGCGAATGAGGCAGTTTTATGATATGTACTTGCAATAAGCGTTACAATAGTCCTTTTGCTATGATGACTCTTGTAGGTCATGTTATACCTGCGGCCGTGTGCAGCAAGGCTCAAACTACCTAGATGTTGACAAGATCAGTGAAAGTCTAAAGTGCATTTACAACATGATATACATTGGCTCACCAGCTTGGATGTTGGACCCATACATTTCATCAAAAACAGGTTTAATCTAGAGTTTCGAGGACTCGCTTAAAACCGACGCCCAAATACCACCTTGGCCGGCAATTCAATACCCCAAGGTGGCGTAGTTATTAAGCCACCAGAGATATCTAGGTGATATTCGGCACGCACTACTTCTGTTATGGTGCGGGTGCATCGCCCGTGGCGTAATTGGGCGCCCCTCCGTGATGGTGAAGAGTTGTAATTTATTGTGGCGGCGAAAACGAGGGGAATGCTATCTTAGAAATTCTGGGGCCTTGGACGAAAGTCAGTAAGCAGACATACATACTTGGATAATTGACAGTTTCTCCAGGTCGTTCACCTCGTCAAAGCACCTTTTCGTAATTGGAATATACACACAATGCTTAGAACGCGCGAATGCCATGAGGAAGCTGAAATGCCGCTTATCTTTGCCGATTATTCGATCAGTATATCAGAGGGAAGCGGGGATTTATCGGCTTTTCTTGTCTCTCAGTACATCCCTTTGCCCTAGCGGCTGTCGGGCAATTATCGGACTACACGCTACAAAAGAAAAGATGACTGTGAATATATATACTGACACTGCCAAGATAACGCCATTATACGTTCAGACATTCAAGCCGATGATAATGCTGCCATGAATGGCCGGTAAAATCGAACAGAAATCATGGGGAAATACATATATAAAAGGGTGATGTTGCGCTCGATTTCAGAGTCGAGCAGCTTACACTTATCTCTGGACGTCTGGGAGAGAACAAGAGAACACTAAAGATGAAGGCATCATCCATTCTGTCTCTGGCAGGTCTGTTGTCCTCAGTCAATGCTCATGGATACCTGACGATTCCTTCAAGTCGTACTCGGCTTGGATTCGAGGTATTTTCTCAGATGACGAATCCATGGAAGTATACTAGACTGACCTGAGCTTATTAGGCTGGCATTGATACCTGCCCCGAATGCTCCATCCTTGAACCAGTCTCTGCTTGGCCTGACCTGGAAGAAGCACAAGTTGGTCGGAGTGGACCATGTGGCTATAATGCCCGAGTTAGTGTTGACTATAACCAGCCCGCCGCTCACTGGGGCAACTCTGTAGTCGCAACATATACTGGACACCAGATCGTCGAAGTGGAATGGTGTGTCGATAACAACGGTGACCATGGTGGCATGTTTACCTACGGTATCTGCCAGAACCAAACACTAGTTGACTTGTTCCTCGATCCCAATTACCTCCCAACAAATGCCGAGAAACAAGCTGCCGAAGACTGTTTCCTGGAGGGTGAGCTGAAATGCACAGATGTCCCTGGACAGACCTGTGGATACAGTCCTGACTGCACCGCTGATAAACCATGCTGGCGCAACGACTGGTTCACCTGTAATGCTTTCAACGCTGGCAGCCGACGGGGCTGTCAGGGCGTGGATGGTGCGCCATTGAACTCCTGCAAGACAACTATCGGCGGTGGCTACACCGTTACGAAGAAAATAAAGATCCCAGACTACGACTCGGCGCACACTTTGCTGCGCTTCCGATGGAACTCCTTCCAGACGGCTCAGGTCTATCTTGGCTGTGCCGATATTTCTATTGCGGGTTCGGGGTCAGGACCGGGTTCGACTACCTCTATGACTTCTACAAGTAAGACGAGCACCACAACGTCGACAGCAACTACTACATCATGTGCTACTACTGCCACCACCGTCCCGGTAACTTTCAAGGGGCTGGTGGCAACGGTATATGGTCAGAATGTCTTCCTCACTGGGTCAATCAGCCAGTTGGGTTCCTGGTCTACCTCGTTGGCAATCGCTCTGTCTGCGGACTCATACACATCGTCGAACCCATTGTGGACTGCTAGTATTGACCTTCCCGCTGGTGCCACTTTCGAGTACAAGTTCTTCAAGAAGGGGTCGGACGGTAGTATTACCTGGGAAAGTAACCCTAATCGGAGCTATACTGTACCGACAGGCTGCTCCGGTACTACAGGTAGTGCAAGTGGAACCTGGAGGTAGAGGGCATCCGGGGTTGGAAGACCGTGGAAAGAGAGATTGCGTACTTTAGGAGGGCTGTTGTGATGGATATGTACATAGTGGACAGATTGAAATCGACAGGACTTGATCAAGCGGCATCTGAAGATAAGCATCGACATCTGGATATATGACCTAGCTTGTTCTCAGATCACCCATATATTATAATCACCATATTATACGGGGTGCTTCCCTCGATGTCCAGGGCTGCAGATTAATTGGGTTGTACCTGCCAAATGACATTGATTCCGTGATCTCGGGACTACTGAGGATACCTCTCGGTATACTATACAGGGCAGTAAGTATTAGGAGTGGAAATAGATTACTTGAGTACTAGACGCATATGAAGATTATCGGTTTTATCATTTCCTGATAAGCATTGCTAGTCATATTTATTCATTATTTTGTTGGCACGTCCCGAATTCCTATAAGACCTTAATCAAAAGGAATTGGGCGCAGATTCGATCCACCCATGCGCTTACGCATCTCAGCGCCCGCAGCCACGGTACTGGGTACCTTGATGCCGCAACAATCACCGAACCAGTCTGCGCTGTCATGAGGGTGGTCGTGGCCATGGGCATGGTCATGCGCATCATGCTCAAGATCTCCCTCAGAAGGATCAGTCATGCCTTCAGCAGCAGGCAGGAGACTCCCGAACAAGAAATGTTGCATGATGGGAAGTTTTCCCAGCACCTCTTTAACAAACATCTTCTTCATGCCGCTTTCAACCTTGGTCCAATTCTTAGAACCAGAGATATCGTCCAGCATAGGGCTATGCCAACGCAGTCCCTTCACAGTCTTGACACTATCGACCCATCGGACCTGATCCAGATAGAGATACTTATCACCCTCTTCATCCAAGGTAGCCGTGTTGTGAATACCCAAAGGAGTGATATACGGGTGTCCGACAAGCTGACTAGCACCGAACAAGAAAGGCAGGAAATGGTAGTCATCCAAACCCCAGACACCGTGCGATCCAGCAGGCTCAAGATAGTAAGCTGATTGAATCTCACGCATGAGATGCATGTATTCGACATAGACCTTGATCACGACAGCGGGGAAGTCACTTGCGGGAAGAAGACCGAGCTGATACAGACATAACAGCCACATCATGAAGTTGAGTTCGTGACCGGAGCCGTAGTCAATCCGCTCTCGTGAGCCCAGGCAGTTGATCAGATATGTCGAAACTTCGTCGGTTGCGCCAGCGTCTTTCAGCCCCAGAATGTTGGCGTGCCATGATGCGCTCTGGGCGCTTACATCGTCGCACAATGCTCGGAAGGCGGGGTTGCCGAATCGTGACCCACCCTGGTCGATTGGCGGGTTTTTGGCTACAAGGGAGCGTATCTGAGCGACGATTGAGAGGACCTTGGAGATGGATTCGGATTGAGGTTTATTCTGGAGGTCGGGGATAGAATGCCCCCGCACAGAATCACTTAGCCCGAAGACGAAGGCGAGAACAAGGTTGTGGGTTGGGGATGAGAGGAAGAGTTCATGGTCTTTAGGGGATAGGATGCGGCGAACTGGTTGCCGGAACTGGTGGTCGGAAAGGTCTGGCGGCGAGGGGAGAGGAGGGGTTGTTGGAGTAAGGTCTCGGGAATTGGAGGGTTTTCGGCGGGCATTTGACCGCAACTCAGATAGCTTTTTGGAGAGATCGACCTTCCCCGTAGGAGATGGTAAGGATGTCTGTGATGCCATTCTGTTTGTTGAGTGAGGAGGAAGGAAATTGATAAGTCGGATAAGTCGATAAGTCGATAAAGAGCATGAGGCAGAACTGACCGCCTGCCTTAAACAGAAGATGACGCAACTTGCCAGAAGGCGGAAGATAATGAGATGTTAGTTGTAGAATTGTATGTGAAGACAAAAGCAAATGCCCGACTGAAGTAAATGTCTCCATATGTATATCTGATATCCATACCAACATGTCAAGCTTTACAAGTAGCACTGACACTTCGGACAAAGGCTTGGCCGTCTAGAGTGGAGCATGTGATCGCTTCCCCGGATTGGTCAGGTGACTGAGATCATCACATTGTGGCACGCTTTTGCTCGAGGTCACATTATATGCCACATGATGGCCGCAGCACCCCAAGAAGAGGAGTAGGAAAAGGAAATGCAGATAGCAAGGCTTTAACATATCAGACACAGCTACTGTTTCCCACTGTGAAAATCCGGTCTCAAACAGGTACTTTTCATCCTCTATTGACATAAAACAACCCGCCGCTTCAGACCTGCATAAACTTGGTCCCTGGCGACCTCGTATTGGACAATATTTCCCAGGGACAGATCAGCAGACAAGCACGCCATAATGAACACATTCGACTCATCGGCGCCGCCTCCGACAGGTCCAAGGACCTCTGGAGGAGCCAAAGACAACCAGTCATCATCACGTTCGCACACAGATTCAGCCCTGTCATCATCCTTCGGCAGCACCCGGTCCCACTCAAACTCCTCGTCCCGAAAAAATGCGCGTAACCAGAACCCACTTCAGAACCCATCCCAGTCCAATGAGTCAACCCCAATCAACACAGCCGGTCCCGCGGAGCGGAACTATCAGTCCACAGAGGGAACACCCCCCTCCCAGCTCAAAGACGCCCCCCCTAAACAACGAGAACGGTGCCAATGGCGCCCAACCAATCTACCAAGCCCCGGTGCCCGAACCCAAACAGACTTGGTATGGCCGACTTGCAGATCAATACGGCAGCCTCGAGCTAGACAACAAAGGCAGTGTAGCCCGCGACCACCTCGCATTAGGTACGATATGCGCAGCCTATTTTTGGAAATCCCCGCAGGAACCCTTCTAACACACACTTCCTCTCCAACAGAACGAACCTTCCTAGCCTGGATGCGCACATCCTTAGCCTTCGCTTCAATCGGCATCGCAGTAACACAACTCTTCCGCCTGAACAGCGCTACCCCGAAGACACAAGCCCAATCCTTTGACCTATCATCCGGCTCACACGGTGACATCCTCGCACCACACCTCGCCTCGGCTGGCTACGATTCAGCCGAGTTTCACATTACTGCATCCGCCCGTCTTCGTAGCGTGGGTAAACCTCTCGGCTCGACTTTCATCGGAGTGTCAATCCTTATCCTTGCTGTTGGCTTCCACCGCTACTTCCAGAGTCAGTATTGGATTATTCGGGGGAAGTTCCCCGCTAGTCGGGGCAGTGTGGCACTTACGGGGCTTGTGGCTGCTTCGCTGATTGTTGCTACGCTTGCGGTTATCTTGGCGGTTTCGCCGGGGGCTGTTGAGACCTAGTTTGGCGGTTGGGTGCCGACTGGTCTCTCTTTTTCTCTGTTTACATTACTCCTTCTTCTGTGATAGTCCTCATTCGTTTTGTTGCGTTTTGCGTGCAGCATTTTGCATTTTCGGGTTTCTTGAGTTCATATGTACGTTCCTTCCAAGAATGTGGGTGGCCATTTTTGATAGCGAGATAATGGAGGAACAGGTGCATATGGGTATCTTTGTGTCTCGCTATACTGATGTTGACGATAGATTGTATGCAATCATGAGTTCAACTATACTTAGGTAGTTCATACATGTAGATAAACTACAAAGCTAGCATACAACGAAAAGCCGATAGAAATATTTCGTTCTTTTCTGTCATGAAGGTACCGCACACACCCGCGCCAGACCAGTCTAGGCACAATATTGGAAGCAGGCGAGAAGACAGGGGAAACTACAAGGTGGACGGGAGTGTATCGACAATGATGTGGGGGAGGTGGAGGCACAAAAGGAAAGAGGATAGGGGAAAAGACCCGGGCAACATGGCTTGCAAACAATGCGAAGCAGGAAATCAGAGAAGGAAAAACAAAAGGAGCAGACCAAGAACCGCCTAAATACAATCCCTTCAACGAGGGCCGAGCTTGTCCAGGGCGCGGGCACCCTGTTCCTGCCACTCTTGCTTGCTCACCCACATGTCGTCCTTGTCGGCAATCTGAGGAAAATAGTATTAGCAAGGGCCATTGTCAGATGAGAAAAGAAGGAGACTAACCAAGTTGGCGAGCACGGCACCACCCAGGAACACCATGTGTCTCCGGCGCGGGGGGGTCTTCGATGCGGACCTTGAATTTCTGGGAAATCGTTAGCCAACTTAAATTCATACTTTTCCGGGGGTTCTTCGACGTACGTTCAGGCGTTCAGGGTCGCCGCCCAATACCCGCGTGAGCCAGAGCTGCTTCAATTCCTTCTCCAAACGAGAGGGCAAACCGGGGTACATGCTGCTACCACCGCTGAGCACGATGGCCTTGTATAGACTAGAGCGAACATCGACATCGGCGCCCTGGATACAGTTGAAGAGCATTTCAGCCATACCGGGCTGGTCAACGTCAACCAAGTGCGGCTGGAAAAGGCACTCCGGGGCCTCGAAGCGCTCGCTGCCGACGCGGATGACACGACCGTCGGGCAGGGTGTACGATTCGACAAGAACAGTGGTGTCTTCGGAAAGCTTTTTGTCCAACTCGAGGTCGTAAGAGACGTAAGCCAGCTTCTCCTTGATCTGACGGACGGTCTCGAAGTCGGCGGTTCGGTTCAGCGCATAGCCGCGGCGCAGGAGGAGAGCAATCAGGTTGCGAGTGACGTCGCGGCCGGCGACGTCCAGGCGGCGAATGTGGTGGTTGAGTACGGTCGACTCGTACACGGGGATAATGTGTGTCACACCGTCACCGGAATCCACAACCACACCGCTGCTCAGACCTATAGCATGACATCAGTATTGGTCCCGAACTCACGCTCTTGTCTTCTATCACGTACCCTGGGCATACAGTGCCAGCACCGCCTGGATCGCCACATAGACACCACCAAACCCGTATCCTTCTAGCATCACCTCGGCCATCTTCTCGCGGTTCTTGAGAGGGTTCATTGGCGGCTCCGTGAGGAGAATCTTGCGATCCGTGGGGTCGATCTTCATCTTCTCGTAAAAGGTGTAGTTCCATAGATGTTGCATGTCGTCCCATTTCTTGACAATTCCATTCTCCATCTAAAGTAGTGCGGGTTAGACATCGATAAGACACTCCTCTGGTTTGCGGAGAGGGCGGGGTAGAATGACCAGGCGAGGGCAAGACTCCCCGACATAGAACATACAGGATAGCTGATTTGGAGCATTGACCGTGCAGCAGCGGCTTCATCACCGCACATGATATCCTTGACCACGATGTCGCCGCCCTGCTCCTCCGTTCGCAAGATGGGCCGCCCCACTATCGAGGGAAACTGGTGCTCTGGGAAGTTCTGACGAGGGAATATAAATTAGAGAAGAGCAAAAAGGGGGTGTAGCGGTTGTGCGACATACCTGGGCGGCATAGCCGACCTTGAGGAAACCGGTTCCTCCATCGAGGACTGCGGAGTAGCTTGTTAGCTTGGAGCTGGGACACGGTAGCCTGGGGGGAATCAGTGTGTACCAATGGGCATTTCCGCCATCTTGGGGGAATTGGGGATTCGACGGTCGGGAGTAGGGGTACCGTCAGAGACTAAGATTTTATTCGGACACTCCCAAGATAAGCGGAACTAGGAGGGTTCAGGGGAGAGCGGAGGTGTTGGGGATGTCTGAAGTCGAGCCCACGACGGACGGAGCATCATAACTTACGTGACCGTACCGTACCTGATATTCCCCCCACAACTGGGGGCGAGCCGCAGCCATGACGGTATGTGACCGCATCAACGCATTCTTCGACCAGACAAGCTCAGAGACGATGAATTAGGGTGTAAATAAAGCTTTTGACGGCCAGATAAGTGGTGTGATAGTGCTGAAATCAATATATGCATAGGTTATAGCACATGTGGAACGCCTCGCATTAAGGGGTATACACGTGGGCTTGATTACAAGGGCACACCAAGCATAGAATATGAGTAAAGGGACGAATGATAGATTCACAGTAATAAGTCAATCGGCCCGCTCTAATTTGAAGACAAGCAGAAGCCGTTGATAGTAAAGAGCTTCCTGTCGGCCGACTCCGATATCCTCGGGGAAACACGCGCTCCACCATTTCTGTCGTCTCTAGACTCATACAAAGATCACGCTGCCCTACTCAGGTAGAATCCGCATTGTCAAATTTCGCTCGAATCCTTTACTGATCCTTGAGCCTGTGGTCTATAGATAACACTCTTAAATCTACACCCGAGGTAAACAGCGAGCAACAATGCCACAAATCGGCTGGGTAGGCAAACCCCTAGATCACCCACGGGTTTGAACAAAAGAACTAACAAACAACACACATAGTATGGGCTCGGGTCCATGGGCCTAGCAATGGCTTCCAATCTCCAGCGCCACCTAGCCACGAAGAAGGCCTTGGGCCTGATGTACTCGAACCGCACGATGGCGCGCGGATCACCCCTGCAAGCGCTGGGAGCAATCGCAGAACCCAATTTCGAGAAAATGGTGTCTCAATGTGGAATCATTTTCACCATGGTAAGCCGATTTAACTGGGAAAGTACCTAGCAATGCAAATCTAAACCCTCTCCTAGGTCTCGAATGACTCAGTGCTTCAAAGCTTGCTATCCACGGCCATGAGTTCAAGCCAGTCCCTGAAGGACAAGATCTTCGTCGACTGCTCAACAGTGCACCCCGTGACGGTAAGATCGGCTGTCTCGCAGCTAAAAAGCAAGGATGCATCGTACGTAGCAGCGCCGGTCTTCGGCGGGAACCCAATCGCCGTGGATGGCAAGCTTGTTTTTGCCATTGGTGGTCCTAAAAGTGCAACCGAGGCCGTCAAACCTCTGATCCAAGATGTGATGGGTCGGCGCGTGATTGATTGCGGCGAGGATGCTACAAAGTCTTCGCTTTTGAAAATCGCGGGTAACATTGTTACTGTCAATATGATGGAGGCTGTTGGTGAGGCTCAGGTCTTTGCTGAGAAGACCGGTCTTGGAACTGGTCCCATGGAGGAGCTCATTGGTGAGGCTTTTGGTCCTGTTGCTGGAGGGTATTCAAAGAGGTGCGTCATAATGTTGTTTCGGTGCTGGCGTGACGGCTCTTCATACTTATCCTTGTTTCCAGATTGACTACCGGGGCTTATGCGCCGCCTTTGGACTCACGTCCTGGCTTTGGGGTTTCCCTCGCTATTAAGGATGCTAGACATGCCATGTCGATGGCTCAGGAGCAGGGAGTTGAGCTTCCTGGCCTTGAGGTTGCTCGGGCTAACATGGAGACCGCAAGAGAATATGGCGGGGAGTGTCTGGACAGCAGTGCGATGTACGGGACTCTGCGCCAGAAAGCTGGTCTGGAGTTCTGGAACGAGAAGAGCAGGAGAGAGTAAAACCAAAATCATCGGTCCCATAAGATATAGTGTAATTATTGATATGAAGATTTGTATTTGTTTAAATGCCCAGACCGAAATGATACCTACAAGCATCATCTATACACTCATCACCAGGCGAGGTGACCTGTGGCCCATCTCATACCATGCCTCTGCCCTTGTATTGGGACTCCGCCCAAGAAAAATCATACACTTGCACCAAAAAATAAATAAATAAATAAACAATTTAACTGCTAAAAGCTAGGATTTCCTTTTCGACAAAATGAGTCGAGGAATTGAAAAAATATTAACCAAGATCAACTTGATAGAGTTGGAACAGTTGTTGGAATGATGCCCGCTCAAGTGGCTGTGTAGCCGCTTGGTGAGTGTGTTCCATATGAGGTGTTGCGCTGTGTTTTCGGCTTGATTCGTACGGTGTCTGCCAGAGAGGGGTAACACTCTGCAAAGGAGGGCCCCAAAGACCAATTGGACAGATTCCTCATATGCCGCTCGAAGACGGGGTTGATGACCAGCTCCTCCGAGTCGCTGGCTGACAACAAACAGTCCGTATCCTCGTACGGCCAATTGACGCTGAGATCACGAGTATATGGGATGAACCAGTTCTCAAAGGGGTAGTCCTGATAATTCGTAACGATCCTGTCACGCATTCCTGGCCAGGGAGCGTAATCCATCCAAGCAGGGTGCGGATGGAGGAGCTGTGTTGGGCGCGGGGTTAGCCACTCTGGGAGTCGCTCATAATTCTCCTGCGTAGGGTAAATCTGCCAGCGCATGAGGAGGAACATGACGTAGAGCACGGCAACCTGCTCTGGCAGAGAGGATATATCGGGAAAGGTGCGCAGGATATCTGTGAAGACTTTTGAGACAGGATGGGAGTAGACACTCCTCTCCGGATTCAGCAGCGATGAGACACTCGGGTACGGAGGCCCAGCTAATTTTTGTCTAGGGATGCCTTGAGCCGCCTCACGTTGCCGGCTATAAAGGAATTCCAGAAGAATGTTGTCCAAAGGACATGTCGCTGTTAAGTTTCGTATCGGAGCGGCGAATGCGGGTGGCGCAGGCTCAGAGGTAGTAGTCAAGGGATGTGGGTATATTGAAGACGAAGGGTTCAGCTGCTGACAGCGGAGGTTTTCTGAGCTGCTGCGATGAAGCCGGTCGAGTTTGGGAACAGTTTGCGAATCGGCTAGGAGGAAATTAAACCCTAGACGCTCCTCGGTGCCAAGGTCCAGGCCATGTGTGATATTATGGCGTTGCGAGTCCCATGCGCCACGGAGTGAGGCTGGCAGAGCGCCTCCATTGGTACTGTTTCGGCGACTCCCGAGCGTGGGTGCAGAATGAGTCGGAGACGGCGTATCTAGGCTGGCAAGAGACTCGGCGTAGGATTTCTCGCCTGGAATGGGGGTGAGGTGATCGGTGTCAGGCAATGGGGATGCATGCGAAGGGGGCGGAATGGGCTTGGTTGTAGCTAAAGAAGGAGATGCGCCTATATTTATCAGCTCGAGACTTGGATTTCATTTGAATGCACAACTGACCTGGTAGTTCTGGTTTAGCTATCAATGGTTGGAGAATGTCCATTGCCGCCTTTAGCCCTTGGCGGAGCTCTGCGTTCTCCGACCGAATCGTCGCATTCTCGCGTAGGGCTGCTTGAAGATCAAGGTAGGGTTTTTGTGACGACAGGTCTCGGACCTGTTGCTCCAGAGCCTCTATGTGGCCCTTGGTCCTTTCTCGAATTGCGCGCTGCGCTTGGCGGTCGTTGGCCCGCTTTTTTGCTAACTGATCGGGGGTGAGATTGGCAACACCTCTTGATGACATGCTGTTCAGCTTGCGCTTGCGTCCCGATGTCGTGCCATTATCCAAGACTCCTGCCGCATCTATCGACGTCGCACGAGAAGGAATAGGCGAGTCTTCGGGTCTGCTGAGGGGGGTAGGTTGTGAACGGTCAGGCAAGTCGGGCAGGTCGGGCGAACGCGCCACATGCTCATCGGCGTTTGTAGCGCGGGTGGCCATGGCCTTGCACACGCGCTAATTGAGCTTGGCCATTCAGGTTGGGAAAAATGTGGAATGGAAGTTGAGGAGCAGCTCCGAAGTAAGAGGTGATTTTGTTGAGTAGGCAATAGGTAAGGGTGCTATGTGGGTCAAGAATGTTCGAAGTCCATAACGTTTAGACTTACGGGAGGCAGACGCTTATCAGCCCTAGAGATCCAGTGGACTCATAGGAATCAACGGACCATCTGTTCCAAATATTATATATCTAAGGACAAAAACTCCAATTTCTAGAAGTTGTCGATGAACATGAAGCATTGAGTAGCAACCATAAAAAAAAAAATGAATATACAGAGTATATCAACGCCATATACAACCTTAGGACAAGCCCAAAGGACCAGATTATGCACAAAGAAAAATATTCGGTCGTGTCGATCATATACAAAGGCTTTTGTAAGTTCCAATGCAAGAAAGAAGGCATAAGCCAGATGGAGAAGGGGAATGATGATGGGGCAAAAGTTCAAAACGACAAGCTCAAGGATTATTGGATCATATGGCCCATTTTCGAGATCTATCAAAGTCGGTGTATTAGTATCAACTCCAACCAGGCAATGGTTTGAAAACATACCTTCGTATTAAGATAGCCTTCAATTTCAGAGCTCTTAATTCCTCTCTGACCGCCAGTCCGCCATGCCAATGGGATCATCGGCACCCGCTCTTTTACAAGAACTTCCCGGTTTAGGGCCCTCGATAGCACGGACTTTATCGGGGTTATTGGTAAGTAGACGAATTCCTTCGGGGATGGCATCCACGCCACAACCGAGATCTTCCAATATGGCGGTAGCCAGTCCATAGCTTCGGGCGTCAGCAGGATGGCGGAGCAAAAGGTTTGCCTCAACGGTATCCGACCCAAGATCCTGGAGATTGTATGCCTTCAACTTCTCTCCAAGACCGATTCCACGACCCTCCTGACGCAGGTAAACAATAACACCGCCTGTCGAATGTGACGAGAGGGACTGGACCTCTGGCGGCGCATCAGAGGCAAGATCCTCGACGGGGAAAGACATCAGGCGCGCCGCCTCATCCAGCTGCTCGCCGCAATCGCATCGCGCCGACCATGCCGTTTCTCCAGTATAACACTCCGAATGGATGCGCACCAGTGGCGGCTCGACTTGCTTTGGCGTCGAGGCAGACCCAGCCTGATCGTCATCATACCGGCTGCTGACTCGGCCCGGGTGCAATTTCCCAACGTACGCGCCGCGGATCATTCGGTCCATCTCGGTCTCCCCGGCGGAACGCTGTCTAAGCTCCGGCTACGAATATTGTTTCCGAATACAATGGCCAAATGCTCTTTTCCGTCCAAGTCATTGTGGTAGAGGTGCAGGAACATTTCCGCTCCATTGGTTGTTGGGATTCGCGCCCGCACAATACATTCCACTGCTGGAAGTTTCGGCAGTAATTTGGGACCTTTAGCTTCCTGGCTCTTATGGTGGACATCTGCTGCCTGGGTTTGGTGGAGGATTGCGGTGGGATTTAAATCCAAGTTCAATGTCCCACCGGGGGTTGCAGGTGGGGTGAATGCGGGCGACAGGAATGAGTCTGGTAAGGCCGGGGTGTGTTCGCCCGCGACACTTCCCTGACTCGAATCATCTGATTGTCCATCTGGTCTGCTCGGCAGCGAACGCGGGCGAGATTCGGTGAGGCATGGGCCGGTAGGTCGGTCATTGCGACAGAGAGGCGGGGTATTCGGAAGGTGTGACGCGTTAGGCTCGCTGCAAAGATCTAGTGTGCAGGGGTAGGAATTGAATGGCGCAGATGCATCAAGCTGACGAAAATATAAAACAAAGTGTGTTAAATGGAAAGTTTTTGATCGCGAAGTAGATTATGCCCCGGCTATGCTCCCTCGGCATGAGGAGAAGAAAGCTGAGTCATCTCTATGTCACGGCTTACTCTAGCACATTCTCTCGGCCCTTGGTCCAGCCAGGAGATCGGGCCAAGAAGTTCTAACATTGTTAAGCCTTAGGGATTTGATCAGATTATAATTACACGTGGCTTTTTAATGGCCAGGAGTCAATGCATTGAATATTGTCCTCATTTTGCTTTTATCAATCTAACAACTTCCTATGTTGAAGCCGACATCGGAAAGAAAAAGGATGAACAATCACAGCAATTGAGCACGTCACCATATTTGAAGTGGCATAGATATTAGCGAGATAGGAGTGCCTATCACCAATCCTCTGGCCATCTCCAGAGGCTTGGAAGATATATTACTTGTCATACTTGCCCGTGTCGTACATGTTCGTCGAGAATGAAATGTAGTTGCCATCGGTCATCGCCAGGCTCGCCTCAGTGTGGTGGTCATTGGGCACTGTTTCGGTCCAGAAGTTGCATTGTATGGGCCGTTCGGGGCGACGGCATCAGAGTTGAGCTTCTGCAGCATGATGGTAGTAGGTATCTAACTACCTGTCATCCGTAGATCCCTCGGGCGACTAAGCCAAGAACAGAAATTACCTACAACATAGGTATCGTTCGTAGTTTCAAAATAAAAGAGTTTGTTCGTTCTAACTAAAGTATCTAGTCAAGATGAAAGCACCCCATATCCATGGTAGGCCTTCGAACTCCAGATAGCGCCGCGCTTAAATGGTATCATCATCACATCAGATCGTAGAAACAGTTTGGGATTACTTGCCCAGAATATCCAGCACAAATCGCCGGTCAACCTCCATCTCTTTATCGTCCTCTTCGCCCTCAAACTTGAGGCGATAGACGTCCTTCCTGGCCCCCATCACTTCCGCGCGATAGAAAGTGGTGGTGTCCGGGTATCGCGCGAGGACCTGCTTGCCAACCGGGTACGTAGACAAGTGGGCGCTGAGCTGAGGAATGGGAATAAGAGAGGCAGCGGTAGTCCTGTAAACCGCCCCTTGCTCGCCATTCTCATTCGGCTCGGGATCCTGCACATCATATCTGAATCAGACATGACGCGTCAGTCAATGTAAATCGAGACCAAACGCAAACGACCTAACATCACTTACCGTTTCTTCGGTCCGTCGCCACTGACAGCCTTGATTATGCATTGGATCCCCTCGCCCTCGACACCTTGTTTATTCTTGTTGTGTTTGAAGACAACCTCAGCCCCAACCACCAGTAAGCCGCTCCGTTCTGCGGCAGTGCCCTTGGTCCCCTCTGACGGGCCTTCCTCGATCTTGACCATGACGTTATCCTGACGACTCCCTTCACGGGCTTGCGTGCTCGACGAGACGCTTCCGCTGCGTGGGACGGTCCCCCTTTGAGCGAGCGGTCTTGTCAGCCCCCGAGGCACTGGGGGAGTCGGTCACCGAACCTTCGATTTCGTTTCTTTTCTTGCGAGACTTGTTGAAGGATGCGGACCTATTCGGAGGTGCTTCGGCTTCAGATGCTTTGCGTAATGCAGTGAGCAGTTCTAGGTTTTTGATTACATCGCATGGCTCGTCCTGCATGATCGAGCGCTCGTCTTCGCTGAGCTTCTGGCTCAGGCGGAGCCAGCTGTCGAGTTGGTCGTGTTCAGCCATGGTTGGTTCTGGTTGGGAGAGAAACGTTAGTATATTATTAGTATATGCGATCAGCCATGAGGTTGAAGTTGTTCGGATTAATCGCAAGCGAAGTGCGTATCGGATTGTGGTATAGAGCTGAGGGGTCTAGTGCGGGGGTACTCACGGTTGCCATCATGCGCGATCTTGTCTACCAAAGCTTTAATCTGCGCGGATAATGAATTCTGCTGATCGAACTTCTCCTTAGATTTCCGAATATCCTGGCAGATCTTGGTCCAGAGCTCCAATTCCTCATTGTTGCCAAACCCGTTGTCTCTGGGTCGGGGGCGGTTGCGGGACATTCTCGGGCGGTCTATCGACAGGGTAGTGTAACCAATGTGCAAAGAGTATGGACAGCTTCCTGCTGACCAGAACCCCTGGGTAATGAGATCTCCAGGTTCGAAGCAACAAGTTGTTGATTTGAAGGTTGGAGATGCGGTGATAAGGGCTCCGACCTCCGGGCGGTCGGGGTTGATACGCTAAACTACTTTGGGACAGGGCATTGTACCCAGGTAAATCGATTGACGTTGACAGTTGTATAATGTACCTTCTCGTCATCTCTATGGGTGTTTGTGATCTACTCTGGGAGACTTGGACCTTATCGGACCTATTTGAACTATATTGTCCCGATGCGGCTATAGATTTTGGCTATAACTGGTAGGATGTTTGCGGAAGTCCCTCGTGAGGAATCCGTGACAGATTAGGATACTCCGTAAATCCCAGAAACAAAAAGCCGGGAATGGGAGTGAAACCAGACCAATATTTCCTATAAAGCTCTGAACGTGTGTCATAAGATATCATATAAGAAGACCCTGTCCGACATCTCTCACCGGAGGCTTGGCGGGCAATTTCCAATACAAAGTCGCTGGTTGCCCCTCCGCTTTTTTCCCCAAACATCCATTTCAATATGCAGGTCCCACTACTTCGGCTGCAATGCGGTAAGGTTTGAGATGCCAAAGTAGACGGGAAATGGCTAACATATCTCTTCCTTTAGGCGTCAACAGCTATGACTGGGGTAAGCTAATACAACTTGCGACATTGTGTTCCCCGCACTGACATCTCGTCATAGGCAAGGTCGGCAAAGAGTCGGCAGCGGCAAAGTATGCGGCCACAACAGCCGCCCCGGATTTTGCGATTGAGGCCGACAAGCCCTATGCCGAAGTAAGTGGGAGCTTGAGAGGAAACATTGGACCCAATAGGCTCATAATTCATAGCTCTGGATGGGCACACATCCGTCTCTTCCCTCTAAAGATGTCGAGACCCAGCGTACCCTCCTCGAAATGGTCCAGGATAACCAGGCCCTGCTCTCGACGAATATCAGTGAACGATTTGGAGGCAAACTCCCATTCCTGTTCAAGGTGCTTTCTATCCGTAAAGCGCTCAGTATCCAGGCCCACCCCAACAAGAAACTCGCGGAGCAACTCCATGCCCGCGACCCAAAGAACTATCCCGGTAAGTGGTACTTGGGATGACACTCAATTGGTGAGCATCCGGAAAGATAGCTAACCGGTTCTAAGATGATAATCACAAGCCCGAGATGACCATTGCCATCACTCCGTTCGAAGGTGTGTGTGGCTTCCGTCCGCTCGCCGAGATTACGCATTTCCTCCAGGCAGTGAAGCCTCTGCGCACCCTGGTTGGCGACCAGGCGGCGAATGAGTTTGAGCAGAACGTCAAGGGCAACGAGAACTCAGATGACCCTGCTATCATCCAAAAGAACAAGGAAGCGCTACGCTCCCTCTTCACCACCCTGATGGAGTCCTCATCCGAGAAGATAGAGACAGCGTGCAAGGATCTTATCGCAGCCGCAGACAACAACCCCGACAGTTTTGCAACTCTGGCAGGTGAGGTGGAGACGAACCCTACCAACCCCGCCGAGCTGGCTGCGCTTGCCAAGCGTCTGAACGGACAGTTCCCGAACGACATTGGCTCATTCATCTTCTTCTTCCTCAACTTCGTCAAGCTGCAGCCTGGCGAGGGTATGTTCCTGAAGGCAGATGACATCCACGCGTACATCTCCGGTGACATCATCGAGTGCATGGCGTCCTCCGACAACGTGGTGCGAGCGGGTTTCACCCCGAAATTCAAGGACGTCGACACCCTCACCAAGATGCTGACCTACTCCTACGCACCAATCGAAGAGCAGAAGATTCAGGCAACAGACTACCCGTATGCCATTCTGAACGCCACTGCTTACTCCAGCGCCTCGTCCGCGATTCTCTACGACCCTCCTATCGACGAGTTCAGCGTTGTCAAGACCGACTTGAACCGGACTGGCGCCAAGGCGACGTTTGACGGGATCGAAGGCCCCAGTATCTTCATTTGCACACATGGCAAGGGCAAGATTACTGTTGGCAATAAGACCGAGGAGGTCCAGGAGGGCTACGTTTTCTTCGTCGGCGCTACTGCTGAATGTGTGGTTGAAAACACTGGCAGCGGTGAGGACGACGATGATGTCTTTACGACCTACAAGGCATTTTGTGAATTGGGCCCGACTGGTGAGGCAAACTAGGTCAACGATAACTAAGTTGTCATATTCTAATCCGTGGCGTCAAGATGAAACACCCCGTTCTGGGATCGGCGCAAACCTGTGAAGCACATGGGAGATAGAGATAATATTCTGGTGTGAAATAACAACATAACAAACAACAAAATTACCAAAAGAATGAACTGACCAACTTGAAAGCGCTCGGGCTGTGCCACGACCCAAGGTCTCAGAAAATATTACACTAATGGGCTGCTAAATGGCCTGACCTTTGCACCAATGGGGCATGGGAATTACTTCCAAGGTTGTTTGTTAAGTTCCAAGTCAGATTTCGCTTCATCAGTTTGTTGGTTCTCTTTGCCCCAATATATAAAAGCATTGTTATAGAATGGCACAAGTGAGCCAAGGGGGTTACGCTCAGACATCTCAGGCGCTAACTGATGTTGGTAATATCATCTTTCATATTGATTTGGAAACTCTGTCCAGCGCTATTTGCATGGCACAGACATCCATCACAACACCATATTAGGTAAAATACAGGGACCCGGACATACATATTCCACCAATATGCCCGTGGAACAATAAGAGAGTAGTAGTAAGGACCCCGGTCATCTAGGTCCATCTGTCCATCAATCAATCACTCACTCGGAGATCCAAATACCTCCATATGAATGCGTTTAGGGTCCACACCTAAAGCCTCCAGATCCTTGCTTTGAGCGTGCATGAACGGCTGAGGCCCGCAAATATAATAATCTGCATCCGGGAGAACAGCCTTGTCTTTGATTCTCGTCAAATCCACCCGGCCTACGTGATCATAGTCTACTCCCTGCACGTCATTCTCGCCAGCGTCTTCATAGAACACCATGCGACTAACTGACGGGTTTTCGGCCACGATCTGGATAAGATCATTCTTCATGGCGTGGACGCGGCCATTTCGTGCCGCATGGATGAAGACGACTCGCCGTGCTTGGCCCTGCTGGCTGATGATGGTTTTCAACATAGACATCATGGGCGTGAGTCCCACCCCTCCACTGATCAGGACAGCGGGGGTAGTGGCGTTAATGTCGAGAACGAAATCGCCGAAAGGCATGCTCAAGTCCAACTCTGCACCTTCCGGCAGCGACTCGTGAAGAACATTTGAGATCTGGCCAGCCGGCTTAGAATCCCTCGCGAACTCTCGTTTGACAGAAATTCGGAAGTGGTTTTTGTTCGGCACGTCAGACAGGCTGTACTGACGGGGCTGGTAGGAGCCTAGTTCGGGAACATAGCAGCGCACGCTGACAAACTGTCCGGGTTGATACGATGGTAGAGCGCCCTTATCCACCGGAGTGAGATAAAAGGAAATGATTTCGTCACTTTCCGGGATTTTCTTCGAGATGAAGAACTTCCGCCATCCTTTCCACCCACCGGGTGTCTTCGCACCTTGCTGGTAGAGACCTTCCTCGAAGTTGATGAAAATATCCGCAAGTTGCTGGTAGGCTGCCTTCCACGCATCGAGCACTTGCTCGTTAGCGGCAGGTCCTAGGACATCTTTGATTGCGGCGAGCAAGTGTTCGCCGACAATGGGGTACTGAGCAGGCGTGACCCCTAAGCTGGCATGTTTGTGTCCAATGCGAGAAACAGCTGTGCTTAGGGCTTCGGGATGGTCAATGTTAACCGCATATGCCCACACAGCATGTGCCAAAGCTGCGGGTTGCTCGCCAGTTGTTTGGTGAACGGTATTGAAGATATTCTTGAGTTCGGGATTTTTCTCTAGCATGCGCTTATAAAAGAGTGTGGTGATCGTGACTCCATACTCCTCAAGGGCGGGAATGGTGGACTTCACAATCTGCTTTTGTTGTGCTGTGAGCCCCCTTCGTGGCACCGAGGCATAAGCCCTTTGGGCTAGCGACTGGAGCACTGGACGCCGGAAAATGATTCGTGCAGACATATTGAGAATGCTGCAGACAACACTGATTCCAACTTGAAGAGGTTTTATTTGAGCCGACTGGAAATTTTCAGGTTCTCTCGGCGAGAGGTGTCATCGAACCTTATTATATACCTGCATGCATATGTACATAGTAGGACTAGTTTCCGAAAGTATACATGCTAAGATCGGAGTCTAGTCCTTTCAGGGTATATGTGGAGTAATACGGCTGATTTTACCCCCAGACAATTGCCCGTTACGTTGGGTCTACGCGGGTATATTCCGCCCGACCTGAAGACGTCATTCATTTTGTCTAGGTAGCTTACATATATAGTCGACAAGTAATAGTGACCCGCCCGCAAGGATTCAAGGGCGAATTTGCACATAAGAGCGCTTCTCCGACTATCTCCGCGGAGAACTATATACCGGAAGAGGTTGAATGGATGATTCATCGCAGGGATTTATTTTGGGTCGTTAATCAAGGACCAACGTAAGTCTTATTTTTGTTCTTTTACCTACCTGAAGTAAAATTCCGTCGCTCTCTGAGAGGAGCTAAGTGTCGTTGTCCTTAATGGACACGAGGCTACGCTGACGAGAGATAACCCCCTTAAAGCTTTTATAGGCGAGGGAGTTCGGATATTCTCTAGAAATGTCAAACGTTAGAAGCTTATTTCACGTAATTGTATGTAACTTTGAGAAAGTCTACCGCGATATGGACGTTGTTAGCCCTCCTAGGCAGTTTATGCGGGCTATCAGTGTTCCCCAGGTGGTTCCACAGTGTTGGTATAAAGAGGATAGTTTCTAGGATATATACATTCGTAGACCGAGCCATATTTCGCCTTCAAAAAGGTCCACAGGTGCTGTTGGATATTTGAATGTGACTGGGGAACCGAGACCTGGTATATAACTGGGTACCCTTATAGATGCTCAGTGAGCGGGTTTAATGATTTGTGTAATACTTAGGGTCGTGCGCAGTTTTACTTGGCGATCAAAAAGCGGCAAGGGTGAGTACTAAACACGAAAGGGAAAACCATGTTTCGCAGCACAAAATCCGGTATGTAGGCGCTAAGCGCACGATCCTCTCGGCGTCTTTTTTATAGCCCTAACTCAACCGCGACAGGTGTTTGATCCATCGGATCACTTACTTGAATGAAATACTACGTATGTAGTAATTGTTGGGCAGTGATCACATTTGACAGGATGAGTGAGGCCTGGATTATTGTTGGATCTTAACAGAGGGGCGCTTGATTAAACATGTCCTTCACACATCGGGGGCAGTGGATTTTCAGGGCATCCTATGGTTACCATCAGAACCTATGAGGGATCCGGGACAGTGTTTCGAGGCCTGCCTTCTGATTGACTTATGTTGGCTGAACATTGTTCTCTACGTTGGACGGGTATATACTATGGCTCATAGGAGTCTAGGGGTTCAGACAAACCGGCAGATGCCATTTATGAGCCTTGTTATCTGCGCGTGACGTGAATATACGTTGATTGATTATAGTCTCATCAAAATAATCAATGTAAACCCCTCTAATTCTCGTGTCACTCTAATATTTAAGACCTCTCTTGCTGTTTCTTTGCAGAACAGATCATTCATCGCCGGCGGATCGTCTCTCTTATTCTTGACTCTCATAATCTTGGTCTACAGTAAGCCCACGATGAGCCTTGCCCATGAAAAATCTCCTATCGCGGCCATTGAAAGCGCCCTGAGAAGCGCCCGAGTCAGATATTCGCTGATTACACCGGAAGAAAAACAACTCCTTGTTTCCAATGCATCCACGCATTTTCTAAGCCAATTCCGTTCTAATCCATCCCTGCATGTTCCGGAGGAACTCGATCTCCAAAGAGCACCAGACTCCGCTAGTTCCCCCTCAAGCATTGACGCGATCAAATCGGATTTGGTATACAATGCTCTACTGGTACGTAAATTCTACTACCGCGCAGAAACAACGAATCGAGAAAATAGGTTCCAGATTCCCCTCGAATTTCTGATCATGCTGGATGAAGCAGCAAGGGGAGCACCTTCCACACCATCTGAATGACATCTCGAATGCTGACAATATCAAGGCTAGCATACAGGGACCGCGAGTTCGATTTGGGACTCACCCTGCTAGAAACTAGCTCCGAGATATTTTCTCGCTTCTGGTCTGACGTTACCGGAGAGAAGAACGCGAAAGATGAGGAACGAACCAGGACGATGTTCCTGCGTGCAAGCATTCGGATTGCAATTAATGATTTTGACACGGCACTCCAGCACATCCAAGGCGCGATAGAATACCTTGACCAAGGAGTGGTCTTTCCCTCTGAGGTATACAAGGGACGAGAGTGGCTCCTTTGGGGTTGCAAAGCGGAAGCGTTGGATGGCAAGGGCTGCTATGACCAGGCCGAAACTCACTATCGAAAGGCCCTCAGTCTCATGCCAGATAATGTCAAGCACACCAAATACCACGTGGGCTTGGGAAGGTGCCTACTTTCACAAGGAAAGACGAAGGAGGGGAGATTGTACCTTCAGAGCTTTCTCATAGAGCTGGAGAAGAAATATGACGTGGATAACAAAGATTGCCCTCTGTAGGTGGTATATGATCTTGTTTGTGGCTCCTGATCTTCTAACTGACGGGTATCATCAGTGTTGGTTTTACCCTTTACTGGCTAGGGAACTCATGCTTCGACGCCGGCCATCTCTTAGAAGCAATCGAACTCCATGAGCGGGCTGTTCTGTGCTTGAAGTCATCGTTGGGCGAAACCCACTCCATTTTGGAATGGCAAGCTACGAACTTGATATGGATTATTACAGTCGCATCATTACCCCATCTTTTGGTGTTGAGTCTTCAGTTGTCGAGCCCACTCTCAAATCTGCGCTGTATGTCTATGAGTCTCACTACGGCTGTGAATACCGACGTGCTAACTCAAATATTAATTGGTATGCAGTGACTACCTCGAGACAGCGACGAAGGTATTTGGTTCCGCGAATGATAAAGAGTATCGGGAGGCTGAGCTTACAGGCGTCTCGGGCCAAATCTGCCTTATACAGACGGGGTCTTGCTGAAGGAAGAAGCGAATCTGGAATTCACAAAGGCCACCGGGATGGTCGTAAAAGCACATTAATGGTCGACCTGTGGTTTAGCTAGGGCAGCAGTACACGGTTTGAGGTTTGAGGTCTTGTCTGACTTTGTTGATTTTGTGATTTTGTCATTTTGCGATGAAAGTGTAAATTGTTTATAGTATTTATTGATTCAACATGCCCCCTAATATGAAGCCGAAGCAATAGGTGTATATAGAGTCGACTGTATATATTGTGAGCATTGAGGAGACCTGGTGAAAATCTCAAAAGCCGCTCCCAATCTATCATAGGTATGTGACATAGCCTTGAAAACGTCTGCGTACCTATTACACGTACTTAACATTTAAACATTAATCAACGACCAACTGCCTCGGCAGCTTCCAATGCAATCGCAAACCGTGACTTCAGATCCTCCTCATCCTCAACACCAACGCTAATGCGAAGCAGATCCGCTGGCACGCCGAACCCTGCCGCCCAATCAAACTCCCGATAGTGTGCTAGAAGAACATACGGTGAAGTCAAGGTAAAGTTTGTACCGAGACTAGGTCCTTTCGCAGTCTCGATGCGATCAAAAAATGCAACCGCATGATCCTTTTTGTGAAAAGTAAACGATAACAAGCCACCATACCCGCCAGCTGGTGTACGACAATCATCATAAAACTGCCTGGTAGGAGAATACTTAGGGTAGTATACTTCCTTAACAAGAGCATGCCCTTGAAGAACATTGCAGATAGCTTCGGCATTGTCGTTGATTTTCTTGATCCGAGTCACAAAGTCACGGCTATTGCGCTCCATGAACATAACGTCCTCAGCCCAATAGTTGTCCTCGTAGTCTGCTTCGAAAGCACTCTTCAATTGCTGATAGTACCTGCCTTCGGGGTTCAAGATCGCACTGCCACCCATAACATTGCAGTCTCCCGAGAAAATCTTCGTGAGACTGCTGACAACCACATCTGCATGTGGAAGGACATGAACGTTGATGGAGTTTCCAATCGTCTCATCAACAACAACGGCGAAGTCATAGGCATCGGCCAACTTTTTGATTCGCTTCAAGTCGGGGCATTTCAACATGGGATTTCCGGGGAACTCGCAGAAGAGGGCCAGGTATCGCTCGCCACCCTTCAGGCGGGTTTCCAAGTCATCCAGTTCTTCCGATGAGCCGTGCCCGTAGAAAAGACATCCGGGGCCGAATTTTTCTAGGATTTTGAGCGTGTCAACGTAGGGGAAACCAAATGATATACTCTTCAGTTGACCTCTGCACTCCATCAACATCCGGTGAGTGTTGAAAATGGAGTTCATCCCACAAGGATAGAGATAAACGTCATCGTCGGAAAGTCCCTTTACTCCACGCGAGTCTGAGGTTGTCTTGCTTGGTTCGACTGCAAGGTCCACTTCGCCCACCAAAGAGCCAGCTATGCGTCGACGGATTGCTGACTTGGCGTTATCGACAAGTGATATATCCAAGTTTCGACCAAAACGCTCCTCCAAAAATTGCGTACTTTCGACTCTTTCTGGGGCGACTTTGTTTTCTTCTGAAAAGGCCTGGTATACAGATCCTGCTTGGTATCTCTTGGGGCCTTTTTTCTGATTTATGATTGGCTGCGGCGATGTGGAATCTGCCAACCTGCCATCCAAGAAGAGTGAATGACAAAATTCAGCATGTCTGCTTGAGATACCGTCACCGGCGTGTTGCCAATATTGCTTGGCTATAGGGAAGAGGTCTTTGTTGAAGATTACAGCTGATACCGAGGGCGAGATCTTCGCCATGATCTTTGAAACCTCTCTGGTTTTATCGAGGAACAGATCAATGATCTTGACCTCTCCTGCGAGGCCGGACTCCGCTTTGGCCTCAATGAAGGTGCGACATCTCTGTGCGGTCTTGCTGGATGGAAACAGCATAGCCTGCCGGTCTGAGGTGCTATATCTGGAAATAATGTCATCTGCAAATGCCACAATGGATCTGTGGATGAAGAACCTGGTCATAAGGTCAGTATAAGACTTATTTCAATGCCTGGAATGAGGAATAGAATACCGTGGATAACCATTTGGTAGTTTGTCCATAACCCGGCTGGCACCCTCCTCATAATCCACATTATCAGTCCATGTGGGCAAAGACATGCTCACAGCCTATGGAGAGTGTTAGTCAAACCCCACCAAAGCGCCAAAATAAACACAAAACTTACATGCGCTGTGAGGGATGGAATTGAGTCGCCAAGCTCTATACTTGACATCCTGAAATAGTTCAATTGTCTAGAGTATGAGGTCGGTGTCTTCGTATACGCCACTTGCCAAGGGATGGTTCAAGAGGCTCGATCGGGGTGTTTTAACTTGAAACGATTGCACACTCGGAAATTGCCACGTCACTTCAGGCACCGATACCCAATTGATCACCTGGGCATGCAATCAGCCTTATTAGTCAGCGTATCACATAACCTTCCAAGGTTGGAAACTACCTACCTAGGTAGGTACCTACCTACCTAATACCTACCTACCTAGGCAGGTACTACTGTGGGGGAATACCAGACAAGTACACATACGTGACCCCATTGGTACATCCATGGAACCTTCCAACCTTGGAACCTTGGAAGGGTTTCGACCCTGATTACGTGTTCAGGCATCCCTGCCCAGGTGGGCAGGTGCAAATCTACCTACTCAGGTAGGTAGAGCTTCTTTCCGGCTCCATTTCCTGGTATATGACGGAGATTACATCCATTACCGCCTAATGACTATCATCTTCACTCGTGGTGCACCTTCAGATCGAGTTCTCATTGGCATGTTCCAGCTTCCATCTTTACTCGAGATCCATTACGCATATATAGTCCGTCGTTAGCTTCCTTGGCGAACGACAGCGGAATCTTCTTCACAGAAAGCATCCTAATATCGAAGTTCCATGTCGAGAACAGGATCATTCACGTGAACCTTGTTATTCACTGAAAGGTTCCTAACATTGATCTGAGTACTATACTAGGTCTAGACAAAGATATTGGCGAAGAGACGAAGGCAAGCTGGCGGAAGCATAGAAGGCAACTCCCTCAAAGCGTCGCCTTCCCAACAACCACTTCACCCACAGACTTAATCGATTTCCCACCCATCATATCAAACACTGTCATATCAGCCGCAAAGACCTTACGCATCCAGCTTCGTAGCTCTACAGCCATGAGCGAGTCTATGCCATAGTCCGGCAACGTCTTCTCCGGATCCACGTCGTCCGCGGTGACGCCCAGCGCCCGCGCCACCTTGGCTCCCAAGGCGGCTGCCACGACAGCGCTACGCTCCTCTGCGCTACCCGCTTGCTGGAACAGCAGTGAGGGATCCGCCTCCTCCGCGACATCAGCGTGAGCGCGTGCGGTATCCTGGTGCCGCGAGTTGTTGAAGCCCGCGAAAAGCGGCCGCAGAGTTGCCGGAACGGGCTCTTCGCCCCGTGCCTTATAGTCCTCGGCGGTTCGGGCGCCAATGACCAGCTGGCTGTGCGTCTCGTCGAGAGACGGCAGCGCCGGGTCACAGTAGTGGTCAAGGATCTCGAGGAACTCCTTCGTCTCGATGGGCACCAGCTTACGTGCGTTGGCCCGGATCACCTGGTTGTCCGCGCTGCGCTGGGATACATAGCCGACGGATCGCATGTAGCCGATGTCGAAGGAAACGGATCCACGGAGGCCCTGGGCGGAGCGGGAGCGTGCGAGGGTGTCTTGGAAGACACAACCCGCTGCGTAGTTGCTCTGCGATGGATTTGCATAAATTCCCATGACAGAGGACAGCATGATAAAGAAGTCCATGTCCTTGGGCAGGAGCTGGTGAAGGTTCCAACTAGTATGGACCTTGGACTTGATGTTGAGGGACCATTGACTGTGGGTCATGTTTTCGAAAATCGCATCCTGGTGGGAAATATATCAGTTTCTGATCGAGATGGGTTGGGGACAAGGGCTCGTGGAACATACATGGAGGACCATCGCAGCATTGATGCAGCCCTTGACTGGAGGCATCGTGGTCGCACACTCTTGCAATACGGCTGCCAGGTCACTGGCCGACGACACATCGCAACACGGTGCCACTATTTGTACGCCTCGGCTGGTGAGTTGATTGAGGAATTCCGTAGCCTCTTGAGAGGAAGCCCCAGAGCGTGAGGGCACAATCAAATGCCGGGCCCCTTTGTCCACCATCCATCCGAGAATGGCCATGCCTATACCTCCGAATCCACCTGCGACGACGTATGAAGCATCTTGACCGAAGTTCCATGTACTGTTAAGAGTAGTATACCTCTGTTCAAGGTGGTCAATGATTTGATTCGCATTGTCTGGGGGTTCTTGTTGGACTTACTGGGACGATTTCCTCCGGAGACAAGTTGATGACAATGCGGCCTATATTTGTGCCACTTTGCATGAGTCGGAACGCTTGCTCAACTTGAGATGCTCCAAAAACTTGCAAAGGTGCCGCGGCGCTAATCTCTCCACCCGCGACCAGAGCAATGGCTTTCTCGGCCAGCTGGCGTGTAAGCTTATGGTCGGTTTGAGCAATGTGAAGCACATCCACAGCCGTGAAACTGACATTCTTGGCGAACCCGGACATTGGAAGAGACGAGTTGGCTCGGATATCTGCCTTGCCGATCTCGACGAAATGACCGTATGGCGCAACGCATTCCCAACTCGCCTGAAGGCTTTCACCGGACAAGGAATTAATAACGACATCTACCCCCTTTCCGTCGGTCACCCGCATAATACCTGGAGCAAAGGATGTGTTGCGACTATAGAAGATGTGCTCTGTTGGAATCTTGAATCGTTCAACAAGGAGGGCCTTCTTCTCGGCAGAGCCCACCGTCGCAAACACCTCGGCACCAAGCATCTGAGAAATAGCCACCATCATTTGCCCTGTGCCTCCAGCCGCTGCGTGGATGAGTACCTTATCTCCCGGACGTACTCGAGCGACATTAACAAGTGAGTGGTATGCCGTTATACCTGGGATAAGGACAGCAACTGCTTCGCTGAACGACAGCTCATCAGGCATCCTGCACACCAGGTGGGCAGGCGCCCGAATATGACTGCGCATGCAACCTGGCACGGTAGTAAGTACTCGGTCGCCGACTTGGAAGTCAGAACAGTCTGCTCCGACGCGCACTACCGTTCCCGCACACTCGAGACCGATTTCCTCATCCGCGCTGAGGCGGCCCAGAGCGATGAGAATGTCACGGAAGCCCACTCCCCACGCTGCCGCCTCGATCTCTACCTCGTCACCGCCAAGGCTCAGAGGAGTCTTGTCCTCGACGAAGCGGATGGTATCCAGCAGACCTGGCGTGCCGACATCGAGAGCCAGCCGCACACCGGTCTTCCAAGGTTCGTCTCGCTCTTGTGGGTGAATTCGATCCAACTGCTCATTTTGGAGATCGACTGCGCGCTCAAGGCGTCCAATGGTGAGCTGGCCTCCAGAAACGATGAATTCCTCCTCGGAACATGGTGACTGCTCTGCAAAACAGCGGTGACGAAGCTCTGACACGAAGCGAGCGTCGTCATTGCCTATGACCGGCGACTCAAACGCCAGCGTCACTATGTGTTTGCCGCTTTCTTCCGAGCGCATTGTGCGCAAGAATCCTACAGCAAGGGCGTAGTGCGGATCGAAATCATTTTGCGGTGCCGTCACCCATAGCAAGTTCTCCGTGCGGGCGAATAGCGCTTTCAGTGCTGCAAAGTTTGCTTCGGAGATGGATGCTAGAAGTGACGAGCCTACTTCTAGGAAGGAAATAACGACGTCTTTGGAAGGTGCAACCCAATCACTGTTGGCAAGACCGGTCAGGTGGATCGCTTCCGTAGATGGGATATAACGGCCTAGCTCAGACGCGAGTGACTGTTGCACCAGCGAGTCAGGGTCCATCAGCAGCCATGTCTTGGGCTCAGTCTGGGTGATAGTTGGGTCCGGGGCTGGTGATATAGCCTCTGAAAAGATAGTGCTGCACATATGGCAAGCTTCGCTTGGGTAGTCCCAGAGGCTGGCGTCAATACCCGAGAACCCTGTATCCCGTAGAACCTTGTCCCACTGATGTTCAGTCGCCAGCGGGCCTTGTTGGCGCCACTCCTCGGTTCCCAAAAGCCAGCCTTCAAGGCAGCCAAATCCGACGTTGAAGCACGCAGAGTCCGGAACAACACCCTCTTGGAATACAAGGCGGCCACCTGGCCTGAGCAGCTTGCGTGCGTTGCTCAGAGTCCGCTCCAAGTTCGAAGTTGCATGGAACACATTTGTAGCAATGACCATATCATAGCCTCCAAGCTCGAAACCCTGGGAACCGACATCCCGCTCAAGATCAAGCGTCTTGAAGAATATCCTGCCCTCGAGCTCAGCGAACTCGTCGCGTGCTGCCTCGAAGAAGGCTGGGGAGATGTCGGTGTACATGAACTCGTAAAAGGCTGCGCGGCCCATTTTCTCCTCAGAGCTTCGAAGTGAGGCAATGACCGGCCGTGTCATGGCACCCGTGCCCGCACCGACCTCGATAATGCGTAGGGCAGGACGCTCGTGAGCCGCCAACTCAATGAAATCGAAGAGACGGCGATCCCGCACATAGGTGCGAGAAAGGTAGCCGTAAATCTTCTCGGCAGCCTTGCTGTCGAATAACAAGCTCAGGGGGTCCGTCCCCCCCGCGCAAAAGAGATGGCAAGGCATGCCCAATAAGAGAAAACATGTGGAAACCGGGCTCGGCTGCCTCACACTCTGTGAGGCGGTGGCCAAGCTCCTCATCAGTGAGGACATCGTCGTCCCTGGAGCTCCCATAGCGCTGTTCCAGCAGAGTAGCATATTTCTGCATCTGAACGGGTGCTCGTTGCCGCTCCTCTGGTGTCACCACTCGCAATGCTTTGCGGGCTGCGGTCCGCATTGCGAGCTCCATCTTTGGTACCAGCGTGACCAGATTGGCCAGTGTCGCCTCATCAGTCGTGCCCGGGCTGGCGGCATCAAAATATTTCTGCAGTGTCTTACCGTGCAGTGAGCTCAGCTGTGGCTTCCACGCAATCTGATAGAGAGATTTGCCCGCTTGCTCGACCATCGACGCGTTGGGCCGCGACACCTCGGCCATGACGATCTTTTCAACAGAGAACAAGGGAATTCCATCATCAGTTACACCGTAGGCAGAGGCACCGAACTGTCCCGTCTTGCCGTTGAGGTCCTTGGTGAAGCTTCCCACGTCGACCGATTTTGTGGCCTTGTCCCAGACGTTGGCTGAAATCCACATATTTGCCACACTGTGTGCCATCATGGTTGGACATGTTGTTTCGGACAGGCCCTTTGAGATCTGGGCGAGATTTGCCTGTACACAAGAATCCAGGACGGCAGGGTGGACGGGACTGTCGAGTATCTGATAATGTTGTGATGCTGAGGCAATGTTGACGTTTGCAGAAAAAGTGCCCTGGCCATCCCATTCAAGCCTGGTCAGGTTTTGGAAGGAAGTCTTGAATTCAAGTCCAATATACTCCTTGTTGAAGGAATAGAAGCTGTCTGGGCGTATCGTTTTAGTGCAGGCCGAGGCCGCCTCTGCCACGCGTTGCCGAACTCGCTTGACTGATTGACGTTGTTCGCGGCCCCCATCGACGGCATCAGTTGACGTGGGCTCATATTGGACACGAATTCTCGCGTTGAAGCATTCTGTCCAGCAATCTTCACGATAGGCGAATATCCGGGTCTCGTACCAGGTTGTGTTCCTGTCTTGACCATTTGTTGTGGGCAGAACGTGAAGCTCAGTTTCTGTCGAGTCTTGGAAGCTCTCTCCAATGACAATGGGTGACAGAAATTGGGCTTCTTTGACCAAATAGGCAGCTATGACACCGTCCGCCTCGGTCGCCATCTGTTTCACGGCCTCGATTGCCATCACAACCATACCTGTGCCTGGGCATACAGCCACACCGTCGACCTATGAAAGCATTAGACAATTGAAAGGTTATTCTAGGCGCGGCGTGAAAGAAAACACGTAGGATAGAGGAGAAGAAGGTGGCTGTCGCGAAGGTACATCGGAGTACTTACACAATGATCACCGAGCCAAGGGTGTGTCTCGACGCTCAGCCAGTTTCGCCATCTTGGTCGAAGTTCATTCCAGTCCGGGGCGCGTCGTCCGAGTAGGTACCCGGGTGATGGTTTTCTCAGTCGGTAGTCTCTGGCAATTCTAGACTCGCTCCAATAGCGTCGGCTGTGGTCAAATGGATACCTAGGGCAGTCGATGAGCCATGGAAGTTTGCCACTTGCCTGGTTGTTTGCAGCTGTCACCGATACCGAGTGTCCGTAACAGAACAAGGAACCGATTGCAGACAGAACGGTCGGCACGCCTGGTTTCGACCGCTCCAGGATAGCGTGGTGACGAAGCGAAGGTACGGTGTCCTTCAATGGCCTGCGCAGGGCTGGATGTGGGCCAATTTCAACCAAGTCTTTGATTTCACCTGCTTCTGGGGCCTGGCTAGCAAGGCACTGCACAGCGTCCGCAAAGCGAACAGGAGACACAAGGTTGTCGACCCAGTAGCCCGGCATCGAAAGTAGCTTTGTGGCGATAGCGCTGCCAGTAACAGAGCTCACCATGACACTTTCCAGGGACTGTGTCTTGCCCGATTCCAACTCACCAAGCAAAGTACGATACTCTGTGGCAATGGCACGCATGGCCTGTGAAATGTTGAGTTAGCTAAAATCCTCAGACACAAGAGGAGTCCCTTAGTCTAAACTCATTATTGGCACTGTGATCAGCCAAAGATAGAGCTCAGATATATTTTGGCGCTGTGTAGCTAATCAAAAGGAGATTGCCTGAGGTACGTACCGGTGAGTGATATGCCACTCCTGTGGGCACAGTCTTCGCAAAGATATCCTGTTTGTCCAGGTAGTTTTGAAGGACCCTGACGGACTCGACTGGACCTGACATAGTAACGTTTGTCGGGCTGTTGACGCATGCAACGTAGACCGCATTGTCCCCGTTCGCCAGGCCAAGCTTCTCGAGAAGACTGGGGATCTCGGGCTCGACCAGGTTGGCGGACATCATGGCGCCCGGAGTAGCAGTGGTTGCAGCCAGCTTCCCAGCTAGCTGCCCTCTGAAATAGGCCACCTTGCAAGCCGATCGCTGGGACAGGGCACCGATGGCATAAGCGGCGGCGATCTCTCCACTTGAGTGCCCGACTACCCCTGTAGGGGAGACGCCAAAGCTGCGAAGTAAGTCCACCAGAGCAATTTGAAGCGCTGTACATAATGGCTGGCTGAAATAGGGAAGATGGATGTCTTTCTCGCGGCGCAGAGCATCTATTAATGCAAATTAGTAGGCGTAACCCCAAGGCTTGTGTGTATTTGCCCATGGCTTTTGTAGACCAATGGTAATGGAAAAGACAAATGACGAATCTCCAACTCACCTAGGAGGGACCATTCAGCACCAAGGCTGGCAAATATCTGATCTGCTTCTCGAAGGCTCGATTCAAAGACGGGATACTGCAATAAATCAAGGCCCATTCCGGCATATTGAGCTCCTTGACCGGTAAAGATGAAGCCAATTGACGACTTCGTCGAAGAAGCCCGGACAGGGGCCGTAGGCGTGATTGTGCCATATACGCCATCTACTACCGCAGATGTACGCCAGGGCATGATGCTGCGTCTCGCCGCCAGAGTGTATGCCAGTTGGTTGAGCTTGGATTGATCATCAATGATATGTGTTTGATGATAGCTCTGGTAAGCTTGTAGCATACGATCGGTAGCCGCAGCGTCAGCGGCAGACCAGACGAGAAGCCTAGGGGTTGATCGTTCCTCCGAGTCCACGTCAGTAGAGGCTCCATTGAGATGTCCGTTAGTGATAGAGCCGTTAGTGACAGAGCCGTTAGTGACAGAGCCGTTAGTGACAGAGCCGTTAGAGACAGAGCCGTTAGTGACAGAGCCGTTAGTGACAGCCCCGTTAACGGGACCTGGAGGTGTGTCGCAGTGGTGGAAACCAGACAATCCATGCTCTTTGAGGTAATTCATGGCGTCATCAAGGATGATGTGTGCGTTCGCTCCTCCCACACCAAATGAGTTGATGGAAATTCTTCGCAAACCATTCGTTGGCCAAGGGATAGATTGGGTTGGAATCTGATAAAATATCAGGCAAAGATCTCTGTCGGCTGAATCTAGGGCAACTTACCTGCAGGTTGTAGGAATCGGCATCAATGCTGGGGTTCAATTTCTCGAAAAGAGCAACGGGTGGAATGATGCCTTTTTCTAACATCAAAATGCCCTTCACGATAGCTGCTAGGCCACTTCCACCTTCAATATGGCCGATATTTGCTTTCACGGACCCCCCTGGGAGAGAAATCCTTCTCAGCGATAGTATTACCTAAGAGATTTCGAGGAAAACTCACACGAAAAGGGGCTCTTGTGGGGATCGGGAGGAGCGAAAAGACATTTCCAATCGCCGAAATCTCGATTGGGTCCCCTACTGGCTGTGTATCTTGTTAGCATCGACTGGATATATTCTCGGCTCCAGAATGGTTGTGTCAAGGGCTCGACCACTTTTCCCAGTCACGTACAGTTCCTGTCCCTGTAGAACGGCAATAGTCATGTCAGCGCACCATTTGTCATGCTAAGTGGGCAGGGATTGTAGTTGCACGAACCATGAGCTTCAACATATCTCGTTTGTTCGAAACCCAGCCCCGCTTTCCTGTAAGCATCACGAATGAGCGCCTCCTGCGCCTCAGCACTCGGCTGTGTGAGGATGGGTGTACGCCCATCGTGATTTGACGCTGTGGATCGTACAACCGCGCGTATAATATCACCATTATTGAGGGCATCCGACAGCGGCTTGATGACCAGTGCCACCACGCCTTCACCTCTGGCATAGCCGTTGGCCCGCTGATCAAAGCTGAAGGAGCGGCCATCGGGCGACAGGAAGTTCATGTTGGCCAGCAAGACAGAGTTTTCCGGACTCAGCATTACGTTTATGCCCATGACGAGTGCCTGGTTAAATGTTCGACATCAGAATTGGAGTTTAGATGGGGTAATATGACTTGGACTAAACGACCAACTTACAGCGGAAGCATTGCCGGTCTGGATTGATTGACAGGCCTGGTCCATTGCAATCATGCTTCCCGAACAAGCCGTGTCAATATGCATGCTTGGGCCACGGAGGTTGAAGTACCAACTGATGCGGTTGGGAAGAATCGAAGGTGTGGTGCCCATTGCAGCCTGCAGCGGTGCCGCATCAGGGTCCTTGGCCATGATTCGGGTATAGTCGTCAGCAAAGGTTGCGGAGAATACGGCAATGCGGCTCGCGCGAAGGCCCTCGGCCGCCATTCCCGCTACAGCAAACATTAGCAGCTGAAGTTGCGATGGTCTCATCAAGAATCTTATCTGGCAAAGGTGTCTCACCGTTCTCGAAGGCATGATATGCGGCCTCCAGCGCCCAGCGCTGTTGAGGGTCCATGGACGAAGCCTCTTTGGCTGTGATGGAGAAGAAGGGGGCATCAAAGACAGCGGGATCTTGATTCACAGAATGCATCCCTCTAGCGGGGAGCTGTCTCACGTGTCGAGTTAGTATCGTTGCATGGATGCGTGTTGCTTCAATCTCGGGCCAATAGCATACCATGTTTGGCTCTTTTGGACCATTCTTATAGACGCCGTCCACGCAAGTCCGATCTGCCGGCCAATCGGTTGACAGATTCTTCCTCTTTTCTAAGACCTGCCAAAAACTTGTCTCGTCGACAGCATCCTGGGGCAGCTTGAAGGACAGTCCGACAATGGCCAGCGGCTCGGCCGAGTAGCTTGAGGTGTGACGGTCGCTGGTCATGGCAGGATTTGATGGACTATGATGGCAAGAGTTGCCAGTTTTATACAGATGCTCAATGTATTCAAACAATGCTCGTTGCTGAGATGCGATGTCCCAAATGAGCGGGAGGAGCAAGCAGCTTTATCTACAGAGCCGTGTAGAACCACGAGAACTACGCAGTATATATAGGCGCCTGGCCGTGCTTTTTTCATCGGTGATCCCACTCAGACCCCTGTCCGTCCCAGTAGTTGTTCCAATGTTGGCAGTGCAATCCTGCGTTCCAGATTGTCCACATTATGAGATTGGGGGAGGGGTACAATGATCGATGTTCCAAGGTTAGTAGCTCACGAAGCTTGAAAAAACAACGCTCCGTAGGTGCAATTGGGTCAGGAAAATCCACTAAGCCCTGGCTACAATGCATTAGGGGTGGGGGTTGCCGCGAAATTGGGTGGCCTGAACGTGTACCCAGGGGCCACTAGGGGCCAAGTCATATGGGGCTTTTCATGCGATCGCTGTTGAAGAGTAAGCGACCGCCAAATAACAAAAAATAACGCAGTGGATATATCAGCATACCACGAGGGCTGCATCTACTCTATAACAAGGATGTGCTCCGATGCGGGTTTCAGCCTCATCAAGTCTCAGCCCTCACATTCTCGCCTAGGAATAGATCTTTCGTAGGAATATGATATAACATCCCCACGCTCTTAATTGAAATTTATGCCAATATCGAAGTCCTTTCGTTGCGGATCTTCTCTAGCGCTATACCTTATCTTATTCTCGAACTTGACTAGCCCCCAATTAACATACCTTCTCAGCCGGTGATAGGATGGGGCTCCTAAAATCTGACATAATATCGCCACTTTCCTTATTGAAATTGATGCAGATGTCGGAATCCTCCCGTTACGGATCATCTCTAGCGCTATGCGTTATCTTGTTCTCGAACTTGACTGGCCCCAACCAACATACCTTCTCGGCAAGTGATAGGATAGAGCTCCTAAAATCTAACACCTTATAGAAATCCGATGTAACATTCTCCCTTTCCTAATTGAAATTGATGCGGATGTCGGAATCCTCCCGTTGCGGATCATCTGTAGCACTGTGAGTCATCTTGTTCTAGAACTTGACTGGCCCCCAACAGACATACATTCTCTGCCGGTGATAGGATGCAGCTCCCAAAATCGAATATCTGGCTATATAAAAGTCCGTGCCGTGCGGCGTAATCAGGGATCGGCCCGCAGATCCGCCCCACATATTATGTGGGTTGTGGGGCATGGAAGGAACCTTGGAGGAAGGGCCGGTGATAGTTGGTGATCTCAGTGTCAGCCACTCAACCTTGGAAGTGCTTCAGCAGGCATATCGACCCTCCAATCATCGGCGAGAGAAGTAAGCCTGCCAAAGACTTAACAATCACCCTTTTCCAGTTCTGAAATCTGGCTATTCCATCTTCTTCGAGTTCCTTCCACTCTAGAACGAGCACAATGTCGATGACAATGGACATCAGACAAATATGGGCTGGTCATAGTCTTACCGAAGTCATTCTCGTCTTTCTTCTTCTAGTAAGTCTTATTCTTTCCGGTACTTGACCTTTTTCAGTATGCTGAACTCCAGGGGGTTGTAGCTGCCGACTGCTCTGATCTGCTCCTGGTGTTATAATATCTTTCTTCACCCACTACGCAACTATCCAGGGCCCAAACTATGGGCAGCTTCAGGAATACCTTATGCTCGACACTTTGTACGAGGTCAGATGCATGTGAAGATGTTAGAGCTTCATAGACGCTACGGCCCTGTCATTCGCGTCGAGCCTAACAAGCTGGTTTACCATCACGCCGAGGCTGTAAGCCACATCTGGAACCGTCGCCGACCCCAGGACAGTCGGCCTGCCTTGATCAATGCTTTGAATCCAAACAACCTCTTATGTGGCCCACCAGATAAGCATACGCGCTACCGACGTGCCCTTCTTCCTGGGTTCTCTAAGCAAGCCAAGTTGGCTCGAGGCGGCATTATCCAAAAATATGCTGGTCTATTAGTTGCCAGATTGAAGGAGCATTCGACACCCATCCACCCCTTTAACATTACGACATGGATCCACAAGGCCCAAGGTGATATGGTGAGTGAGTTGACCTACGGCGAGAATATCGGATGTTTGCAATCAGATTCCGAATCTCCTCTCCTTGCAGCACTGCTGGACTGGGATGTGTTGACGGCATACGGTGTTGCAATATTGTCCTTCCTCCCCACAAAACTACTCTCTCTCATGGTTTCTTTGACACCCTCCGGGCTGGAGGGCGGTATGCTCTCCGAGTTGACCCGGCTGTCCAAAGAACGGACCCTTGAACGTATGGATTCGGCTCCAACTGAGTACACCGACTTTGTCTCGTCAATCTGGAAGGATGAAGAGTTCGACAAGAATGATGCTGATCCAAGAGACGACAGCCTTTCTGTGTCCGCTGCTCGCTCTACACCATTGACGATTGAGGAGATACACAGCAATATCAAGATCTTCACCGTCGGTGCATTAGGGACCATGACGCACCTGCTTGCGGCCACAATCTTCTATCTGGCGACGAACCCGGAAAGTATGACCCGACTGGCGAGCGAGATACGCACTGCCTTTGCTGCCGAAGATGATATCGACCTTGACGGCGCCATGACTTTACCCTATCTAAATGCCGTGATTCACGAGTCAATGCGGATGCGGCCACCTACACCTATGCTATTCCCAAGGGAAATCGCCGCCGGAGGCGACTTGGTTCTAGACAAGTTCATTCCAGAAGGGGTAAGTGCGATGCTACACGCTGCTCTTAGTATGTACAGAGAGTACCCTAACAGTCACGATATTATCTCAGACCGTTGTCGAAGCCTGGTTTGCGGCCTTGTATCGAGACGAAAAGCACTTTGTTGATGCTAATAGCTTCATCCCGGAGCGATGGCTGGACGGTGACGATAAAAACGAGCGTTTTGCCAATGACAGGAGGGATGTGTTCATGCCCTTTGGAACTGGGCCACGGGTTTGTCCCGGAAAAGTGTACGTACTCCCTTGGGCTCCCTCTCTCTTTACTGTCTTTCTGCCTTTCAACCATCTCCACCGTGTCGTGGGGCTTGCAAAGCATGGCTAGAGTTACTGACTCTATTCAACAGTCTTGCCAATAGTGCTATTCGCTTCTTTATAGCGCGTCTGGTCTGGGCCTTCAATTTTAGAATCGCGGACCAGAGTCGCGACTGGTACCAGAAAAGTAAGCCTCGTGTGTTATGGTCTCAGCCAGATCTCTACGTACACCTGATTCCGAGAGCTGAAGGGAACGAAAGGCTCCCGGCGGGAAAGCCTTGGGCTACCTAAATCGAGATGTGAATCGCCCCGAGGTGAATATTTTTCTTCTAGTCACCTATGGATCTATGGCACAAGCTAGTAAAGAGGCGTAGCACTACCTTCAGTACTTTATGTAACACATACTATAGGAAGAAGTGAGGAGATCTTTAAAAATGAGCGCCTTCGTGGGTAGAAACTCTTGATTAGGTAAAGGGTATCCGATAATATATATGTCGTTTAGAAGGCTGGAAGCTACTATTAGGTGATTAGATAGGATACTCTACTATAGCGCAATTAAGTGTGGCTATTCGCTGGCGCGAGTATAAATACTGATAGTAGGAAAGGTTCGGCTCTCGACATCCAGTAGGGAGGGGAGTTCTCTATAAGCCTTATTATTCACTAGGAGGATGGCTTCTGAGACGGCCAAAATCGTATTGCGTCCTAAATATACGTATCTTCAGAACAAACGCAACATATCCATATGAAGTATATGAGTCGAGTCTCAGCCGCTCCCTAGGCCCCGGGGTTAAAATGTAGCATACTTTATATCGAAACATTCGAATGTTTCCAAATCCCTTCGCTAATGGACCGATTATCTGACCAGGTGTATATTTAGCACGCCGTTTAGCATTTTATATATTCAAACCCAATGCGCATAAGATCACGATATAGATCAAATGAAGCAGTACCCTGTCTCGTCCATGGTAACAGAGCTTGCCCCCCACAGGCGCAGCATCCCGAGGATCCTCTCCTTCCACTCAGGATCCCTCCCCATCTCTCTCATCAAAAGATCATATCGATACAACAACTCAAAGCACATGTTCAGGTAGTCCTTCATATCCCTCCTCTCATCATCACTTTCAAGGCTCAATGGGTCCCACGACGGGATCCCAGAACTACCAGGGATGCCCTTTGCATTCCAAAACAACCGATGTGGTATATTCTGAGCTGGATAATCAAAATCAGCCAATCCCCAACCAATAAACCTTCTGAACGGCTGTGTCTCCGTCAGACAACCTGTATCATTCACAGATCCTGGTTTTGCATTGGCTTTGACAGAAGCAGCAATATTCAGCAGCATATAAATTTCCAGAGCCACGTCAGCAACATGTGTCACACCGAAGCTGTGACCCCAGCTTAGATGGTTTAGATCTGCTAGTGGGATTTTCTTGTGGTTTGCCAGACGTAGCAGAGCGAGCATCTCATTCGAGATAATGAGCATTTTTACTGCATCGGCTAGATGCGCAGTGGAGGTGTCATACGGGGCTTGATTGATCCAGTAGTCGACATCCTGAAACTCCTCACACAGTGGATTCGATACCGCGGAGTTGGTCTCGTGTGGTCCAAGGTGGTACTTCTCTTCGATGGCGGGTAGAATAGACGAGTCATATAGAGGGCCGGATGTTGGTAGAGCGGCAGGACGTGGGTATTTGGCTCGCTCTGTGGTTGAGAACTCCTCAATTGTGGAAATAAGAGTCCGCGTGAAATGGTTGAACTCGCGGGATTGACGATCAGCTAAGCGATCATGGATGATGAAATCGTTTTCACGTATGCATGGGTTGTCCTTTATGAAGGAAAAGTGAGATGACACTGTATTCCAGGGGATCTTGTGATCTAGGTGCATGGTGATCTCAGCGTAAACAACTTTATGTTTACGACCTGGCCTCTACGTGACATCGCGGGCAAGTGGGTCGGCAACCTTCCAGGAACCAGAAGTCGCTGACTAAGTCTTCTGGTTCTCCAGGGCTCCAAGGCTGCCCGTGCCCAGGTGCCCAGGTGGGTAACGTAATGCGAGCTGCGCATATAAGCTACCTATTCTGACCTGAGCCCGGAGCTCTCGTTAGCCTCACAAGGGGCGAAGGCATAAGCCGGGACCAGCCTCGTAGTCTTACGGGACTGGCTGGGTCATCGTGGAGGGTATCCATCATGGCCATGAGAAGGATCTACCAGGCGGTGCTCATCTCACAGATGCTCTACGGATTTCTTTTGTCACAAACTGCCCGCGCACTTCCACGTTCAAGAAGAATATAGAATCTATTCAAGGCCATCTGGCGCTGGAGATTGGGAAGTGGTGCTAACGCTAGATGATGGGCCTTACAGCATCAAGCCGTACAAAGACCATCGATCGTACCCTCTTTCGCTGGATCGGCAAGAAGATGGCAATACGGTGGTCAAGTTCCTCTTCTCGGGTGAGAAGACGGACAACGTGTTTGAACTGAGCCCGGTTTTCTTTGAGAATTGGTACCGGTACCAGGATGATGTGGTTGTCAATGGGGCTAAGACTGACCTGATGCAGCTGTTTTTCATATGTCCTCCTTCCATTCCTATCCCTTAAATGCTTCGGTTTCATGTCTGACTCACGGATACAGACATTTGACGCCGACGGATCGTACATCTCCCTCCCGTGGTGGGTTCCTTGTGGGCAGACCGCCTCGTCCTGGGACGATGGGTGGGCGGTTTACTGGGCTATCAGCCTTTCTATCGTAAATGGACCTCAGATTGGAATTTGGCTTGCCAAAAGATGGAATCTTCATTCTTTCAACGTCGGTTGGCCGATCGCTCAAAAAAAATGGATTGATATGGCAATTGATTCACCAACTGTCCGTCTCATAAGATAGTCCTCAAATTACTATGTCTTCGATTACAACATGAACTATCCGGTGTTACTATCTACTACGAAATTGTCTTGAGAATCTCCTCCACATTTGCAAATGCTAGTTCTTCCTTTGTCACCTTCCAGAGCTGTTCCGAATCCCAATCCCATGACCGATCAATCTCGCAGACAAAATCTCTATGGAAATGCCATGGACACGCCAAACTTGGCCCTAAGATGATACCTTGGAGACATCCATCTATCCACGGATGGAACCCCTGTAGATCGGAGCAACGCCAATCAGCGCCCAGCGGCTTCGGGTCCTGCAGGCCCCACAGCCGAGGGAATAGAGCGGGGGAAGAGAAGCTATAAAGCCGACGCTCGGCTCAGCTCACTTTCCCCTACCCAAGAGCTTCAATCACTCGAAATCATAACCATGTCGTCCAACCAAGATGTCCCCCAGCTCGGGCTCTGGGAAAAAGCAGATATCCCATTCCTGCACCTGTCAATGTACGCCAGCATGGTGTATGCTGCCATTACTGGTGTTTTCCGGGGTAAAGCCAGCCCCAAGCGCTATGATCACCATGTCCTGTCAGCTGTGATTCGGAAAATCGTTGATCGGAGATCGGATCGGCAGACACAGTATGTTATTCTCTCTGGACGATTCTTCTGCACATGACTCCCAATAATACAATAAAACTGGACAAGGCATTGACCTATCGTCGAACAGATATCTCAGCCTCCCAACTTCAGCAGCCTACGAAAGTGTCATGAAAAAGCGCGGTCTCCAACCCGAGACCATTACACTCCCTCACAACACAGAGGGCCATTGGATCGGAAACAAGAATGCCAAGAACGTGATCGTCTACTACCACGGTGCGTCCCGATCTCGTGTAACATGGAGAAATCCGTCCACGGGTACCTGCAGAGCCAAAACCTAATCCCAACACCAAATATATCCCCAAATAACGAAAATAACAAGCAAAATACTAATAAAGAAACAGGCGGCGGTTTCGCCATGCCCGCCATCCCAGCCTACTTCGAATTCTGGCTCGATATACTACAAGCCCTGAATGAGACCGGCCACGATCTAGCCGTGTTCTTCCCGCGGTACACGCTAACTCCACACGCAACATACCCAACCCAGCTCCGCCAAGCCGTCGAAGCCCTGCGCTACATCATCAACGAGACGGGTCGCTCACCAGCCAATGTGATTATCGGCGGGGACTCCGCAGGCGGGAATCTTACCGCAGCGACACTGCTGCACCTTTCTCACCCGCACTCGGAGATCGAGCCGCTGGTGCTGTCGGCGCCCTTGGCGGGTGTCTTTGCGTATGCGCCCTGGATTAACTTCAGTACGGAGTGGCCGTCGATGAAGGATAATCTGTGGAAGGATATTATTACGCCGGACGTTTTGACGAGGTGGTCTGCTTCTTACCGCGCGGAGAAGCCGGCGGATAATTGGAATGAGCCGCTTAATGCGCCGGCAGAGTGGTGGGATGGTGCGAAGACGGAGAGGATTTTGGTTCTTGCTGGTGGGGACGAGATCTTGCTTTCACCTATTCAGGAGTTTGTGAAGAAGATTAAGTCGGTATTTGAGGAGGTTACCTTTGTCGTTGGGTATGATGAGTCGCATGATGCGCCGTTTTATACTATGGTTAAGGAGGAGACTCAGACTGGTTCCGAGTTGCGGCAGTGGTTGGCTGCTCGGCTGTGATTTATTTGCTGCCACATTGCTGCGGAGCAGAAGGACAGGTTCGATAGAGACAGGTCTTATTGTTTCCTATGCTCGTACCAATTACAAGTGGGAAATCCAAATACCAGTTGCAGGAATGAGAGGTCATGTCTTTTCATAAACAAGCAGGATAGGCTCCCCTGACTCGGATTAAACAAAACAACAAATATATGGAACAGCAGATAGATTATTCTACGTGGAGACCTTGGCGGAGAACTTGGCCGCCGCAGTATCGAAGAACTCGCTCTTCTCCTGGATGTCAGTGAGAAGGGAGTGCGAGGGCTGGACTTGCTGTAACCGGCTAGACGAGAGATAAAAGTTAGCAACAAATCCATTACATCGTTCAAACGGAGCCGCCGCAGGATGACATACGACTCCAGTTCCTCGGTCTGCTTCCCAGCCAACACATTCAAAACAATGCTATTGGCAATCAATTCCACGTCGGTAGGGTATTTCTCTAGAGCGGCGGTGAGGGCGGCCTCAGCCTCGGGCAGACGACCGAGGTGGATCTCAGCGATAGCCTGGCCGACTATAGCTAGCGGTGCGGAGGTACTGGGTGCGGAGGCGAGCTCCTCGTAGACGTAGAACGCAGATTGGTACTTCTCTCCGCCCTGTACATCAGAAAGATCAAAGTCAGCACTCATACACCATTGAGCAGGTGATTATAGGTTTCGCATCAACATACGACTCTCAAGCCAACCCACGACTCGGCAACGTTGACGAGTAGCGAATCCTGACCCCAGCGCTTGGCAGCCTGAACCTCCTTAAGGGCGAGATCGGTCCGGTTTTGTTGGAGGTGAATCTGGACGATGAGGGAGACACTAAAATACAGACAGATTATCAGATCAATGCCTCCGGTATATCGCAGTTTACTTGCGACGGGGTAACTCACGCCTCAAGGTTACCCTGGTGCTTGGACAGCAGCGCCAGCGCCTCCTCGCTGTGGTCCTGGGCCTGCAGCACGGTAGCAGCAAGGATCTGCACGGTGTTGTTTTCGGGGGTAGTTCTCTGCGAGTTCTTGTGCGAGCTGCAAGGCAGCGTCTGTCTTGCCGGTGGACTGCAGGGCGAGGGCCCTGACAGCCGACAGGTCGGGGCTGTCCTCCTCGATGGAGGGCTCGGCGAGGCTTTCGTCGAATTGACCAAGCGCAATCTGGGCGCGGAGTCTGAGGACTTGGGCAGGGAGTTTGTTCTCTGGGGAGAGCGCGGAGGTCTCGAAGTCGATCACACTCTGGTATTGGCCCGAGTGGAAGGCGCTGTGGATGTTGAGGAGCTCTGCGGGGAAGTTGAATTAGCGCTGGTCGGAGCTGGAGAAACGGATGGAAGACTTACCGCCCTCTGCAGAAAAGGGATCCATGTTGGCTGTTGTGGAAGAATTGGTTCAAGGGGAATGGGTGTTGTTGATGATGCCTTGTGGCCGCAGTTGTTCACGGTGGCTTTATGGTGGAGAGGCAACTCTGCCGAGATAACATGGGGCAGGTGGGCCGACCGCCTTCGATCTATGCATTTCCATCATCGGCACTTCATCAACAAGACTTCATCTACAAACCTATGAATTATTTCTATGTTTTTACACTTGACATTGAAATAGTTAAAAAAATTATTCATTCCCACAAATACTAAAGAGCTATCAACACGGGACAGGTGTCGACATCCCATGAAACATCTCGCGTCCTGCTTCAACTGGCTCCAGCGCTAGATACATATATATTGTCCACAATCTCCTCACTGGTAATAACCCGCGCTGCTTCGTACGTATGCAGGGTAATGTTAAGCGCATCGACGGTGCGTACGATTGTAGGGGCAGTCACCAGCCCGCAGTGACGAAACAAGCAATCTGGTGATATGTACATAAGTTGGGGCCTCGTTAAAACCAACTGGGTTAAAACCCTTTGGGATAAATCCCCCAGTTCGAAAGAGTACCCCAGTCATCTCACTGGCACGGTTGATCGGCACAGCGACAACAAACAATAACATGCATGGGGTACATGATCCGAGACAGATCAAGTACCTTTATCCATAAGTCCATCCATCGTCCAGTGGCTCGGCGGCCATTCTTCATCTGGCCTCCATTTCTTACTCCAAGTCTTCATTTATTCATGTCCATTGGCGCTTGATCATATCCAGAGCCTGGACGCGGTTCGAAATCTTCTCAACACAAGATTGATCTTGTTCAAGAAGGCAGTAGTGGCAAGTAGGCCTGGAGTCCTAATCTCATTGAGTGCCTCCAGGGCTCTTTGATGCAGCTAGTATAAGCCTCTTCGTCTTTGAGTACGGCGATCTTAGCATCAAGTTATATGCAGTTAACTGCAGTGAGATTTGAGAAACTCGAGACGCCTTTATGAGCTTCTCTCAGATATATTCCCCCGGGTGTTAGAAAATGTGATCAGGCGAGACGCAAGTAAGGTGACCGAGCAAGTTGTGGGAATGGTTATGAGGGATCTTATAGTGCCTAGGGGAACTCCCACACTTCCATTAGGAAGAGTAGTGGGAGTCAATGGAGTTCATGTCGGTGATGGCGGCAATATCACCGGGCAATCTTTATCTTCAAAGCCTGGCATGCTTTGCGGGCTTTGCTCGATACGACTCGCGCAACCACGAGAGGCAACCACTGGGGATCGCGGTTGGTTGACGAAGACGACGACAGAGATGGGGCCGCACAGCTAGCTGCAGGGGATTCCTCGGACGGTTGTGGTAGAGCTCCACAGAATGGGAGAAAGCAGTTTTCGTACTCCGAGTCAGTGGTAGTCGTGGTCAGCGAAACCGAGTCTGCTTCTTCGTTGCAGAAATCGGCCAATGTCGGCATTCGGTCAGATTGGCCAATTCGATTGTACAGCTCATGAAGAGCTGCCATGCTAAGGAATCTCGGGAATGGCGGTTCGTGCTCCAGCTTTAATGGACTTAGGGCTTGTAGGTTGAAGGAGGAACGAGACAACTGCGGAGATGGCTCTTGTTCTGACAGAGATGTTTGGTCATGGTGGCAGGTGTCGTGGTGGGTGTCGTTGTGGGTGTCGTTGTGGGTGGTCACCACTTGATGGACTTGGAGTGTCCTGTAGATTATGTTGGTATATATTGCAAGACACATAGATATCAATGCTTACCTTGGATCAATGCTTCCGTTGTCCCCATAAATGGCATCGAGCCAGTTGGAGACCTCGGCCTGTTCGTAGTAGGTTTGCACGGAAGTCATCGTGCGTTGTTGTATATAGTCTTCGATGATTCTTGTAAAAAGGCCTCGACGGGGCTGGAGGTGGTTTTGGTGGTGTATCAATTTCCCAGTGTAAATCGAGTATTCAATATACTATATAGTAAAGGCCAACTGAGGTATACTTGAAATGGATTGGATAGATACCCGATGGAAGGATGATATAATAGTCACGGGAAGTAGATGAAGAAGTAAGAAATAAAAAGGAGAGAAATGGATTCAAGGGCCGTATATATAGTCTGTTATTCGAAAGCTAATAAGCCTTCCTTAGAGCCGACGTCGAGTTAAATAGAACATCGAAGAGTACTTTTCCTATAATAGAGGTAAAATTAGGGCTTCAACCATGGTTGCCAGACCGAAAGCCGTTTCGGCGATGGAAAGAGCCTCAGCATCGCAATGAGTCAAGTACGTCTCAAAAGCAGGCGCGACCCAAACTTTCCTCTATAAACAACGTTGGAAGAATATAGAAATGGCACTTTCCCTGATATAGATATGCCGGTATACCCGTGGACATCATAGTGATGGTTGAAAACGGCGAGCGCTGTAGTTACGTGATATATCACCGCTAGGAGTGAAGAGTAGAACTTCATGTGAAATGTAGAGTAAGGTCTAGTCATCTTCATACAAGTACGGCCCCATCACTACAGTCGTTGGTCTAAGTGCAGGCACCAACCTGATGAATCACGCTGTGCAGGCCATTTTCGTTGTGCGGAACTCGAAATGGTGCGAACATATTCAAATAAACAAGTAGTGCATCACATTTACTACGTCTATGACTGCTTCCTTTCCCTTGCCGTCCATGTCTAATACAGACAGAACTTCCTGTCTCCTTCCCTCCAATCTACAACATCCATCCTACATAACGTAGAGACATCAAGAATACACTGAATTCAACAAAATAAGCGTCGTGGGATAGGCATCTACGGTAGCCATAGCAAATACCTTTCAATGTAATAGTCGGATATCTAAGCAGGTATGTGGTGTTGGTATGTCTTGGAATACCAAAAGATCATCCCCTCGTAATAACTACATATGTAAGATGGTTAGATACCGCTACCACCACTCTGGGGGAGTGTGACGTGTCTTACCAAGGATACTTCAAAGCTATGCTTAAGAAAAATGGCGTCGGACTCCTGCGTTTATGAACAACCGCTGGCTGGCTGAGAATGCAAGGTGTTGATCCGCCCGTCAAAGTTCTGTCTAGTCATCAAGTTATAACCATCATTTTCCTTTGACGGTGTTATGTGGCCATCCTCGATATTTGGATGAAGCCCTTATATGAGCTCTTCTAGTGTTACATATGAAGGCGGCGATGAGAGTACGGACTTTATGAGGAGCACCAGAAATACATTTGGCAGGTTTCATTCAACAGTCATAAGCTATGGAGCCGTAGGACTACCATGTGATTCAAATGTATAATCCTTGATCAGCTCTGCCACCTGAATTTACCCTCCTGCAGAGTCTTCACGACACCCAAGGGTATAAACTCTCGATTCACGGCAGCGAGGCCACCATAAGTACGGACCATCCCTTCGTGATACAACTCCGCAACCCATTTCCAGTAGGGTGTCATTTCCCCATAGAAATGAGGGATAGAGGCCGCAGAGGACACTGAATGAAGGGATTTTTGCTCCATGTCAAAGCTCCCAGTCAGAGCCACGCTCATCTCACTCGGTACATGGGTCAGCTGCTTGTACACGTCCACAAGAGACGGACTGAACGTCTCTGGATACCGGGTGTAGTCTTCCAGGGACATGAATGACTTGGACTTGCCGCTCCATTCGCTCCAAAATTGGCTGCTAGCATCAGCGCCGTCCTTTTTGAATTTCTCTTTGGCCGCCTCGTATCTCGCCTCATCCCTCAGCGAGGCCTTATGAAGGAGCTTCCGGGGGGGTCTCTTTGATATTTTCACGCATGGCGAGCAGTCTGATGAAGGGATTTAGAAGCCCCAGGCCACCGAGTTCAACGGGATAATAGAAGAATCCATCGGGCAGATCGTGGATATCGAAACGATCTGCGATCAGAGTGCGCAGATAGTCGGTGACACCATTGATTTGACCCGGCGGAGTTTTGTCATCTGCAGTTTTGTTGAAGAGTGTGCGCTCGATGCGGCTCAGGGTGGAGATGGCCATGTCGATATGGTCCCGACCGAAGCAAATGGCTGGTTTTGCAAAGTTGTTCGTAAAGAAGCGGCCAAAGTAGCTGTTCCATGCCTGTACCCAAGCGAACACACTTTTGCAGGACGAGAGCTGCCGTGAAAGCTCTTCAATATGCTGGTCGACCTGGGCCTGGTCGATGATGAACCTTTCTTGCTGCGCATCCAGAACCAGGAAGCCCCAGCGGATATCACCAGTGGGAAGGGCCGACTGCATCGGACTGCCACCCAGACCCATCTGCACAGTTCCGGTCTTCTCCGTGTTGAACTTCAACCCCATTACCTGACTGAACTGCTCCATCGCCTGCCATGCCTTGACGCAAGTATTCTCTGCGCCCCAGAACCAAAAGTCATCATGGAGCCGGTATAGAAAGGCGCCGTCGGTAGCTTGATTGACTGCATAGTCCATGCAGAAGAGAACGGATTCTCCGAAGCAATCACCCAGTGTATGACTCATTGGAATGCCACGCTTGCGGGTTTGAACAGAGCCCTCGGCTCCATCTTGGGCAAACTTGAGCGGAGCTTCCAGGAACACTACGAAGAATTTGATCCATAGGTCAGAGACTCCAAAGAACTTCAGCACGGTGAGCATGGTGGCGTGGGGCATTGAAGGGCCGAACCACTCAAAGTCCGACCGGATTGCGGTAAAGTTCCCCCGCTGATGTTTATGGATGATAGATTCTGTGATCAGGAGGTGGAGTAGAGAGTGCTTTGTATCCAAGGCGTTTTTTGATCCGGACCCCGCGTCATCATATTCCCGGGCACCCTCGACGTTTGAGGTGGGTAGTTGGCTCATGAAATATTCGTCGGTGTATGTGTTCTTTCGAATCTCGTTGATCTTCCCAGAGCCCGAGTTGGCTTCTCGGCCAAGGAAGTACTTGCGCATTTCCTTGTGGTCTTCTGGGATATCCTCATGCAGGACCTTCCAGGCGTTGGAATTTAGGAATCGCTCAAATGTCTTCCGCAACTTCACAGCCCACATTGTCCCGATGTACTGTAGCAGAAGGGCATCGAGAAGATCTTCGTCCATGAAGACCCGGTATTTACCGTTGAGCTGGCGGCGCATTTCAACAGGAATACCATCTGGGTCTCCTGTCCAGGTCCAGCTATCGAGCGAGGCAATGCGCATGTTGAGCACATCTGCCACTTCCTGGGCAACCTCATTGTTCCGCATAAACTCTTTCAGAATGGCTGTCTTTTCGTCGCCGAGGAGGTCGGTCTTGAGCAGTGCGCGGGAGACCGACTTCAGTTCGTCCACGTTGAGCCATTCACCCTTTGAGGACAGGTATGTTTCAAACGATTGGATACTTGCTCGGAGATCCTTGAGTGCCTGTCGAGAAAGTTTGGTCTGGGTGAAAAGATCACTGAGGTAGGACTGGATCGCGTCTTCGTTGACATGTGTCGCAGCAGTAAAAACCAAAGACTCCCAAGTCGCGCGTTGCTCGTGCATTTCTGCCCGCCCAACATTTTCGAAGCTTGGATCGGAGTCAGTGGACTTAGTGTCTGCAGTGGAGGTAATACTTCCATCCAACTCCGACAACCACTCTGTAACCAACTTGCTGTAAAAGGCACCGTGCTCATGCTTTATCTCAAGATATCGCAACTCCTTCTCGAGTTGAGTGACACGATCCCGTAGAGCTGCCTGAGAAACGGAATGGTCGTAGCGACTTTGTAAAAGAAAGCGACGAATGTTCGTATGATCTTCTGGCTGCAGACGACCGACTCCTCGTGAAGTGAGTGTGTCCTCCGATTCCTCATCTGAGGAATCGGCATCTAGATCCAGGTCATCTTTGTCGAGCGAATCCTTACTGTATCCTTTCAGGCGTGAGATTCCATCCAGCAAAGCCTGAGCACGGGTGCGCAGGTCTGGCGCTGCGTTGGCAACTGCAAGGATTTCGGTTTTGCGCCGATCAAATAGGACGCGTTGCTTGGAGAGTTCACTGATTTTCGTAGTAGTGATGGACTTAAGAGTCTGTGGAAGAGCTCCGTTTGCCATAATGATGTTGGAACTTGAATAATGTGAGAGGGAGGTTACACCTTATGAGGCAGAAAAGGAAGGTAATTTGATGTTGAGGGTTTGACGGTGAGAGTTTGGTGTTGAGAGCTGGAATTGTGGAGATGATATGCGGTGGGGGGAGATTTAAATAGGAGCGGCAAATTCATCTGATACTTCCACCACTGAGTCACACATGAATCGTTACTTTAGAAGAGTTACGCAATCCTAAGGGGAAAAACAAACGCGGGCAACTGTTTGAAGTTAGCAATGAAGTTGTTGTATTTTGAGGCTGAGATCGGGTACCTAATCGGGTATAGCGTCAACTGGTCAACATAGCGCTAGCACTCCTTAATTGTGCCTTGCCTACGTTCCTCATCCGAACCTGTACCCACTATGTCATGGTTGTGCTCTAGTGTTTATGATTTTTTATTGCGTCCTTCCCGAGATGAGTGTTCCTTGGAAAATGTGATGTGGGGTGGTGGCTATCGACGATGGAAGTAATAGATTTCACGAGTGAGGACTAGTCAATTTAGGGACGCTATTACCTGCTGTGAACTCCAAGAAGAATGGAGATTGATTGATAAAACAAACTGAGGTCTTTATGCTGGACCGAATGAAAGAAAAATAAGAGACGTAAGTTGGAGAGGGTGTGGTGACAACCTTGGAAATGAAGTGACGAGACTTGAGAAGGTTAGACCTGGGCTCATCAACAGGATGCAGATATTGAACTAGAGAGCTTCGAGCAATGTCGACCAATTTTTTACAATATCCAGGACCATTATATTGCCTTCTAGTAGTAAGTGAACTTAGGGAACCCTTAATACATCTCCGATCTCCCTGTTGTTACCTGAAGGGCTTTGTTTATAGATTGAGCGTCTGTTTGTTAGTCTTGTTAGTGGCACGGTAAGGCATATAATGCCTTGCTTTTGATAGCTTGGATGGTTGTGACTTCATCTCCTTCACTCTTCTCTGGTAGGAGTGGTCTCCACATATATAATAGTAAAGGGCATCAGAAAAAGAGATATAAAATGACTGAAAGCGACGCACGAACGGACATCCAAACGACAACCCAAAAAGACACACGGAAAGGCATTTACAAATACCCATCAATATGATGTCTCCAATATATCCTAGGTCAGCCAGATCAGATTATCCCAGACAACGCTCGTTGTCTAGTGCTGCTATGTAATGGCGGAGAAGTGAGCAACTGTATCTACAGAACTTCCAAAACCCTTCTGACATCCTCCCACACAGAGCAAACCATGACTTATTTGGACACGGAGAGGCCAATGCACAGCTCTCTAAACGCTTGTTGTTCGAAAACCTATTTATTTTTGAGAGATTATCACGGGGTTACCTTCCCATTGCAGACTTCTCAGCGATGCACCCTCAGGATCTCGATACCATAGCCCGTTGCTCATCGTCCCGGTTCAGCTCTTCATACTTTGGACCCTCACTTTTCATCAGGTACGCGACACAACCCCATGCCAAAATGGGTTGTACTAAAAGCATATAGTAATCTGTACCTATAACTGACATCGCACCGGGACCGGCACACGGCGAGCGATGCGTCGATTGCCAGCATCCTGTCAACTCAGATATACAGATAATGGAGTCCAGCAGTCCAGCAGATGGTGAGATCACGCAGTACGGTACTAGTGGGGACGGTCATCCACACTCTCTCATCGACTGTCTCTGGATGCAGTGCCCGACGGCTCTGCTCAATCCTGCGTCGCGATCCGCGGCATTTGTGGTCAACCGCCCAAAACCAAGTTGGTTGGACTTTCTGCACCTGCCATCGACTGCACCAATCCTATGAAGCCGGGAAGACTTCAACGACGGGTTTGACAGCAGGAACTATGCTCTGGAAATGTTGCGTCTGCGCGAAACCTTGCGTAGGAATGCACAGATGGAGCTAATGTCATACTACGACGGACACAACTTACCATACTATGATAAGATAGAGCTCGACGAAAACGGTTGGGTTGTGACTCCGCCTGCGGATCACCGCTTGTCCGACGCGTTAGTCTTCCTCGTTATCGGTCAAAACCTGGTGGTCACCAGAAACAGGCACGGCAAATGGCCCGCCGATTTCAACTCGGACGGAGACATATACCCGATGGCTATAGGGCGACCCAGTTATTATATAGGCCTATGGCATACCGTTCATTCCTATATTCGCTGACTATTATGCCCTAGCCGGGTCACACTTACACAAGTATATGTGGCTGCTGACGAAGAAAGTGGCCTATGCTAAGATGAAGCACACTGGCCGGCACTTGGGCGAAGTCACTGTGTCCCCGAAGGAACTCCGGGCCCCCTTCGACTCTGATACGGCTTTCAACGTCGACTTCGATAGCTACGATTGGTCTAAGTTCACCCCTATACCAACATTCGACTGTGCGACGAAGCGCCTCGTCCTAGCTCTCCAGGGCTCAGGGGTCATTATCACACCGCCAGCTAATATAAGGGGATTTAACCCGGCCGCCGGGCCAACTAAAACGAACTTCGCGAACCGCCTAGTGGATATCGATCAAACCACGTGGTCGTCGATGGCAAATGCTTCCTATCAAAGAATCTCGTCTTTCTCCCTACTGGACAAGAACGCGGCGCGTACCATGCCCAAGTCCCTGGACAAAATGGAAAATGTTACGAAGGTCGAACCATCCTTGTACCGCGATATTCCGCGCGAAACATCAGCAACAGTGTTTGATGACTGGCTGGCTATCCTGGATGGACGAAATCGTAGCTTTACGAGGACTTCGGAGGCTTTACAACCACCATAAGAGAAAAAGAAAACCTATACACCAACCGTGATGCCATCGAGTGAATTTACATACTTCACATTCCGAGTATCTTAATGATCCCATCGACCTTACCATATCCCCTGATGGTCCCGTTAATATCCATCCTTTCACCGACGGAACGAATCTAGTAAGCTACGTCAGACCTTATTGACCTGGAAGTGCGTCAAAACGAGAGAAAATCGAAACAGCCAAAGACGCTCTTGACCGAGCGGTGAAGAAAGGAATCCTCATTCGGCCCAGTAGGAACTGCACATGTCAAAGCTTCGGACACTATTGGTGCGTTGTCAACTTCAGCCCCAACCAGTCCGAACATGGAATAGCAGTGCTGGGTCGCAAGATCAAGGCATGCGGGAGGGCCAAGGCTCCTCAAATCACGACTGTTCCAAACTCAAAACAGGCTCCAAGCAGGTGGTTCGACCAATGTATCTAAGATCTAAGATGAACGTGACTATGACTGCTTCTCTGGCCGTCTATTGCATTTCACGAGGTGTGAAACTTAATCTACCTCGTAAGCACCACAAAAGGTTGTCCGCGCACAAGAACTTTTGTAGTAAGCAGGTAACTTGGCGATGTACTATGTTGTAATTACCTATATTGTAGGTATTTCGGCAATGCCCCGAAATTAGAGAGGCTGAATGCAAGCAATGCATTCCTTCGACAGGGATGCCCGAGCCGCTCCTAAGAATAGACAACGGTGTTCAAAATCCACACAAAACCGACAAATACCAACTCTATAGCCCCCCTGTATGGATCGCCTGTTACAGTAATACCACTCGTCGCGACAGCAACACAGCCCGTAAACGAGATCCACAGCTGCAACAGGTTTGATACGCCTATCCAGCCACTGTCCTGACAGCCCTAAAGGTCCAAGGTCAACCGCCAAGACTCGCGTACCAAGATTCGCTGGCAACGGCTCCCGAGGGACCCGTCGTATGATGCGAATAATACACCTCAAACACCCTAAAAGTAAAAGATTTCTCGTGTTTGAAGCCGCGTAGTCGTATTAATTGGACTCTGACGTGTTGGGGCTTGACCCTGGTCCTTTACTGAATTGCCGAAGTGGGCAGAACGGCCTTCGATGAAAATTCTGGAAGCCACGTTGTCCCACAGGAGCTGAATGTGGGGTCATTTTCGAGATTTCAGGTTCCGACATATGGAAAGGCGTTATTTTTAGCACTGGATCTGCGACAGGTAGATGTCTCGCGTCTTCGTTGCATCCCGGATGTTAGAGATATGGTGCAATGTGGATGTGTGGGGATGTGTGTAGAACTGGTAGGGGAAATGAGTGCTTCGGATAAATTGGTTTGACGTATACAATATCGAGCGTAAACTTTGCCGCGGGATGTTGGATCTCGTTTAGGAGTCAGCAGCAGCTAAGCTGGCTTTGGAAACGGGCACGTTGGCTTGTGACGGCGTTTCCGGGGGCATTTTCCTGGTTTTGCTACTTGCCCCACTGGGGCTGATATCCACTGCTTCAGAATGGTCAGCTTCCTATTCAAGTTATAAGCGACTTTTACCAATCGCGAGGCTAAGATCGAGCGAGTATGGTGGGGATTTCCTTTTCTGAAAGCCGGAGCCGCTTGGTACCGGGCGTTATTCCGTGATTAGGGTCCGCAATATCGGTACGCGAGAGACATCCGGCCACGATATCCAGCATGATGGGTACTAATCGAAGGCTGGTGGATGCGATATGTCCCAGATATGTACTGATTGCGGAGTACTTGTGGGTTTGTTTGCAATCTCTTGATGTTTCCTTTCCCGCTTTCCCGCTCTCCCGCTTTGCCTTGGGTATAGTATACATCGTGTAAAGTATTGCAAGCTCAGGGAAACATAGGTGTACATCCCTTGGTCTCCGGATCATGGCCACGTATCTGATCTCCCTAATCGTATGACCTCCTGCCTCCTACGAAACCAGTATTCGAAACACTTAGAGGCCGTGCATTGGACCATGTAGACCGTATCCCGTACAGGGATGATATGGAGTTGATTGCGGAATCTACCCCGGCAAGGAAAAAGGCACCGGCCCAAAGGCTCAACCTCGAGCATATCAACTGTAAGACAAATTATGGCGCCATGCCAGTTGCGGGATAGTTTCCTCTGAAACAAGGTATCATTCTGAACGGCACCGGGACGAGTCGCAATGCATGATTCTTGTTACACGATCAGTGATAGTGATGTGCGAGCCACAAGCGCCCTATGATACTGTTGCACCAATCTCGTCGGATATGATGGGAACATTTGTTCCAAGTTGAGTCACATGCACCTGCAGAATGAAGGAGAAAACGCAAAAGGAAAAAGAAAAAAGAAAAAAGACTCACATTTGCCTTCCTGCAGTCGGTATCAAAATATGCTATGGGGGGGTAGACAAAACCTAGTATTTAGCCACAGCCGGGCCGGTGATTGGAGGCACTGGTTCTGACAACGGAGAGAGCCCGGGTGTCGTATCAAAGGGAGAGGCCCGAGGATGGTGCGATACTTTCTTTGAATGTTTTTGCTTTTTGTTTCTTGTTCTGTTTCGGTGTTACCAACACAGCCTGGTTTGATTTGCATATCAACCCGGGAAGCATCGAAGACGCATCGAAGGAGCGGGACGAGGCTGAGCTGAAAGTGGCTGTGGGCTGAGACGAGTGGGGGATGTCTGAGACGTGTCAGTCTCTGCGATGGCTTTCTTTCTTTGGGTGGTAGTGGATAGTATCATTTTGGCATGCACTATCATCCTTCAAAGGTAAAGGCCTGCCGATGTGCATGCGTCAAAGCGGGGTGCTTCGTTTGCCTAGTTTGGACACTCCATCACAAATATGTACATTTGGCCGAGTACATCCCTTCAGGTGTTTGTACAGTAGGTACTTGGAGAAAGTGGCCATTTCTATCAAGTCATAATCAGAATACCACCATAACCTGTGCAATATGACCGGGGAAGAAAGTATAGGCGAGACATCAGGTGATGGAGCAACAACCCTGGCTCCAATGAGGCGCAACGGTTCCATCCCCCTGGGTCTGTATAATTTGTTCCTGAAGTATGGGAATATATTACTTTGAAAGACATCTGGAATCTACATTGTACTCGTACTCGGTAACCCTATTCAAACAAGTGCTATGATACAGAGCATAGGAGATTGCATTCTCTAACTAACCTAAACATTTGAAATGTTACGTCGGGACAATTATATTATGTGTATACTCCATAATTGGTACTCGGGAAGGGGAATACTACGGAGTAACTTGCCGTGGAATGGAGATGGCAAGCCCCTTCCGTTCTCTCCTGAAGATCAGACCCATAGCTCAGTTTTATGACACTCAAACTCCCGTTTTGTCTTCTTAATTAAGAATGGGTATGCCCATATGCCCCTGAAACGGACAACCTCAATGACCTTCTCAGATCCCGGCTAGCTTTGCGCTGTAACGTCTTGCTGGAGTTTCCAAGTTTCCAAGTTTAGAAGGTTCTGAGGAACATTCGCTGTACTGTTGTACAACAATACTGGTATGGTACTGGTACCAAAACATTTAATACTGTAACGAAAAGAATTTCTCGCGTTGCGTCTTCATGATGTCATCGCAATGATTACCGATTCTCTTAAAACGGCCCCAACGTTGGAATTGCACAGGGGATATCGTCATCCAGTTAAATAATGAGATATTCTCTTATGTAGAAGAACGTTAACTTGAAAGAAATACGTTCATATTTTTTCTGTTTTCACTTTTCTATTAATCCAATCACTCTTTCAGTAATGACCCCGGGGAATAGTCAACCGCAATCAATCATAGCCCCATAAAATCACAAAGGGCACAAAGAGAGTTTTTTCGCCGAAGGCTTCATCCTATAGGGGGAGCCGTCAAAAGTGGGGTTATTTAGGGCTGTTGATCGTAGCAAGGAGCGGATGCGAGATTGACTGGTAATTGTTTACATGCACATCAAAATTGGAGTGCAGAGCCCTGCGGCTGACGGGCTCACGTACATCTCCCCATATACGCCATTCAAAATCTTGCAGATTCTCTGATATCAGAAGTCTCTTAAGAGAACATTGAATACATATACCTAGATAATAATGACGTGAGTTACATGTTACCGTTACTGTAGACTGTACCAGTAATTTTGACCTTCCAGAAGGAAACGTTGGAAGTATTGACCCCCTGAGGGATGTCATATATAATACACTAGCTTGTACAGTGTACTCCATACGAAGCGAACGACCCTGTCAAGTGGACCTCAAGTCAAGCCAATGGAAGACCCTAAGAATCTTGGAAGGAAAAATAGTAAGACATGCTCCCCCCATACAAGTACTGCCATGTCCATCCTTTGTCTTTGAGCCGTGAGGTCCGAACCAGAATATAGGATGATTGGGTAAGAATTCTCAAATGAGACAGCCCTGTATCCGCCAGGATTCTTGAGATGGCCAAAGCAACCCTATTGAATAACGTCTAAGGACTGATCACAAGGAAATAATTGCATGTAATCCACTCGATTACCGCCCATCCTGGTACTAGACTGCAAATCGTATGTCGCACGTCAGAGCTGAAAAATCATACCTGTGAAAGCGTGGCATGATAGCACGGTTCTTCACGTACATCTGTACCCAGTACGGAGTACAACGCAGGCAAATGGGGTTTGATAAACAACTCCCAACTCCAACTCCCCCTCATCATCCCGTCTGCATCCCCCCTAGTCGGATCCGGTGTGGATCTCTCACTGGCTGGCAAGTTGAATTATGGATCACCTGAGGCACAGTGATTAGCGGTCAGGATGTTTTGACCCGACAAGAGATTATCGTGTTGCTGTCATCGGGGAAGAGTGGCTGCCACGAACTCGCAGATCCTTGCTTCAGCCACCGCTCTTTGTCTTTACCTCGTTACTGGGTGGGGTATATTGGGGCTAGTGATGAGAAACGGCATCTCTTTAATTATAATGTGGGTAAATTAGGACATTGATAACGCGGTCTACTCTGTATGGAACAACTTGCTTTGCTCTATTTTGCTGTTCT